GAGCTATTGTATCAAAGCAGACTGTCGACACATCAAAGTGCGTACTGTGAGATCACACCTCCCTCTAATCCACCTTCGCGCATGACAGTATTGAAGAGCTTTTCAAATGTACCTTCTGTATGTCAGGGCTTCGAGAAATGAGCATTTCACGATGCTTTCTGAAAGTGTATTGGTGTTAGTGAGGGTAATCAACGAACCTTATACCGGCTTAGGTAGACCTGCGTCGGATACTGTCGTTTACATGCCTTGCTACAGGTGGAACTTAAGGATGAGCACGACTACGCGAGGACCAAGTTATGTTCAACATCTGGCTTTATCGAGATAGGTAGTATGAGCAGGTCTGCCAGTGCACCACGCGTGGGACGAGATGGAGTAGCTAAAATACACACCATTACGAATGATCTCGCGCTTATCCTCTGGCCAAGATGGCAATGACACTGGAAGCACCAGCAGTGCCTTGAGGAAATGTACTTGAACTTGAGAACAGAGGTTCTGTAGTAGCACCGAGAGTAACTGTAGTGTCCTCACGGGAGTAACCCCGTGTATAAGGCTATGCCCGATATAGGGTCTACGACCCCAAAGGACAATAAGATGGATTTTGCAAAAAAAAACTGTAGTACCGCGTAACGGGTATAGAAGTGCGTGTCACTAAAGAGGGAGGACAAAACATGAGCTGCCTGATCGTTGATCGTTTCCGATAACATAGTCTGTGTTTCAACGCGAGGTCCTTGGAATTGTCATCAGGCTCAGAGCTGGGTAATAGTCTCGAGCATAGCCTCTGCTATTTCCGCATCTGTTTCCGCACCATTCTGTGGGACTCTGAGGATACTAGGAAAGGCCCTTTCACCGACATCTCCATTGCAATCGCGAGCCGAATCTTTCAAGCAAGGACAGCAGCGCGTCCGTCCGCAAGGAGGGTAGGAGACAACGGGTCACTAAGTTTTGCGATGGTGTCCTGCGTAGACTGAGGAGCGCCTGTTGGACCATGAAAAGCGAATGGCGATGTGGGTCTGCGATAAAAAGTTCATGCGAGTCCAGCTTGACGCTTGAAGCTTGAAGACCAGGGCCAGTAAGATTTTGTCACTCGTGTTTAGGCCGAATATCATGATTGTCACATGACTGACACGTGGCCTTGCCGCAAGAATAGGCACGCCTCCTGAGGCCGCCTTTAGACAATGTTCAACCCATCGTCCTACTTAATTCAAATTCATCATATACGGAAGGAACGACTATATTCTTTCTGCATGATCTGACTACGGGAGTCATACCCCAGTGATAACTAGTTATAGGCCGAACAATCAATGATTCGTCATGTATCCTGACAACCCTACGAGAAGCGCCAGTAGATGACCGTCAGCCATTAATCTCCGCGAGGTGTTCTCGGAGGACCGCTCATGACCTAGTTTCGCAGGGACGCGAGTGAGTACTATGTCATATCTGTGTCGTTCCATCATGATGAGGTGATGATTGTCGAATCATCATGGCTACAATCAGAACGCGGGAGTCATCGAAAATATGTCATAACGCTCCTGGCAGGGGATTCGGATGTCTTAACCGATTGTGTGTGAGCAGTTCCCAGGAGCTGGAGCTGACTTACCGCCTACAGAATAATGAATCTTTGGTGCAAAGCCCTATGACATACCCAACGCTTCACATAAATCTGATCTTTCTCTTTGCTCCCCAAGTCATGTCATCGGCATTGAATTCACGCAATCATCAGCTTGTAAAGAGATCAGGAATAGGCAATTTCCGGGCCCGTTCCTTCCGTGCACGTGCGGTGCTCAGAAATAAGCATCATGCATTAAGTGTCATCTAGTTCATACGAGAGACATTGATAAGGCTGCCTTCATATGCTTTTTGACATTGTATTTCTTGTAACCATGGATCCTGTCTTTATCGCTGCTAGTTTTGCGGCTCTAGCGATCGTCTATGGGGTGTACCATCGATACTCTCGTATCTCTTTGGCAGATGTTCCTGGTCCAGAGTCTGCATCGTTTGTCATGGGTATGTCTATATTATCTCTTGCCGGATCCCTCCGCTGCTGATATGACCACCAGGGAATCTGAAAGAACTCTACCAAGGTCAGGCAGCGGAGGCTGACTTCAAGTGGCAAGCTCAGTTTGGGAATATCGTTCGTTTCAAGGGCCCTTTTGGTGTATGTAATGAAATCCACACTTGCGGCATACATTTCATGATCCTCCACCGACTCATAGGAAAACCAATTGATGATTTCTGACCCGGCCGCCCTGCAATACATGTTTGCAAAGTCAGCCTATCGGTTTCCAAAACCGCATGATCGCCGCGCCGTTTCCCAGATGATCAACGGAAAGGGAATCACCTGGGCGGATGGTAGGTCTTTAGCCACTTAATCAAAACATAGAATGATCTGCAGTTGACTTTTGAAGGTGACGATCACAAACGACACAGAAAAATAATGCTCCCTGGATTTGGTGGACCAGAGTCCAAAGCCTTCCTATTATTATTCAAGAACTGCGCCGAGTCTGTAGGCATCGAAGTCACTCAATCCTCTCAACGCCTGTCAATAACTTAAATTCTCACAGATGAGCAACAAATGGATGGATATCATCAGTAACTCTAAGGATGGGTCAGTAGTGTTCAATATTCCTACCTGGCTGTCCCGCGCAACCTTGGATGCTATCGGCGAAGGTACATGCTATATAGGGTACACAAGCACTTTTTCTCATCTCTCTTTCAGCTGCTTTTGATGTCCGCTTCAGCTCCATTGACAATAATGAAAACGCTCTTGCGCGCTCATACAGGAGTATAATGTCAGTCTTGACTATTGCCAAGCATCTGACTTTCCCTTAACTGATCTGAATTGAATGCAACTTCGTTGCAATAGGACTGACGTCTTTGGATCTCCGTCAGATGGGCAGGTACTCTTTCAGGGGATTTCAAAGTATATCCCACCTCAGATTCTCGAATACTTCATCGCGATGAGCAAAAGCCCACGTATCGCGCGCATGCGTGAGTCAGGTAACCTGGCGACATCTGTTGCAAAGCAGCTGGTGAAAGACAAGGCAGGGATGCTATTAGAAGGCAAGGGCAGCCGAGATGTCTTTAGCTTACTTGGTGGGTCGTCGCCCTCAACAGCCTTATTCAGATCTAGGCCATCTAATTATAGCACAGTCAAAGCCAATATGGATGCAAATGCAAAGGCGAAGTTAACGGAAGAAGAACTGATTGCTCAGATGCGGTGAGTCCGTTCCGTTTGTCATAATTGCACAGCTTTCTGATCATGGATTGTTATAATTACACAGTACTATCCTCTTCGCAGGTCATGAGACGACCTCGAACACTATCAGCTGGGCGCTTCTCGAGCTAGCCAGATGGCCTGAGATGCAATCCCGTCTCCGGGCAGAGATATGGGAAACAGAAGCCGCTGTGCACGCACGCGGGGATGTCAACTTCACAGTCGCTGATTTTGACGCTATGCCATATACTGCTGCTGTGATGAAAGTGCGTTGCATCGTGCGAGCAATATTTGGGCTGTTATAACATTGCGCTTGCCATTGTAGGAAGTCCTGAGATTTTATTGTGTCGTATATCATGTAAACCGATGCGCCAGCCAGGATGACGTCCTTCCGTTGTCACAGCCAATCACCACGCGATCCGGGAAGGTCATCCGTGAGCTACCAGTTCCGAAGGGCACCCGAATTGTTGCATCAATTGCAGCGTATAACCGGTAGGAGGTTCCACATAGCGTCAACATACTTTTTTCTGACAGTGCGCTCGTATCGGTTAGAAACAAGGAGCTCTGGGGCGAGGATGCGCACGTGTTCAATCCGGATAGATGGCTTAATGGCATAGCGAAAGAGAAGAAGGCGACGTCAATAGGAGTGTACTCCAATCTGTAAGCGTTGGTCTCTATCTTGCAGCACGCATGAACCCCAATTTGTTTCTAGAATGACATTCACCGGAGGAGTGAGGTCTTGTATTGGATGGCGCTTCGCGTGAGTGTTAACGGGTTTGTCCGGCAACGGTGGAGTAAATCTAATATGAACGCTCACTTAGGGTGATCGAAATCCAGGCATTTCTGACAGAGATAGTTGGAAAGTTTGAGTTCGCTCCGACTAATAAAACCGAACTTATCCGGCGGGAGGCTTGCTTGGTGATGTCTCCAACAGTAGAAGGTGAAGTTGGAAATGGTATTCAACTGCCGTTGAGGGTTTCACTGGCGCGACACACTGGTAAATGATGTCAAACTCCGGGATGTAAATAGTTATTTTGTCTGGTTATCTCGGTGGCCCAGCAGCCACTAATATTTGAAGATTAAAGTCATGCGCCATTGGCCAAGTTGGGCAGTAACTGGCTCCTCTTAGCTCCTCGAGTCACGACGCGGCACGTTGCGCAGACAAAAGGCTCTTCCAGAGCCCCGCTGATTTACGTCCAGCTTGTTCATGAGCTTCCCGAATGGTTGGGTCTGCATCAATCCATGCCCGGTGATTTTGATGGTATGTAGCTTTCACATAAGGAACATCAAAGATTCGCTCGAATAGCTCTTCTTGACGTAGAGCCTTTGATTGTCCATCCGATGAAAGCCTGTGGTCATGTCGATTGTATACATGTCATAGAGATGACGGGCAGCGAGAGAGATGGCGGCCAACAAGAGCACTGATGGCGACCCGGGGGTAGGGTAATCAGTGGATGGTATCAGACGGCGGACAGACAGACCTTGAGCGGCTGACGCGTACGGGCCGGAAACTCTGAATCTCGAACAGACGTCTGCTACGTCGAGTCTGCCAGACCTCACACAGACTGGCCAATTCCCGGACTTTCTGAGCCTGCCATGGTAAGCTGAGGCCAGTCCGGGTACACATAATTCCCGAATCCCAGCAGACTCGAGTTCCCATGTCGGACTTCCTGCTAATTTGCGAGAGCTGAGGGAACCTACCGTTAAATTACGTACATCCTTACGAATGTCATGCTTAAGCGGATTACGGGTATCGAGGTTCGAGAGTCGAGACCAAAAGTTAACGGGCACGTGATCATAACGCGTTCAAATTAACTCACGATCACTTGACTTCGACCTTTCTCCTACATACTTCCGATAATTTTTTTTGCGATTGCCCGCCATACATCCCACACACATATATCGCTACACTATAATTTTGCCACAACTCAGTATTATGCTTACAGTCATTTCTGCATTTCAAGCCAAACGGGCGGGACGCCTCTTCGTGCACACGGCCACCCTTTCAATGTCCTTTGAGCCTCTCGCGCGGCGCTGCTACAGAGGCTCACTCGCCGTTTTCAAAACGCCTTTGAATATAACACTATTCGTTGTGATCGTCTTTATCCAGCTCGCCCTCAACGCTTACGGGTACTTCAAGAAGAATAACGGTCAAGAGGCCAAAGACAAGAATACAAACCGGAGCTCATGTACTCAGTTTGACTCGGAGAGGTTTGAAGCGGATGTATCAGTCAACAAGGAAGACAGAGAAGACCCTCTTGACGAGGGAAGTTCTCGGAACATTCACCCAGTAAGCACCATATCCCATTCTTCTGGGACTTCAGATCTGACAGCATCCGTGGCAGTCCCTGGAATTGCAACTGGTGAAATTTCCCTCCATACCTCGGTCGATCCAATCAACTGACGAGATGTAGTCGGCTGTAAGGTTAGCGTCTACATTCATAGCCCCCCTGACTCGTGAAGACTCGAGCGTATATCTCGATTCCGCGACAAGCACTCGCACGCGTCGTATCCGTCGGCTCGTATCCCACATCAAGCTGCGCCCCGCCAAAGAAGAACCAGTCCACTTTCACGACAAGAAGATTCCAAAAATCAACTCGGAGTATCGTAGGAGTCAAACGCAGGAAGAAGAAGCTCTGGTACAAGACTCAAGCCGGACCCGGATACTACGGATTTCAAACCAGCCGCTGGTTCAGCAGGTGACTCACGCTGTGTCGTTGGTTTTCCGCACCCCACTACGCCTTCCGAAGAACACCGTGACTGTGACCTGTCACGCCCCTGAGTCTGTCGAACGGCCTATCAGTGATGTAGTTACATTCACATATCCACCGTATCCAGTCAGTAAGATGGCTGACTCAAGCGAAAGGAAGTGGCCATGGCAGACGCGAGAGTTGTGTATAGAAGCCTAGACAATCAACTCATTGAAATCTCTCTGTAAATTATCGTAGGGGCTTCGTTTGAATCCATCCCTAAAACAGCCTTCGAGTTTTTGTGGTCAAGATGGTCCGTTCTCGGGCGGGCTTGCACTTCGAGTTTTCAAGCTGGTCCGTGCTCAGGCCATAGGTTCAAGACAGTACTATGTAGTATTAGACGCTTATGGACCCGACGCGATGATGAGGTCACGTGACCCGTGCCTACATATAAACACGCCAATCAACGAAGAAGTCGCGTTGTTCACCCTCTTACCACTACCACCACCAAGTGCGATCATCTTCTATTCATCTAACACACCACGCACACATACCATAAACTATAATGTCTGGACGCGGCAAAGGTGGAAAGGGTCTCGGAAAGTAAGTGCCAACGATATTTCTTAGTGAGTGTCATATCTAACTGGGCTTGTGTAGGGGCGGTGCCAAGCGTCACCGCAAGATTTTGCGTGACAACATCCAGGGTATTACCAAGCCCGTATGTCCTTGCTCTTATATGCAATCAACACCTATCTGATGTTCCGCAGGCTATTCGTCGTCTTGCTCGCCGTGGAGGTGTGAAGCGTATCTCAGGCCTCATCTACGAGGAGACTCGTGGTGTCTTAAAGATCTTCCTCGAGAACGTGAGTCACTCCGGCTACTGACTGCGGAGCTGTCACCTGACTCACTACAGGTTATTCGTGACTCGGTCACATACACCGAGCATGCCAAGAGGTAAGGATCTAACTGCTGTGGCTAGTGTTAGTTCTCACGCCGACGGCTTGCTATTTTTTAGGAAAACCGTGACGGCGCTCGATGTCGTGTATGCTCTCAAGCGCTCTGGGCGCACGCTCTACGGCTTTGGGGCATAAGCCTTCTATAATTTATTCTTACTTGTGCAGTTTCGATTTGTTGAGCGAAAATTATGAGCTAGTGAAGACCGAGGATAGCGCTCGTTTCTGGTGTAGGATTTGTGTGGTATGTTACTACAGCTCAATGTTACTTGCTAGGTCTACGATATGATGTACACTATTCTTGTCATACAAACAGTTATGTGCCATGTACTTGACAGTGACGGGAAGCATGCAAACTGATGGAGTGTGCTGTCGACTACAAGTCGCCTACATAGCCTATTAGTCTCGATCCGGGCTGACAAAAGTCCGATTACGGGGCGTGTCTTGTAATGGGAAATTGTAGTTCGAGGAACACGTGAGAGAGTTTGTGTGGGAGGAAAGAAGAGGTCAAAGACTCGGAGTTTGGAAGGAGCGAATCAATCGCGAGTTGGAATTGCAGGGAGAGTTGATAGATATTCAGCCCCATGGGCTGAACGGACTTGGGGTACTTGTACAGTCCGGTGCTTATACAATTACGTGCCATGTACCTGACTTGTGGTGAAGGACCGATGGAGTGTAGTAATAATATTAGTGTCGAAAGCAGGGTTGTCTGCCCAAGGAATGCCGATTAGGTCCTACCCAGCCAACCGCGACACAGCCAGTAACCTTCTGCAGAGTCAGCGCGGCTTGACTCCGGCTTGATATAATGTACGAGGTGGAAGTTAGGTTCTAAATGTTCCTTTCTGAACTCTTGCAGTAATGGATGAGCGAAATGCTTCAACCTGGAACAAACATATATGTGAGCAACTCCTCTTCCGGACAATGCAAGACGTACAGTAGTATCCCGCCGCAGGATGCCTTCCCTCGTTCATCCACTGTCCTAACAGTTAATGCACCTTGTGCGAAATCGAAGACTGCATGACAGATATCCAAACTCATTTGCGAGTCCCGAATTTTGCTTCCAGAAAAATTAGCTGCCATGTCGCTCAGCACGATATCTGCTGTACCCTCTGAATTCTGTGAACTCTTCAGCGCATCCCGTACGATACGCGCTGAACCCGGAGCTAGAAAGTCCATCTGTAACGTCTGCACGCCTGGTATTGGCACCATTGGCAGCAGATCCAGTGCAACAATATTTCCTCGCCCAGTAGTCTTGTTCATAGGTTCTGTACTCCAGGAACCGCGTTTCTGCACCTTCGCCTCTTCACGTAACCCAAAATCTTCCGCATTGTCTGCCGCCTCAAGGGTCCACCCAAAGTTTTCCGCGACAACCTGGCTCCAGCCGCCCGGAGCTGCACCAAGGTCCACGACACTGCGCACGCCAGGACGTGAGAGGAAGCGCCCCCACTTGTCATTAAGCTCGATGAGCTTGTAGGCAGCGCGTGAGCGGTAGGATGATGGCGAGGAGAGGCGCGCTTTGACAAAAGGGTCACGGGATTGTCGCGCTAGCCATGCTGTGCTCGACTTCTTGTGCAAAGGGAGCGTCGGACGGAACGGCATCAAACTAAAACGGAAATCCAAATATGAAAATCCGTTCGTGGACGATCGAGAAGTGGTTGTTTGTCAAAAGCCTTAGATCCAAACATCACGGGATGCACACCTGCGCAAAACGGGACGTAGTACTTCTACGTATTGAAGTGGCCAGAATTGACTAGTGATTCTCTGATTTTCAAATACCGCAAAGTGCATGTGCATTGTGCGCTTATCTAGCTAGTCATAAATATGTAACGGGTACCTGCACCTTGGGATTCCAACTCTCTTCCTCCCACACAGCCATCCAATCTACTAACTATCTCAACGGATATTGCGATGCCTCAAAAATATGCTCCATACGGCCTTTGGGAGTCCCCAATCACAGCTGATGCTATCGCTGAGGATGTACGTTCTCCAAAATCGTTTCTGATCGCTTGGTAGTATCTAAAACTGACCTGCATCGTAGAGCGTCTCCGTGAGCGACATATTTGTAGACCCAATCACGAAAGATATCTACTACATCGAACAGCGTGCATCAGAGAGTGGTCGATACGTGCTTCTGAGCAACCAGACTCAAACTGAAGTCTTCGCCAAGAACTTCAATGCGCGCACGCGCGTTCATGAGTATGGTGGAGCTGCTGCGATAGCTTATAACGGGACTGTGTACTCTTCGAATTTTGCGGACTTCCTCGTCTATGCCGCGAAAGATGGGAAGATCAAACCAATCACACCAGGTGCCTGTGTTAATACCCCAGACTACAACACCATACTAATGTTCCGTGCGCAGAGGACCCGAAGAAGATCTATCGCTACGCAGATTTCTGTGTGCACCCAGTCCATACTGACCTACTCGTCGCAATCTTAGAAGACCATACCCACGACACTCCGCAAACTGTGCGCAACTCTCTTTGCGTTATCAACTCCACAGCTACGACAGTCACGTCCTTGGTTTGTACTGAGGATGCACAAAGAGAATTTTATGCCGCGCCGACCTTCTCCCCCTCTGGTGATAAGCTCGCATGGCAGTTCTGGGAGCACCCAGATATGCCTTGGGAGGGAGGACGGCTCTATGTGGCTGACGTCTGCTACAACCCCAACACCCATACACTTAGCTTAAGCAACACAAAACTGGTAGCCGGTAGCGCTTGCACAATCAGCGCGTGTTACCCCTTGTGGGCCTCCAACGACAAGCTTCTCTTCACATCTGACGAAGGCGAGGAGGGAAATAGGTTCGCAAACCTGTGGGAATGCACTCAAGCGCGCACAAAACCAGTCCTCTCGTCTGTTGTGCAGCAAGACTTCTGCATGCCACCCTGGACGCTTGGAAATTACCCATTCGCGTTCCTGGACGATAATGGCACAAAAGCCATCTGTGTCGCATGGCGAGGCGGCCGAAGCGTCCTGTATGTTGTTGATATCACCACAGGATCCTACAAGGAGATCAAAGACAAATCGTTCGACTTTGTAGTTATCGAACATGTTCGTCGCATGTCGAACTATACTTTTGTCTTCACGGGATTGCGAAGCAACGCCCCTGGCGCAGCTATGCTCTGTACTCTTACCGGACCATCATTCGTGCCTGATTTCCAGGTACTCAAATCTACCGCATCGACGTCCGCTGTACCGTTCCCTGAGGGTATCATTTCGCTTCCAACCCCTCTCGAACTCAAACTGGCGGATAACAGGATTGTATATGCCGTGTACTACGCTCCAAACAACCCAGCATATGCGGGTTCGGGCATTCCGAACGAAAAGCCTCCCTGTGTGCTAGGCGTACACGGTGGCCCCACAGGATTAGAAACCCAGAGTTTGAACTGGCTGAAGCAGTATTTTACAAGCAGAGGATATGCTTGGTAAGTTCTGACGCACCCTGTAGGATCACCATGCTTATCAACTGCAGGTTGGATATAAACTATAGTGGTTCTTCGTGCTACGGACGCAAATATGTGTACGTTTATGTTTATCACCATCATTGACATGGAGCAGCACCGATGATGTAACTAGGGAGCGCCTCAAAGGGAACTGGGGTATTACCGACGTGAACGACTGCATCGAAGCAGTCCAATCGCCTGAACTCCGTTCCCTCATCGACACTAAGCGCACTGCCATCCGCGGCGGGAGCTCAGGCGGATATACTGCCCTTGCTTCCATTTCCCTCGCCTCCTCTGCGGCAAGCAAGACGAAGTTCTTCGCGAGTGCCACGAGCAACTTCGGGATCTCAAACCTCGAGCTACTTGCGGACGATACACACAAGTTTGAACTTATGTACATGACAAAGCTTCTCGGCGGTACGAAGGAAGAGATACCACATGTCTATCATGACCGGAGTCCAGTGTATTTTTCTGCGAGAATTGAAACACCGTTACTCGTAAGTTTTGTGTTGATGAAAGTGCGTTCTGATGAGTAGATCATGTTTCCGACAGGTTCTTCAAGGTAATGATGATGAAGTTGTTCCGCCTGCACAATCATGGACTATCATTGATGGGGTCATTAAAAACAAGGGGCATGTTGAGGCGCACTTCTTCGATGGTGAACAGCATGGGTGGCGCACGTCAGAGACGATCAAGAGGGCGATTGAGTTCGAGAGGGAATGGTATGAGAAGAGCATGGTGAGGGCCTCTCAATAAGTGAGAATGAAAAGCAGCAGTGTATTATCGGTGACATGATGTATGGATATGAGCGAAGGGAATGAAATGGAGATCTGTGCGCGACACATGTTCTTCACTGACTCTCACTGATTACTGGTAGTGACAGGCAGTTTATGACGGGCGTTGTGAAGATGTGGCTTTGATCTTGAAAAACTTCAAAGAAGCATAACGTCAGATTCAAATTACAGGCGTTGCAAAGCCATTGGATCCAAACAAGCCAAGCTTGAATTAGGCTACTACGTCCGGATCCCCAACGATATTGCTTCTGGAATATCGTCAAAAAGTATAGAACGGTGGGAGGTAAATTACAATCTACATAGATGTATTAACCCTCACACACTAACCACGGGTGGGCTCTCGATTATTGGATCAATTAAAACTGTTAAGGAGTCCGTATGTCGCTAGCCGAAAACCCGTCACTGCCGCATACTTGACCAGATCGGAAAACAGCTCGCATATATCATTATGAGCCAATCTCGACAGCAGCTACTCTCTTTCAAAACCTCAAGAACCTTGGTCTCGCCTACAAATACTCGAAGAGCGTTGCAGCCAAACGCGAATGACAGATCTCGGTGGGTAAGCCCCGTTTGCTTTATCAAGGGCATTCAGGTTGTCAATGTATTCTGTTGCTCACGGGTCGCGCTGTCTCCAGTGAAGAAGTGGCTTCGACAGCCTATCAGAGAGATCTCTGACATGGTCAATTTCCTGAGCAGGACCTTCGTGACGCTTGCAACTTCCTTCTTGTAAATGCCGGAAGTGCTCGAGGCTGGTATAGGCATGGTGACTATTTGTAAAAATAACATGTAGAGTGGAGTAGTTGGTAGTTGTTGCATCTGATGTATGAAAATGAATATAATCTACAAACGTGAATGGTAAATGTGCACAGGAACGGCATGGTTATCACTGTGTGGATTTCAAGTTCGTTCCTGAGAAGACCCATAGACGAAAGGGCTCACTGTTTCGCCAGCAGCACGCATCCAAAATATGTAGAATCTGCTCCCATCGATGCGCTCTATATGTTCTATACTTTCAAGAACAACAGCATGTGCTCGATCTTCCATCCTTCCTCCAAATGCAGGTACAGAGCTCGCTATTTTTGGTCAGGGCTGATCCTCTGATAGACCATGGGGAGTGTGAATAGGAGTGTGTTTGAAGCTGTTCAGACTCCAGAGGCCTACGCCGACTTATGTAAGTGAATTTTCGACATTTTTGCTATTTTTGAACCGCCACAAACACGTGAGTCAAGACTTTCGGAATCGACTGTACATGTATTCCTGACGAGTCCATCGAATTTATGTAAGTACACTGATATTATGGCCACAATGACAAGCATCAAAAGGGCAAGACTTGCGAACTCGCCAAAAGAAAACAAGAAAGTACAAGTTGTACAACTGCCTCCCCAAAGCGACCACCTTCTCGTATCCTCTACGAAAGGCAAACAAAAAACGAAACAATCTACGAAACTTCTCTCAACCTGCTTCAAGATAGTCGCTGGGTCCTACGAAAGACTGCTGTACGGCCTTGACGGATCTGTCTCGCTTAATGAGACAAATGATAGCTACAAGTTCGAGCTGCGACCAACCTTTCTATTTCCTGCACACGTATCGTGCATCAAGGCCGTCGCTGCATCTCCGAACGGCGGAAAATGGCTTGCTACTGGGAGCGCGGATGAAGTCATAAAGGTCTGGGATTTGCATAGGAAAAAAGAGATCGGCGGGCTCATGCACCACGAAGGTGAGTCATAGTGCGCTATACTATATCTACCTCCTGACAAATTGTTTTGACAGGGTCCATAACACAACTTCACTTCCCCTCCCGCTCGCATCTTCTCTCAGCGTCTGAAGACGGTACATTATGCCTCTTCCGTGCACGCGACTGGGTCGTGCTTCGCGCCCTCAAAGGTCACAAAGGACGAGTTAACTCTATGGCGGTCCATCCATCTAACAAAGTCGCGCTAAGTGTAGGCAACGATAATACATTGCGCATGTGGGATCTTATGCGGGGGAAGGGATCTGCTAGCACAAAGCTGGGGAAGGGTAAGTGCTTGTTTTTCTAGTCCCCAGATCCATTTCTCACCTCGTTTGATGATTTAGAGGGGGAAGTCGTGCGGTGGTCAACGACGGGCTCGTCGTTCGTCGTGCAATCTCACAACACGATCGATATATTCACAGTTGTAAGCACATGTCATAACTTTTCCGTATATTCGTAAATTCAATCCGATCGCACTTAGGACATGGTTCTTCGTCACACAATCACGCATCCATCCCGAATACATACAGTTCGATTTAGTAACCGAGTAAATGGCTCCGGAGAATTATTACTTGTTGGCGCAGAAGATAAAAAATTGTCGATTTACGACATGCCAGATGGCCCAGAAAAGATGCCCGTCGTCATTGCAGAAATCATCGGACATTCCAATCGGTACGTACAATGCACTCGTTCGGACTTTGTTTTTTTACCGTCTCTTTAGCATAAAAGCAGTCGAGAGCCTTCCTCTTGCACTACCCCGTTCAACGAAGGCAAATGCACTCCTCTCGACCATCATCCTGTGCACCGTCTCATCTGACGGTAAAATTCACCTTTATGACCTGGCTCTGCTGCCCGCCGATCAAAAAGCTGGAAGTGAAGTACTGCAGATATCACCTGTGGCTGAGTACGATACAAAAGGCACGCGGCTGACATGCGTGACCATCGCGGACGGCGAGGCTCTTGAGCATGCCCAGAGTGTGAATGGGAAGCGGAAGCGGGGAGATGAAGACAGCGAACAGGAAGATGAGGATGAAGGATGGGGAGGTCATGAACGAGAAGCAGAGCACGATGAAAGTGGGTGAGGCCGAGGTCTGACAGGTTCCTTGTTTATCGCATACTTAGCTGCTATAAACTCATCGATGCTCGTCTTCACTTTTTTCAGTTCGTTACGGTGTTCCTACTAGCATGAGCTCCAACCTCGTGTCATGACTCATTCAGAGTAGCGTAGTGCTTACTGCCTTCGCGTGCAGTCCGAGTCGAGATCATGATGTTTAGGTCCTGTCACTCTCAGTCAGTCAATCTTTCTTCTTGGTTCCTGGTAAGTATTCGCAATCTTGACGCTCCTCTATATCTTCATATTGATATCTATGTGAAAGGAATTCACCTTCACACCCTGCGAGGGTCATCTCAGATTCCAGAAACATAAGATATATCTCCAAGGTGCATATGGGTCAACCTAGATTCTCGATAGATTGAAAACTGTCAAGATTCACGGCCTTCACCACCAAACGAAAAACGTCAATGGAGCTGAAGGCCAGAAGAATGCACGTAAGCTAAGGACATGGTGAGTCTGTGGCAGTCAGATCTAGCCTCATCGATGGACATTCGTTCGGTCGTTGGTGTTAGGATACATGAAGCTAGGTACAAGAGTAAGATTACTTATTTGTCAGCTCACATAGACAGTCCGATTTGTTTTTTCGAGCGAGGATGAAAGGGCAGACCAGTAGCAATTTGCCCTGGCGAAAGATGACATCATTGGAGCCTCGGTTACTATATAGATCCGGATGTTCCAAACAAACATAAATACCCTATATTTTCCCATAGCCTGGTTCTCTCAAACTAATATCCTAGCTAGCAGCTTATCCACCGTGTCTCAGAACTCCCTCTCGTTTCGCAGACACGATGATCCCGCGAATCTCCAAGCGGTATGCCAGCACTGCCAAACCAAAACCCAAACCTCGCAAAGGCACAAAGGGTGTATATGGCGTAACACCAGGACATCAACACATATCGCCAGAAGAGCAAGCACGCATCATAAAGCGTCGCATCGAGAAGGCCGAGAGAGACGAGCGTATGGACATAACCATGGCACTGACTCCGGTCAAGACGTGAGCATCTTCACTCCATTGTTCTTATTCCATATATTCTGTAACAAGAGTTCACGGACATGGTTGTCCTACCATACTAATGGAGGCTGGCTAGCTGGCGTGGCTCCATGATGTCATTGACGTTATTCCTCTAACCGTTATCGTCCGCGTAACCTCGAGGCACGCAGTCTCCATTTGTCCTCGCTTGCTCGTATATCCCCTTATTTTTCCTCAGTGCTGACCATTCTCCTCTTTACCAGGCACATGGGAGGTTTTACCCGCCCCCGTGACCTACGTGCTCTGTATTGGTCAAAGGATGGTCCGTACGATGAACAGAAGAGGTCTTATGAAACGCCCTCTCCTGCAGCTTACGTCCCTCACACCGTTTACCTGCTCGAAGCCCGCCATTTGACCAGGCATGGTGAAGGACGTGCTGATTCCATTGAGCATGTCGTCGGCGTTTGCCGTGAATGTGATTTCCCAGATGTCCTTGCCAAATATAACTCTGCCTCTTCTCCTGCACTTGAAACCATGGACAACGCCCGCTGGTCCTGGGTAGCGCGAGCACATCCAAAGCGTGTCAAGTGGTGGAATCCTGGTGAAGATCCCAAGGAGATTGCGAGAGGGATTACTGAAGACAGCAAATACGAGGTTGATGATGTAGTAGCATTCAACGGCGAGAACAAGGGGTTTGAAGCCGTTCGTAAGGGAACATTGATTTTGCCCAAGCTCACCACGACTGGGCAACAAGTCCGAGCCTTCCACTCATCACCCACTCGCCCATATCCCTCCGAGTCTTACAACGAAGAACACATCGTTCCCAACTTTTATGTCAAGCACAAAAAAGATCGCAAGCTCCAGGCGGACAAGTTGATGAAATCCCCTGTCACACCGTCTACCACTTCTCCATCCGCCACTGATACTGCCGGTCTTGATGTCACGGTTGCTGAAGAAGCTGTCCACGATCCGACTCGACAAACTAAAGCCGTGAAAAGACGCAAGCATGAGGAGTCTGCACTCATGGAACACCTCTCAGACTCCATTCTTGGCGACGACCTTGTGGCCAGCACACGCCGCCTTGTCACCAAGATCCCTGTCGAGCACTACGACAAGGACGGTAATCTTGTGCACCCGAGCGGGTTTGTCGTTCCTGGCAAAGGTCACTCAAGCACTAGTGATGCTGCACGTGCCAAAGAGTGGGCGAGAGATCAGGACGAGGAACGTGCTGCACAGACAGCCTCGGTAGCTGAACGTGTGCTCGAATCAGATTTCGATCATGTGCATTCCGCCATGGCGAGTACGCGCCCGCGCTCTCATAAGGTTCCCTTTGAAATCAGGGAGCCTGACGGGACGGTGAAACACCCGAGTGGCTTCGTTCCTCCAACTCCCGCCAACGAGTTCAAGTATTCTGACAGCGCCAGTCTTGAGCGGGGTCTTGCGGGTGCTATTAGCAGACAACGCGCCCGTGATGTGGACAACAATAACTCCACGATCATGAAGGGCCGTCGTCTACACACCACTGCCGTTGTGCGCGCAAGTGAGGTAGCGCTTCCAACCTGTCTTGTGCAGCCTGTGCCTGCTCCTGAGATCGACTCTCAACCTTCATCAGGGCTCTCCGAAAGCGAGCCAGATCATGTTGACGCTATCCGCGCCAGATATCTGCCAACACTTGCACAAGAGCCCTTTTTTCGACCCCTCTTGACGTTGACAGTTTCTACCAGACCCCTTGCTAACAGTCTAGTGCGCCTTTCGCGTGCCCTTCCTCGCGGCCTTCCTTTCTATGCATCCGTCGTACCTGAGGACCGCAAGTTTTCGGACTCTTTTTCTTCTCGCATGCGCAACCTCCGTCTGAACCGTATGCAGGACCTCGCAGTAGCGATGGCACAGGAGCTGTCCGGCGCCCGCGGTGGCTTCGTAGGCATCCGGTTTTCTCCTGACGAACGAGGACGAGGTGTGGATGGGGAGGGTCTCGACAAGGCTTTGGACTGGAATAAGCGTGTTATTGGTGTCGGAATCGGCAATTGGTTCTCTCGTGCGCAGGAATTGAAAGAGGGATTCAAGATGGACGCGGATGAGGCCGTCGTCACTCCGTATACCTCTGAGGGGGTGCAACTGGACAGCGGCCCGTTCAAGATGTATGGGCTTGACGACTGGGGCAGGCGTATCTGCGACGTGACGGGCGAGGAGTTAGCGTACCCGTCGAAGTCTGCGTAGGCACACGCGGTAGAGCAAGATAATTCTGATGCGCTTGCGGAGACGAGGGGGACATAAGGTGGAGAGGAGGCTTGCGATTCTGAGGAAGCTGTTGGCGAGACTGTTGGCGAAGGTCGTGCTGTGAATAAAATGTGTTTTATTGCTCTACAGACGGCTTGTCATAGGGATTGTATTTGTATCATACCCATCATCACGCTTGTGTTCTTACAGTACTATTCAAGCATCTTGTTTACACTACAGTGTGTTGCATATGAGATTGCAGTACGTGTTTTTCAAAAACTCGGCCTCGCTACCTTTACCGGCACGTTTACACCCTAATTAGGTCAAGGGATGTGACATCTTGTAAGCAGCAGGCCCTGGCTAGACTAACACGTCACATCCCTTGACCTAATTAGGGTGTAAACATGCCAGTAAAGGTAGCGAGGCTGAGTTTTTGAAAAACACGTACTGCAATCTCATATGCAACACACTGTATGATGCATTCGTTGTAAATGATGGTCACTGAACAATGCCTTGATGATACCCTGAAGTTCCAGAGACTATCGTGGGAAACACCTGGGTAACACCATGTGTATATAGTACATATTGGTAACAATTATGACATACCATACTAAGTGGGGGCAAAACCATATGCTGCAGCACTCAGCAGTGACTTTTGTAGAACTGCAGAGGGACTGGTACTATAGATAATAGGGTAGATATGATAGGATCTATCCTGGACTTATCTAATCTGGTTACATGCCTTTTAGACTCTGTGCAATCAACACTGCCACAGTCATGATGAGCACCATATCTCACTCATTTCACACCATTCTTTTCTGCTCTTTTCTGACATTTCTATTGCTATTATAAAAGACCCCATTAATATTTGTGTGAGTATCTGAGTGAATATTAGCTTATTCCCTCCACTCTTTTGGCACTGTTTCCCACAATGTATGGACCATCTGAAGGTCATCCCTGAGTTATAACAAATGATATTAGCTAGTACATGATTATTAGTCATCTAGTGTAGTTCCACTTCATTCTCTATGACACAAGAAATCAATTCTGTGGGGAGAATTCACATATTTTAACAATTAAGGATGACAGATAAGATTTATACTTTAGTCAACAGTATTAAGAGCTTGGCCCACTTTAAGACTACATTACAGAAGTGTACTCTGTTCTGATCCTGCCTCAAACTAAATGTGAGTGCTTGAGCAGCAAAAAGGTTGGTTTCAAAGCCATGTATTTGGTTGAATTGATTGTATCCAACTCTTAGTTTAATCTCCCCTGATTGTGAGATTAAGGAGTATCCAAGAGATATCACTCTGACTCACTGCATACTGTCATTCTGTCATTGTAGTGTCATAGCACTGCATCATGCCAGTTATTGATCCAACTACACTGTAAGTTCATGTTGGTCCATTTCTGAGGTCCCTAAGTACTGCATCATGTCAATTAACAATAACTAACCTCTGAGTACCTGTTAAGAACTGGGTTGCTCAAGCAGAGAGACTGATTCTGAGGTGCTTGGCCTCAGCTCATGCACTGTGCCCCTTACCTGAGTATGTGCCCTTCATTTCAGATGAAGTCTGATGATGGTCCAATGAAGTCCAAAGGACCTCCAGAGGAGTGTGGGAAACATCCAGTGGAACATGGGAGAGTTCTGGAGGAATACAGGAAATACTCAGAGGAGTTTCCACTGCACAGGAAGTGGAGAGAACCCTAGGCAATACCTCTAGAGGAAATGGAATGGAGGTAGGGAACTGCATGGGTATGGGTCTAAGGTAGTGATACCTGTACCCCTACCCATACCTGCACCATGGGTTTGACCAGTACCATATGACCAATGTGTCACAATTCTTCTGTTTGTCACCACTTACTATCAATTGCCCATGTCTGTGCAAGTTAATGATCTTGGAGAACAGTGCCAGTGACACTGTACTAATACAGGTATGTTTTTATTTATATTTTTGTACTGCTTGTTTTTAATTTCTTGCACTTGGCTTCAAGTTCATTCATCTGGGCTTGCCTGTACTCATTTGAACTTGCCTTCATTCATTTTCACTCCCCTGTACTTGCCTGCACTCATTTGTACTTGCCTTCATTTATCTGGACTTGCCTGCACTCATTTTCACTTGCCTGGACTCATCTGCATTCATCTGGGCTGGCCTGCACTTGCTTGAACTCATTTGTACTTGCCTTCATTCATCTGGACTTACCTGCCCTCATTTTCACTTGCCTGGACTCATTTGCATGTGTATGGGCTGGTGTTACAATCGTGGTTACCCCCTATCTCTTTTTACTTGTGTATTACGTCGTGACCGCATCTAGCTATGCCATCATTAGACTAACTGTTTTCCCTATTTTGTATTACATCACGATCGCCACGTGCCGTCGCTAGGTGACTCATTCCCTTATCTCTGACTCACTCATGACGTCACTAGATGACTCTCTCTGACTCGATCGATGACACATGTGTACCTGCCCTAAAGTACCTATGTCTATATAAGACCGGTCATGTACTTAGATAGATCTTCACTTTAATCTACTAGGTCTTACCTGACTATCCTTCGCTTAGGACCTCCAATCCTAAGTCATCTGATAACCGATATTTGAGCCAGAGACACTCTCTCTGACTTGTCTTAAGAACCTTACATTTGTAAGGACACGATCCGACTTCAGGCGTAACTCTTATCGAGTACCTGTTGTCGCGCCTATCCTAGTCGACATACGGTTCGCCATAACAGCTGGCCTGCATTCACTTGAACTCATTTGTACTTGTCTACATTTGTCTGGGCTTGTCTGCACTTGTTTTTGCTTGCCTGGACTTGCCTTCACTCATCTTAGCTCATTTGTACTTGCCTTTATTTATCTGGACTTGCCTGGACTTGTCTGCATTCATCTTGGCTTGCTTGAACTTGTCTGTATGTATTTGTGCTTGCCTGTGCTTCCACTCCTCCTTCTGGTGCCCTTGGGTGTCATCCACATATGTTTGAATCATGTCAGCATTTGCTGACATGTGCTGGACATGTATGCTAAGCACTGATGGCTGACCTGTTGGTATATTCCTCATGGGTAATATCCTGGGTCCATTTTGTTGATACCCACAAGAAAACCCATACCTGCACCACAGGTACAGGTATATCTCTGGGTATGGGTATGGGTCCAACTGATCATACCTGTGGGTTTACCCATGCAGTTCCCTAAATGGAGGAGAGATCCAGAGGATGGAAGGACAGGAGGTACAAAGGTACAGAGGACAGGAGGACAGGTGGTCCAAAGGTATGGAGAATACAACTCTGAATAGGACAAAAATTGGAAAAAAAAAAAAGGTATGGAGAATAGGAGGACTGAAGGTCTGAAGGTCTGGAGGACAGGATATCTGGAGGTACAGAAAGAATAGGGGCTACATTGGATGAAGTCTGATGTAGAAACAAGCAGAGATGGACTACATTTATGTAGAGTCAGAGAGACAGGAAGTGGACCAAAGTCCAGAGAGAGGGTAAGGCAAGACTCCAGCCTAGGAAACCATCCCTAGGCCTTAGTGGAAAGGACAGAAGTCCAGAAGAAGACTGGGCAAGTCTAAGATGATATTCAAACTGAGGAAACTACAAGAGTTATACAGGGGTTATATACTGTAGGATGTCTCAGAGGGTAAGCAAAGGAGTGAGGCTGTGTACAAGCATATACAGTGGCTCAAAAAACTGTCCGCATGTTTTGACATTTTTCACTATCTATGATATTGTGTGAGAACGAACAAATGCCTCAAGGACATGCTTATACCACATTGTAGTATGGCTTCAGGGCTTTCATTTGAGCCCTACACCGTGGGAATCGGTGGAGATATGGTGGAGATACAAGGCTCACAAAATGGTGACTCACGTGGACAGTTTTTTGAGCACATATTAAAACTATATAAATCATCATTTATGACACCATAACAATCATGCCACCATTAAATAAATTATAAAGTGGTGTCATTATGTCATTTTAAAACCATATCTAACTATACAAACCAAAAATTTCCATATGTCATGGTTATATTCACCATGAAAGCCACCCCCCCTGCTCAAAGGGATAATATCCTCTCTCTTTCCTATTCTGGCCTCTCTGCTTGTCAAATTTCCTCTAGAACTGGAGTATCCAAGTCCACTGTGGCCAAGTTCATCAAAGAAAGTCACACAGACAGGGAAAACTTCTGTGAAGGGCATCCATCCAAGCTCACCTCTACTGATAGGAGGGCTATTATTCAACATATCGCTACAGGACAGGCTGATAATGCTGTCCAGGTCACCTATTACATCAATTCCACCATCACATTCCCTGTCTCTTCACACACTGTGAGAAACATTCTCAAGACAGCTCATCTCAGGTCAGTAACAAGGAAGAAAAGGCTTTCCTCTCTATCACACATAAACAGAGATGACTAACCTTTGCCTTAGCCCATCAGAATTGGATTACATGGACTGGAAGCATGTTATATGATCATATAAGACCACAATAAATAGGATTGGGTCAGATGGCAAGGTATATATGTGAAAAAAGAAGGGTGCTAGTCCTCTCTGCATATGTGTGATAGAGAGGAGAGCCTTTTCTTCCTTGTTACTGACCTGAGATGAGCTGTCTTGAGAATGTTTCTCACAGTGTGTGAAGAGACAGGGAATGTGATGGTGGAATTGATGTAATAGGTGACCTGGACAGCATTATCAGCCTGTCCTGTAGCGATATGTTGAATAATAGCCCTCCTATCAGTAGAGGTGAGCTTGGATGGATGCCCTTCACAGAAGTTTTCCCTGTCTGTGTGACTTTCTTTGATGAACTTGGCCACAGTGGACTTGGATACTCCAGTTCTAGAGGAAATTTGACAAGCAGAGAGGCCAGAATAGGAAAGAGAGAGGATATTATCCCTTTGAGCAGGGGGGGTGGCTTTCATGGTGAATATAACCATGACATATGGAAATTTTTGGTTTGTATAGTTAGATATGGTTTTAAAATGACATAATGACACCACTTTATAATTTATTTAATGGTGGCATGATTGTTATGGTGTCATAAATGATGATTTATATAGTTTTAATATGTGCTCAAAAAACTGTCTGCATGAGTCATGATTTTGTGAGCCTTGTATCTCCACCATATCTCCTCTGATTCTCACAATGTGGTGCTCAATCCAAAGCCCTGAAGCAGCACTACAATATGGTATCAGCATGTCACTGAGGTCTTTATGTATTCTCACACAATATTGTAAATAGTAAAAAATGCAAAAACATGTGGACAGTTTTTTGAGCCACTGTATAGTGAGCAGAAGCATGCAAGTATGCACAAAACTACTTACCAGCTATCTTTGCCAGGTTAACATAGGCAAGTACCATTGGCCCATCAACAGCATTGGTGTCAGGCTCAGCATTGGTTTTACCCTCATCCTTGTCTGCATTACCTTCAGTATCATTAGTTGCATGATGGTAGCACCCAAAAGGCTCATCCTGTTCTGGGATATCTTGTTTGATGTGTGCTTCCAATGGTGCATTCAGTATCCCTGCGAATTGTGAAGGTGGTGATTAGCATTGGCGAGCCCAGCATCATGAAAATCACATACCAAGTTTGTTGAGGATGTATGGCAAACACATCCCTTGTAACATCCCACGGTCAAAAAAATCAACACATGAAGTGGCTAGCTTGTTGAGACATTGATTGGTTAGTAACATTTGACTGAGAGCTTTGAAATGACTTGACCGGCACCATGGCTCCTTGACGGCTTTAATGTATTTGGACTCTGTAATAGATGAACAAAGTGTTACAACCACATATACCCCTGTTCATTTTCCCTTCCTTACTGTGTATTACGTCACAAGCCACATGATGCCACTGCTAGACTTACCTCTGACTCATACCTTGTGTTACATCACAATTGCCGCTGCCATTGCTAGATGACATATTCTTGCTATCACTTATGCATCCCTTATCTCTGACTCATTCTGTTCACATGCCTACCCTAAAGCACAGTAGTTCACTATAAATAGTCCTCCTGTACACTTTAGTTCTGCACTTTAATCTTACTAGGTTTTACCCTGGATATCCTTCACTTGAGACCTCCAATCTCTTGTCATCAGAATTGTACTTTAGGTTAAAGGCACTCCCTTCGACTTAGCTTACACTGAGCGCTCAACTTATTGTCTTGTGTAGAATCTCAACAGAGGTCATTGACTCTTATCGAGTCGTCTGTTGTTAGAACCACCCTAGTTTGTAACACAAAGCCCATTTGGTGTGCTGAATGCTTGAATGAGCTTATGGTAATGGATGAGTGAATGTTGTTGAGGGAGATTAAATCCTTTGGGCCAAACACCAGATGTTTGGAATATCTTGCAGTACCTGTGGAAACACTTCAAGGCATCATCCATTGTGTTGAGGCTGCTAGAGCTGATGATGTTGCAACAAGCAATGTAGATGAAGTTGAGTAGCGCTTGCAAGGCCTGTACCATCTCTGTGGGTATGTGACCTTTAATAGCAGGTATATAGACCTGTGCAGTAAATGCGCATTAGAAATATTAGTACTGTTGCTATGAAAAAATAGAGGAATATTGGTACAGACCTTCATGAGAGCTTTTGAGTTGTCACCAGTCCACTGTTTGAATCCTCTACCCTCTGGAAATCATCGAAGGCCTGCAAATGCTGGAGCTAGAGTGATGCTAGTAGTGTGACACATGTTCAGCAGCAGCAGCAGCTAAGTGAATTTGAAGATAAACTTACTGATGGTCAATGTCGTCCAGTATCCTGTTCATATTGGCTTCTGTATATTGAGCCTCAATGTAGTCATGCACCCACTGAACTAGGTGGTCCTTGAATGCTCCCTTGATGAGCTAGTGTAAGAGAGGAGCTCATGTATGTTGGCACATGGAAGGTAGTTAGTGAATGGCTGTATAAATAGTGTAAGTTCAAAAGAGATGAGTAGATAGAGTATTGTACATACCACAATGTCTCCAACAAGGCAGTATTCATCCCACAGAACACCTAGTTTGAATTCCTCAACCAAAACTTCAGTGTGAGTATGGGAACATTGGCCATACATGCCTTCATTGAGACTGTCTGCTGGTGCAGTGCATTTGCCAGTGTAAGTAATAGTAAAATAGCACCATAGTAGTCATACTTAGCATAGGGACACGAAGAATAAGACAAACACATACTTTGGACACCAATTTTGTACAATACATGCAAGCAGTGCTTGCTTGGGATAGTCTGCTATGTATGGTCCAAGACCATACACAGCTTGTTGAAAGTGGCCATCAGGGCAATGGACAACCTCCGGTTTGGTCATGCCAGGCTTGAGGGTTTCAAGCATCTTTGTGAGTGATGAGTGTAGAAGCCAGTGGCGGAACTTTCAGAAGTGTGCATCCTTTGTGGCTTCACTATCAGCTAATTCAATCAGTACAATATGAGTAACAGCAGTGCACACAATTAGAATAGAGTACATAGTTTTCAGAATGGCTAAGAAGCCAAGTAGTACAATGCCATTGCAGTGTGCATGCCACACATTGTTGTGGATGTTGCCAATGGACATGTAGACTGGCCAGTATTGGTTATGGCCAGTGGTGACAGAGACTGTTGTCTTGTCACTTCCAAGGATGATAGGAATGAACATTGATCCTATTGTATCCAGATCTTGCACAATTAAGTCCTGCAGTGAATAATAAAAGTGAGACAACAACACAAAGAGTGAGTGAGCAATGCTTACAGCCTGTTTCCAACACCAGTTGCCGGACATAAAGTCATGAAATTGATGTGCTCCATCACTAACACTATACTCCTGTACCAGTGCATAGTCAAATTTGTCCTTGAAATCCAGGTTCAATATGATGTTGTGCACCAGGAGCCAAGGGTCTTGGAACCATATGTCATACTCAGACTTCATCCATGATGGAACATCATCTGAGTCATCAGGTAGAATTCTGTTGTACTGCAAACTGAAGCTTTGCCAGGGAACACCACCAAGAGAAGTTGAATTGATGGTGTCATACATGTCAGTATGGTTTGTGAATGGCAGAGTATCACCATGAGCTGCTAATGAGGCTGCCCACAGATTGAACATAAAATCAATGTCGCCCATGGACATTTGGTTGCGATGGTACAGGAAATTGGCAACTTCAAACTCGACATGTTTGTTGTATGGCATCCAGTCATCAGATCCACAATCTGATGGGTGTGGAGGTGGTGGAGCATCTAAGGGTATGGGATTCCCTTGATCATCACAAATTCTCCCTTTGTAGAGGAGAATTGAGCACAAATTGTGTGAGCATTGAGAGAAGTCATGTACTGTTTATGATGGGATGATATGTCCTAGTTAACTGAGGTCAACTCTGAGCTTGGCTGTCAGAACTAGCACTGCTACCAAGAGGCTGATCTACATCCAAGCCACCTGTAGAGTCTGCCAGTGGCTCAGCAGAATGCTGATCCTCAAAGGCATTGTATGGTGCATCATGTTCAAAATCATGGCCACCACTAGCCTGAGTGCAACTGTCAGAAGCTCCCTCCAATCTGCTTTGGCTGTGCAAATGATATGTTGCATCAGATAAGGGACGGCCAGGGCCAGATTGAGATGCCAATGATAAACTGTGCTTATGACTAGTAGGTGGGGGAGAACTACTGGAACTGGAGGATGAATGGTGTGGCAGTAGGAAATTTTGTGGTTCATGCTGTGATCACATGTTGGAAGTGCACCCAGACCTATTATGGAAATGGCGGGTGCAGCTTACTGCTAAGCAAGGTAGTGTAGGCTGACGATGGCTAAGGGTGCGCATTTTGTGAATATGGAGGTTGGTACTGGCTGGTATTGTGAGATGGTGTAGAACCAGCAGGGTAATGAGAGCCTACAAGTCTGAGCTTCAGAGGTGCATGTGGCATGAAATTTATATTCAAACCTACCTTAGCATAAGAGCCTGTGAAGGCACCACTTGAATCATGAGGTGTATGTGTTGTTGGGAGCAGTGAGAACCTTCCAAAAATTACATGAGGCAATGATACAACAAACATGTGTACTATACACCAACAATGGGGCAGCCAAAGTTGGACAGTGTGAATGATTGCCAGGAGATCCAGATTGGGAATGGGGTAGGGTAGTGGGCTCTTCTAGAAAAAGTGTTTGACATGAGGTTGGCAGGCTAGTAAAAGTGGCGAGATTGTCATGCACAAGTTCAATCACAGAGTTCCATTCAACATCTGGGCAAACATTGAGAAGACTGCCATATTAATCACAGAGTTCCATTCAACATCTGGGTGAACATTAAGAAGACTGTGGTATTAATCAAGACAGGCTAGCATAATGAATTTGGATTAGCTTTCTCTGAGTCACTGAATAGACATGAGCACTTACTGAGGAACATGCTTGCCTGCAGGCACAAACATGGTGAGATTGTCATGCACAAGTTCAATTGCAGAGTTCCATTTGACATCTGGGCAAACATTGAGAAGACTGCTGTATCAATCAAGACAGGCTGGCATAATAAACTTGAATTAGCTTTCTCTGAGTCACTGGATAGACACAAGCACATACCAAGGAACATGCTTGCCTGCAGGCACAAACATGGTGAGATTGTCACACACAAGTTCAATTGCAGAGTTCCATTTGACATCTGGGTGTTAAGAACCATGCTCAAAGGAGAGAGAGACTGACTCAGAGGGGCTTGGCCTCAGCTTGTATGCTGTGCCCCTTACCTGAGTATGTGCCCTTCATTTCAGAGGAAGTCCAATGATGGTCCAATGAAGTCCAGAGGAGTGTGGGAAATGTCTGGAGGAGCGTGGGAGAGTTCCGGAGGAATGCAGGAAGTGCTCAGGAGAGTTCCCACTGCAAGGTAGTACTTCTACAGGAAACAGGATGGAAGGGTAGGATGTCCAGAGGACAGGAGGACAGGATGTCTGAAGGTCTGGAGGACAGGAGGACTGAAGGTCCAGAGGACAGGATGTCTGAGGGTTAGGAGGATAGGATGCCTGGAGGTGCACAGGACAGGATGTCTGGAGGTCCAGAAGGAATAGGGGCTACATTGGACTTTGTCTGATACAGAAGCAAACAGAGGTAGACTACCCTTAGGTAGAGTCGGAGAGACAGGAAGTGGACCAAAGTCTGGAGAGAGGGTAAGTGCTGGAAAGGCAAGACTCCAGCCTAGGGAAGCAATCCCTAGACTTGGGACAGAGACATAGGGGACAAATCCGAAGGTCTGGAATTCTGGCCTAGGGAATCTTTCCCTAGGCCTTATAGAAAAGGACAAGACTCAGATGGACTGAAGTCTGGAAGATGATTGGGTAGATCTGTGATATTCAGACTAAGGAAACTACAGGAGTATCTACAGGGGTTATATACTGGAGAATATCTGAGGGGATCAGTAAGCAACAGAGTAAGGCTATGTATGAGCATGTGGAAACACATTAGTAAGTAAGACAGAACATAACTAAATGAACTCAGAGATGAAGACTCATACAAGGATCAATCAGCAAGATGGAAACAGAGATAACCGAGAACTGGAAAGGTGGAGATGCCTAAATGGGGATAGGCACAGGATCTCAGACAGAGGGTGGGGATGGTCCAGAGATAGTACAGTTAATATCCGGAGGTCTGGAGATCTGGGGATCCAGAAGGCAGGGTGGAAACAGGACTGAGATATGTGAGGTGGTGGATGTAGTCTGGAATCCAAGAGGAGGTAAAGTCTGGATGTCTTGCTGGATGGAATGTGCATAGGGTGGACAGGATAGGGGATCCAGGAATGAGTCAGATATGGGTTCCGGAAATAGGTCTGGAAAGCGTGGGAATATGATGGGATCCATGTCTGGCATACAGGATATGACACTGGGCGAACATTGATTAGCTCTGTAGATAAAAAAAGATTGATAGCAGTTGTATAGATATCATTGAACACATACCAGGGCGGGAGTCCAATGCCAGTGTGCCATGTTGGTGAGGCATGGCAAAACCCTAAGTCCCAATTTGAACCACTTTAGTTATTACAACTACCACCATTGTAAAGTTGACAAAATTTGCTCACCTTTCATGTCTTGCTTCTTCCACCACTCTGACTCACCAATATGTCTACTTGTTGTGTTACCTGCTGAAGGTTCAACTACTCTGCTGGTTTGCAGAGCAAAAGAAAGAAAGAGGGCTCTGACTCTGGGGGAAGAGAAAGGCTACTGACTCTCTATGTGTTGGTTGAAGTGTGCCAGGCAATATGTTTGACCCTTAGGAGAAGCAAGGAGAGCAAGATCCACAAAGTGACACCAGGTCAACTCTGGTGAAGCGCACTGAAAGCATGTGTGTGGGAATGTGGAGCATGTAGGAGCACAAAGTGTGGGAATAGAGCATGTGCTGTGCACGAACATGTACTAAACTGGTGGAAGGGCATGAGGACATGTGCTGAGGCTGCTGAGTGGTGACTGATAATAATGGACTGTTGCTGAGAACTAGGGTGATGATTCTGATGGATGCTAACTCATGATAATGTATTCTAACTGCTAGATGATAAGTGACATGATAGTGGTTCATTGATGAAAACTTTCTAGGCAACAGGTAAGCTGTGCCTAGGCATGCTCCCAGGGCTCAGAAGTGAATAGGGAGTGCTCTATGTATGTAAAATGATATAAAGTAAGGGTCCATGATGAAATATAGTGTCATATAATGCTAAATATGGTCTGATAATGAAAATAAACAAGAAGGGACTCACCAGGGGACTGGTTGGATGATGGATGGATGCTCCTGGATGCTGCATGACATAAGGTGACTGAGCATGGGATGAGCACATTAAGTGCGTGTGTGGGAATGCATTGCGCCTCTGGCACATTTCATGGGAAAGTCATAGATGGTGAGTTGCACACTGTACCAATTGTTGTGAGTTGAAACATGTGTGATCTACACCTAGAGCAATCTCATTCTCTACACCACACCAAGAATGCAACTCAGCATCCTGGTCTTATAGATGTGGTCCTGAAGAAGAAATGTCACACAGCTGCAGAAGTAGCTGCTAAGCATCAGGCTAAGTTAGATGCCAAAGAAGAAAAGGAATGTGCCAAGGGTGCTAGGATCAAATGTGTTGCTGATCATGAGAAGAAACAAGCAGACAAGGACATGTCAACCAATGCTACCCCACAGGCTGTAGCCTTACCAAAATCAAAGCCCTGTCCAAGGCCTATTCCAAAGAAGACTTGTGCAAAACCCTCTCTGCCTCCTAAAGATAATGGATTCATTTCTGATGTTGAGATGAAGGATGCCATCAGCAGCACCTTCAACCCAGATCCATCCCAAGCCTCAGAAACAACTGACTCCCACATGGAGGGCTTGGAGCTGAGTGAAACTCCTATGTCCCCACCAAAAAAGAAGGCAAGGATTGACAAATGGGAGGGTAGGAAGGTGCCAGCTGAGAAGCTTAAGGTATGGGATGCAATTAAGGTGGTGCAGCTGGAAGAGGCAAATGAGCAGGAGAAGAGGAAGAAGAGGAAGATAGCCCAACCTCCCAGCACAATAAGCATTGACTCAGATATGGAGTTGAATGTCCTGGTCATTGATGTGACACCTACAGCAACTCACAGCAAAAGATCAGCCCTTCAGCAGGTCAATCACTCAGATGATGAACCTATGGATACTGATATCCCTGATAAGCCTCAGTGGGCAATGCCAGCCTTGAGCAATGAGAACACACCTAAGGTGTGGCCTCATGGTAGTCAGACTGAAGAAAGGGGTAGCAGGAAGGAGAAAATGATGGAGAAGGCAAAGGTGAAGGTGACGGAGAAGGCAAAGGAGAAGTCAGATGATAAGGGGAAGGGGAAGCAGCAATGTGATAAGAAATCGGTTCAGCCAAAAAGGTACAAAGTTCCCTTCTTCTTTTCCTGTTGTCACTTGTCCATCAATATCATGCTCACTCTCAATGAAACAACACTTTATTATTTTTTTCTCAGTGATTCTACTAGTACTATGGACTCAAAGGAATTTTCAACTGGCATCAATGATTGGGCTGTGAGCATCCCAAAGAACTCAAAGCCTGGTAGCAAAGCCAACACCAGCCAGCCCAGCATTTTTAAAAATAGCTCAACCTCATGTTGCAATGGATCCATTCTTCCCCCCCTGACCAATGGCAGCACTCAATCATCATCCAATTCAGTCTTGACTAACAATGTTTTGATTTCTCATGCAGAGCCGGTGATTCACATCAAAGAAGAACCCAAGAACTATTGCCTTGGAATCATTGATGGGGGGGCTCTCTGACAAGGACAAGACCCAAGGTCTTGAATGTGAGGCTGCAGTTGCCAGCCCTCCGAAAGGGAAAAAATGAGCTACAAGCTCAGTAAGTGTCTCATTTTGATATCATGTTTATTTCTACTACTACTGACCACTACAGGCTCTTGTTAAAGATTCCCCCACCAAGCCCACAGCCTGTCAAACTGAACAAGCAAAGAAACTGAGCAATGATGACCTCCCCAAAGGCATTGATCCCAAAATCTGGCGCCATGTCTTTATCTCAACATACATACAATATGTTGCAACATTGGCTAATCCCTGGGAGGTTCCCACCAAGCTGGCCTGTGAGAAGATGCAGGTGATTTGGGATGCAATCTTTCCCCATATTGCTCACACAGTGACAAGCCTTAGTTCAGTCTACTACATTGTAAGTGTGCTCAATTTTATTAACATAGTACTAACTTAGATCTACTTCAATATAGGCTGTCCAGCAAGTTGCCAACTCCTACTGCAGCAACATTGGCTTGGCAGCTATCACAATTGTCATTGTGTACCTTGAGTCTCAGGACTCACTGAGGGACTCTGACAACAATCATGCAGAATTCACAGAGTACGCACTCAGCAACCTTCAATTCTTATACAAGAAGGTGAATGGTGATGACAAGTCTGTACATACTCCTTCCATCTCAATCAATTCCAAAGTTGTTGTTGTGCTAACACTTAGTGCAGAAATTCTGGGGCCTTTATCAAGGTGCATTTGTTGTGCAAACCTTCAGTGCACACTTCACCATGACCCATGGTGCCCAAAAGATACCTGGGGTAGACAAGCCAGGTGTACTAGCAAATCCTGCTGGGGGTCTTGCATTGTCATGTGCCATGGTAAATACTTGTCATCTTATTTATTCTTGAATCTCATGAACTAACAATTCTAACTAGGTTGAATGAGCTTTAACTCTCTGGTCTACTCATACTCTCACCATCAAAATGGTTCAGGCAGCAAAGAACAAAACCAGCATTTCATTGCTGAAGATGATGAATCAGTCCACTGGCAAGGTGTCCTGTTGGCAAACAGGATTCAACAACATCTCCTGGGGTATATTGATGTGTGCCTATGTGAAGGCTATCATGAAAAACCTCCATGAGGACAAGTTCAAAGTCATTGTTGCATCTGCCATGGAATTCTTGAAGAAGAAGAGTCCTGGTGATGACGTCAATGATGCTGCTGTGGAGGATGACCTTGATCTGGATGAGTGTGCTCAGCTGGTGGACATATCCAACGCTGAGTCTGAGGGAGATGACAGCTCTGACATGGAGTAGGAGCCTCAACCTGCCTGGGCCATCACATGTAAATGAGCCTGACTCATTTCTTCCAGTTGTTCACTGTACTACTACTACCCTTTCCTTCTCTAGCAACTCCAAGTCAGAGACTCGGAAAGCCACTGCTGCTGCTGCCATCTCAGGCTGGTGATACTATCATGGACCTACTACTACTAACTAGTTTAAGTACTAGCCTATAGCCTAGTACTATGTTCTTGCACAATGCTAGTACTACTGCTTCACCACATAACTTGAACAGATGCTTTCTCACCACTTGAAGGCTTCTTACTATCATGCTGCTTTTGGCTTATCTTACTTTCTGTCCTTAAGGGTGCGCTCAAGCTCAGTCAGGACCACTCAGAGAGTAGTAAAGTAGTGAGAAGTACATTAAGTGGTGTGCATGCAATAAATAGCACTAAGTCACCCATGCAAAAGTTCAGTTGTTTTTGACTTAATATTGACTTTTGAACCTTTGGAGCCTGAAAGTACTTTGAAACAGTCTTCCTGCTAGTAGTAACCTTAGTAGTGCTATTACCTTCACTTAGCTTGAATAATAAGCACAGCAATCAGAGCAGCTAAGTCACATTCATCCAAAGACCCTACTTGTGGCAAGTCACAATCCCCTTAATGTTTCTTGGCTGAATCTAACTTAAAATATTTATTAAGTGACGCTAAGCTGATCTAAGGTTCATTGATAGTCTATTATGTAATGAGGAATGAGTGTAGGAATAGAGTTAAGTCTTTGCGCAAGCATCAGAAGCAGTACAAACCTTCTGACTTTGTACTGTGATGTCGCACTGTATCATCTCAGTTGTTCTCAATGACAACGTTCTTCCTCCTTTTCTTTTCTTCACTCCTCCTACTCTTTCTATCACTCTTAGAAACACCCAGTCAATTTCTCAAAACACACTCTTAGCAAACACTCTCTGAGTTCACCAGCCTACCATGGAACACATCTTAGTGGACCCAGCACTGGAAGCGCAGCCCAATTTCGAGTCAGCAGCATATGTGGGATGGCTCAATGCCCTTGTGGCAGGGGGCATAGCCAGAGAAGATGCACTCGAGCAAATGGCTGAGGGCTGGAGACTCGAGCGCCAGGAGCACATCCTCCTTTGGCAGCAACAGAATGAGGAAGACACCTGCACCTTACAAGAACAGCTAGAGCGCGAGAGAGCCGAAAAAGAGGTTGAGGAACAGCTAGAGAGGCGCAAAGCTGAGAAGAAAAAGCCCAAGATCAATGATTTTGATGATGGGGCTGTTGTCGCAGACGTTATCATACCTCGCCCATCCCAGTATGCCATCCAAAAGATCAAGAACATGGAGTATGTAGAATTATGGTACTTTAGTCCTGACGGTTGCCATGAGGCTTCCACCACCTCTAGGTCCACGTCAGACTCCAATGATGCTTTTGGCTTCACCAAAGTGGATGGTATAGTTGCCCTCAAGATGATAGTGTCTTTCAAAGCCTCTCAGAAGGCTCTACAGGATCACGACCTATCTTGGCAGCAGTTCAACCTTGCAAAGACCAGCTTTCTCGTTCACATCAAAAAGAACAATTGGCCGCAAAAGCATCAGCAGGCTTTAGTGTTATTTTTCATGCTCATTACCAACCATGAGCATCGCATGCGTCTGCGAGGAGAAAAGGCTCTGCTTCACTATGTAGGATTTGTGTGCTGTGAATGGCATGATCGCTTAGTGCAAGACCAAGGGTTCAACATTGGTTTATTCAATAATGCTCTGTACAACTCGATATCTGGGAGGCCAAATGAGATGAGGGTCTCAAAATGGTGCGTAGTGCATTACCCACCAACATTTGATCACTGACCAAATTCTTTTATATATTCAATCTCACATTGGAAATGAACCCCACTGGCTGTCTAAATGCTTTCACTCTTGGCTGTCCTTGCTTTCGGGGCACAATTCCCCATTTGCTATCCATGTGCTATTGCATATACAACTTCGTCTTTCATCTTCCGCTCCCCCTTGCTTATGCTCACTATGCTGCCACTCTATCTACCCTCATGCTAACTCAAACTCCCATGCTCCCACTTTCACTGTGTCCCTCTCAAACACTTAACCACTGCTTCGCTTACACCCACTCTGCTTTCGCACATTCCTGTATACCATGGCTTAACCAAATCTTTGCTTTCATATAATTGTTTGAATCCTGGCTTACTTGAATCCTTTCATGCTCGCTCTATCTCACTCAGTTGCAACACTCGCTTGCATTTCCCAACACTTCTTCCCATTCTCGGGGAGAGATGTGAGTTCCAGCCGAAATGGGCATGCAGAGACAGTACCTCTTGTGAATGATGGCTGCTATCACCCATACCGCCCTGCTAACCAAATGGTAAAAAAACCACAGAAGTTGCAGCAGTTTTTTCCAGCAGGCACAGGCCAAACCAGCCCATCAGCCTGTGCCCTCTGCCTCGGCCGATTCCATCACCCCATCCACAAATGCACATCCGAGTTCCTATGGGACAAACGAACCAAAACTCAATGTCATCGAAACGCAGAGGGTCATTTGGTCAATCCAGAGGGCCTCGAAATCTGCTATGACTGGCAGAGACCCAAGGGATGCACCAATCCCTCTCAAGCTCATGTGCACGAATGTTCAGGATGTGGAGCAAAGGATCACGGAGCTCAAGACTGTCCTCAAAGTGAGAGCATCTAACGCTATCACTCCCTATAGGCCCAAGGCCTGGCTGCAGTGTCTCATTTCGTTGAATCTCATACATAAATATGCACATATTCCGAAGGGTTTTCGCTTCGGTTTCATGGGCAGTGTCCCAACCATATCTCAAACTTATATTCCACCTAATAACCCCTCACTACATGCACATTTTGATGCCTTCGCTGCCATTCTGGACTGTGAATATTCCACTGGTTGTTATATCGGACCTATATCTAAATCAGAGACTGAAGAACTCATTGGTCCTTTCCAGACAGCCCCACTCTCCATGGTTCCTAAGCCAGGAAAGCCAGGAAAGTTCCACCTCGTACAAAACCTCTTGTTCCCGCTTTGTCCATCAGCTACAATATCATCCATTAATTCCTCTATCGACTCTAACTTATATCCGTGCATGTGGGGTACAGCATCAACGATCTGTTTACTCATCTGGTCTCTCCCCCCAGGATCTCAGGCAGCTGTTCATGATGTGGCCAAAGCCTACCACACAGTACCTCTTCATCCTTCTCAATGGCCAGGCCTGGTTGTCAGGACAGGAGAAGACAGCTTTGCCATTGATTCTAGCTTTTGTTTTGGGTTCTCAGCATCAGCAGGGACCTATGGTGAGGTTGTGGATGCTGGTGCAGACATATTCTGATCACAAGGAATCAGTCTGCTATCCAAATGGGTGGATGATCACCTGTTCATTTGGATTCTGCGAGAGCACCTTGCTAGCTACAATAACCTGCACAAATCTTGTGCCGCTATCATTGCACAAAATGGTGGCATGCTCATCAAAGGAGGTCGAAAATGGTATTGTGGTTCAACTATGCCTGATGACAGAATTGAGGAGTTTGATGAAGACTGTTCGTTTCCCATCATTGATCTCTCAACAGCCTCCCCACGATCCCCAGAAGATGCTCACTTCACATTTTGCTTTGACAACATCAACCACCTATCCAAAGTTCTCAGAATACCCTGGGAGCTGGCAAAAGACATCCTTTTCTCGTCATGTGCCCCCTTTATTGGCTTCCTTTGGGACATCAAGTTGCATTTTGTCTTGATCCCACAGAGCAAGAAGGAGAAGTATGTGGCAGCTATCAAAGAATGGGAGATTCAATCTTCACACATGCTATGGGAAGTCCAGGAGCTTTATGGGAAGCTCTTACATGCTTCTCTGGTCCTCCCAGCAGGAAGAGCTTACCTTGTTTCTCTTGAAACCATGCTATCCATTTTTCACGACCATCCACACATGCCTCGTTCCCCCCCCAAGCACACAGGTGATGACCTCTGGTGGTGGAAAGCCAGCCTCTCACAATCACATGTCTCTTGGCCAATCCCAGGGCCTGTTGAAGTCATTGACCCCTCAGCTTACTCAGACACTAGCTTGGGCACTGGTATCGCGATTTGGATCAATGGCAGATGGTGAGCGTGGTGCCTCCTCCCAGGCTGGAAAGCTGAAGACAGAGATATTGGCTGGGCAGAGGCAGTCAGCATGGAATTCCTCGTTATTGCACTCCTCAGTTTGTGCCCAATGGCAGCTGCATCAAAATATTCGGGGACAACCGGGGAGTTGTCAAAGGGTGGTGGAAAGGGCGTAGCCGCAACAGGGCCACCAATACTGTCTTCAAAAGGATCCATGAGCTCACCGCATCTGTGCAATGCACTTTCCTCACACGCTATGTACCCAGTGACTACAACCCAGCAGACAGCCCATCCAGGGGAATCTACCCTCCCTCAGACCTACTACTTCCCCCAATTAGCATTCCCCAGCCACTCCAACCCTTCATCACAGACTTTGACAATCCCGCTATCCCTTCTGAGTGCCATGCACACAGTAAGAAACTCAAAGTGCTCCCACACATCAATGACTGAGCCCACTCACAAGAATCAGCCGAGCACCTCAATAATGAGCTCTGTCATCAAGGAGAAGAGCTCTTTAAAGTGACGCAAGCTTAGTAAGTCAGCGAATATCACACTGCAGGCTTCCCCCTCATTGAGATCCTTAGTTGCAGCTTATCCTGCTAATCTCACCCCTCGTGTTTCTGTCCTAAGACCACATTGTGCAGCAAAAGACAGGCTCTGTCTCTGGCGACCAGCCACAGACAACACATCATTATCTTGCCTCCCTCATGCAGATGCACAGCACATTCAAGATGTCATGATCCATGCATGGGCTGGCAGCACCCAGGAGGCATATGGAAGTGGCATCCTTGCCTACCATGTTTATTGTGACTCAAATTCCATCAACAAAGCCATGCGTGCACCCGCATCTTCTGAACTCATATCAGCTTTCATTTCAGACTTAGCTGGATCATATTCAGGGAAAACTATATCAAGTTATGTCCACAGTATTCGTGCATGGCACATTTTACATGGAAAATCATGGTCCTTAGATGATGACAAAATAGATGCCATGCTGAGAGCAGCCAAGAACCTCACACCCTTGTCATCAAGAAGGAAGAAAAGACCACCTTACACCATGGCTTTTATAACTAGCATTTTGCAGAAACTAGACCCCAACAACCCTCTTGATGCCACAGTGGGTAGCTGTCTCACAACAGCCTTTTATTCAATGGCCAGAGCTGGAGAATTCATGATCCGAACTCTTTCGTCATTTGATCCCTCCATTCACGTCAAATGCTCTGACATTTGCCACAAAACAGATTGCAATGGGCTAGCAACTACCGTTTTTCATTTGCCCTGCACAAAGACATCACAAAATGGGAAGGACAGTTTTCTGGGTGAAACAAGAGGGTCCCACTGATCCTGAGGCAGCATTATCCAACCATCTCAACATCAACAATCCCCACTTCAATATCGCACTCTTTTCCTATAAGTTTGGTGAGGCACACCATCCTTTGATGAAAACAAAGTTCATTGCAAGGCTTGCTTGCACTGCAAAGGATGCTGGCCTCAACCTGTTGCAAGGCCACGCTATCAGAATAGGTGCCACTTTGGAATACCTCCTCCAAAACATCCCATTCGAGGTCGTCAAGACAATGGGAAGGTGGGCCAGTGATGCCTTCCAGATCTATCTTTGAGATTACACTCAAATTCTTGCACCATACCTTCAAGCAACACCCTCCATTCAAGATGAATTCCTGCAGCACACAATGCCCTGCGTTCGGTAATGGCTTCTTCATGTAAGCATCCATTCTCCTCCTAGTTTTATGGGTATCTTTGGTTTGCTCGATGCATCATCAAACTCCTAGACATTTGGGAACCGCAGCTCACCTTTTATCTGGCAGGACACGCAACTCAGGACCAGGAGGTGCTGTGCACCTTTGCCCAAATCGCTCAGAGTAGGATATATCGAGGATTGTGGACATCGAATGTTCATAGCACAGTAGTAGAGGCAATATTAATTGGATTCTCCAAGCAGAACTGCTCCAAGTGACTCACAAAGATTAAGAATTTTCTTGATTTTCCTGATGTATTGGGGATTTCTTCCTCCTACTAAGTGGTGATTGTAATTCTGGTTGCCCAACCCTATATAACTAACTATGTGAAAATCCAGAGTCCATAGGTGAAAGTAGTAGCAAAAACATGGGTCCAATAATATGTAGGTAAAAGGCCATGAGGTACTGTGGCCAGTGGGAATCCATGTAATAATGCTGTCTACTCAATCAGTCATGGGAAATAACTGACTATGCACCAGTGGGGTTAAGCAGGACTGGACTGGACATGGTAGGACAAGTGTGTGGGATCTCCAAGCAGGTCTGATGCATTGAAGATGCAGAGATGGTGGGAAAGCATTGGAGATGGGTAGGAGATGTGTGGACTGGATGGGGATTGCAGAATAGGGTTCTAACAGGCCAGCCTGAACATGATCATCACACCACTTCATCTCAATAAAGCTGGTTTTAAGGACCCACCAAAGTTAAATGCTGTCCTGAAAGAAAGATTAGAGTGGATGTGAGACTTCCTGTGGTTATATACAAATGTCAACAGTGACAGCAAATCACATCCCACAAATTCTATTGGTGGGCATTGCATACAGGCAGCAGATCAAGCAGCACATAATACTGGGAAGGCTTGTGGCACTTACCTTTCTCAATGCTTGCAGCACTGGTCCAAGGCTTACATTAAGGACTGCAACATATTTCCCCTCTGCATGCAGTTACAAAAATTTTCTTGCATTGATGACAAGTCCCTTGTGGCTGATTTAAAACTCTATCTTCAGAGCCTTGGAAAATTTGTGTGTGCTCAGGACATTGTCAATTACTTGGATATTCCTGAGAACCAGGCACATCATGGATTCTCAAAGGCAATCTCACTGAGGACTGCTCAATGATGGATGGGTCAGCTTGGTTACCACTGGAAGAAAGAACCAACAGGGCAGTATTGTGATGGTCACAAGCGGTGAAGGCAAGGAATTTGGATGGGGTGATGGGGGAAACTAAAGATAAGAACTCTTCAGAGCTCCTCTGGATGTGAGTCAAACTTGACCCAAGGGGATTGCCACTGAGAAAGTGTTACAGTCACATATGCCCCTATTCATTTTCTCTTCTTACTATTCTTGTATTACATCATGAGCTGCACAATGCCACCATTAGACTTGTCTCTTACACTTGTATTACATCACGATTGCCATTGCCATTGTTAGATGACTCACTTCTTATCTCTTATCTTTGACTCAACTCTTATCTGACTCATCATTGACTCACACCTCCCCTAAACTCTCCATATTTGTATATATAGTCAGCGATGTACTTAGTAGAACTTTACTTTAATCTTACTAGGTTTTCACCTGAATATTCTTTTGCTTAAGACCCCCAATCTTAAGTTGTCTGAACTGATATTCAAGACAGAGACACTCTCTCTGCCTTGTCTTATGACCCTTGCATTTGCAAGGTCTTGACTATAACTTCAGCCATCACTCTTATTGAGTTGCTGTTGTTACGACCATCCTAGTTCATAACAGAAAGGATTCCTCTAAAGATTTGAGGGGGAATGCCAAGAGCTAGCTCTTGACAGAGGACCTGGTGGAGCGCAAGAGTATGAAGTGTGACAATAGGTGCCAAAGCACGCTGGATGCGACAGGTATGCGAAAATATGTGCTGGATATGTGAAATGCACACTTCATGGCTGGCTGGAGCTAGGCTCTAGATCTCAAAGCAAGCGATACTGATCTTTACTTGGATTAGTGGGAGATGATGGAGATGATATGATCTTTTTAAGAGCTCAAGTGTGAAAATCGACAAAGGTGATTGTCAATTCAACTACTAGCTGCTACTCTGAGGGATACTTGTGGAAGGGAAGTAAGTAACTAAAAATTTACCCAGAGGCATGTAACGCCTCATAAGCACATTCCCAGGCTTCAGAAGTGAATAGGTAGCAGTAAATATTGTAAGTGATGTAACCAAGTAAAAATAGTGAAACAATGAGTAATTGCATACCATATGTAGCTCTGTGATACATGATTGGAGTAAAAATAGATAAAACACGCACCAATGGACCTTGGAGGATGAGGACAGGACATGTGGACAGTTGGCAACAAGGACATGAAAGTGCGCCAAAGTGCATTCAAAGCACGTTCAAAGCATGCCAAAGCATGTGACATCGCAAGTATTGTGTGTATATCACCCATCTTGGAGGGTGTCAGTGCAGAGGCCAAAACACGAAAATACACCTGTTATATGGTTGGAGAGAACAGAGTCTCTACAGTGGGAAGATGTGGTTTATTTTTAGCAAAATGTTTTTTTTGCTAGCATGGAATTATTATCTGCCATGGATGACAAAATGGAAACAGGAGGGTGAAGTTACTGTCAAGGATGTTGAGGCCAATGCAGCTCTGTCAGGTCATTGAGTTGTGATTTGGTTTCACAATGAGTCTACATTTTATGCCCATGATTGACAGAAACAAAGATGGGTGCATAACTCAGAAGGTGCTGTTCCTCAACCTAAAGGGGAGAGGGCATCTTTAATGGTAGCTGATTTTGTTTCTGCAGACCATGGGTGGCTCCATTCTCCAGATGGGGAGCAAAGTGCTTGTGTCCTCTTCTAAGATGGAAAAGGACATGATGGATACTTTACAAATGAAGACATTTTGGCACATGCTGCAAAAGCAATGGACATCCTTGAGAGGTGGTATTCACACGAAGACCATGTTCTTGTTTTAATAATGCAACCACACACCTCAAATGAGCTGACAATGCACTTTCTGCTTGAAAAATGCCAAAAAGTCCATCTGCAACTTGGGGGGTACCCAGGACAATCAAGGATGTCAATGGCAACAATGTTCTTGGGCTGGATGGCAAGCCATTGAAGGAGAAGATTCCTATGGCTGAGGCAAGGCTTCCAAATGGTGACCCTCAGCCATTATATTTCCCAGATGGTCACAGCAAGGCAGGATATTTCAAGGGCATGGCACAGATTTTGGTTGAACAAGGATACACTGATGCTCCAAAGCTTTGTGCTAAATGCAAGGACTTCAAGTGTCCCAATGACCAGACAGTGGCTTGTTGTTGTTGCCAGCTGATGTATGGTCAGCCTGATTTTATCAATGTTGAATCATGTCTTGAAACTTTGTGCCATGCATAAGGGTTTGATGTTGTATTCTTGCCAAAATTCCACTGTGAACTGAATTTCATCAAACAATGTTGGGGCTTTGCAAAATGGCTGTATTGGGTGAAGGAGTGATCCTCATCAGAAGATGCTCTTGAGTGCAATGTTATTGCATCACTCAATGCTGTTCCATTGGAGTTGATGTGACAGTGAGTGACTTCAATCCTACTTGAAAAGTTGAAATTCAGATGTTGATAAATATTTTGATCTTTGACAACCAATCCTCAGCTTTGCCATGCAGTCCACAAGGTTTATTGATGCTTATCATAAAGGCCTCAATGGTGCACAGGCTGTGTGGACAAGAAAAAAAAATTGTGGTCATCATGTTCTCCCGCAATCAATTATGGACAAGTTTGATCATCTCCCATCAACAAATTAGTATTTGACTTTTCTGAAACTCATTTGTTATTGTGCAACCTCTTAATCTACCTTAACTTCACCATGCCAAAGTCATTACACTTCTACTGTACTTACAGTGGCTCAAAAAACTGTCCACATGTTTTGACATTTTTCACTATCTATGATATTGTGTGAGAACGAACAAATGCCTCAAGGACATGCTTATACCACATTGTAGTATGGCTTCAGGGCTTTCATTTGAGCCCTACACCATGGGAATCGGTGGAGATATGGTGGAGACATAAGGCTTATAAAATGATGACTCATGTGGACAGTTTTTTGAGTGTATATTAAAACTATATAAATCATTATTTATGACACCACAAAAATCATGCCACTATTATATAAATTATGAAGTGGTGTCATTATGTTATTTTATGACTATATCTAACTATATAAACCAGAATATCTCATGTATCATAGTCATAATCACCATGAAAGCCATCTCCTCTGCTCAAAGAGATAATATCCTCTCTCTGCTCACCAAATTTCCTCCAGAACTGGAGTATGCAAGTCCACTGTGGCCAAGTTTATCAAAGAAAGCCACCCAGACAAGGAAAACTCTTGTGAAGGACGTCCATCCAAGCTTACCTCTACTGACAAAAGGGCTATTATCCAACATATCACTACAGGAAAGGCTGATAATGCTATCCAAGCCACCCATTATATCAATTCCACCATCACTACCCCTGTCTCTTCACAAACTGTGAGGAATGTTCTCAAGGCAGCTCATCTCAAGGCAGTAACAAAGAAGAAAAAGCCTCTTCTCTCCATCAAACATAGGCAGAGAAGACTAGCCTTTGCCTTAGCTCATCAACACTGGACTGTAGAGGACTGGAAGCATGTTATATGGTCAGATGAGAAGGTATATGTATGGAAAAAGAAGGGAGATGGCCTAACAGACAGAGAGGTTAATGGGACTGTCAAGTTTGGAGGAGGTTCTTTAATGGTATGGGGCTATATGGGATGGAATAGTGTGGGAATGCTTGCTGAGGTTGAGGGGAAGATGAATGCTGAGCGGTATGTGGACATTTTAAATGACCACTTGCTGCCTAGCTTGGCAGAATCAGGGATTGATGAAGAAGATATCATTTTCCAACAGGATAATGATCCCAAGCACACATCCAGAAGAGCTAAGGAATGGTTTAAAGAACATAACATCAATGTTCTTGACTGGCCAGCACAGTCTCCTGATGTCAATGTCATTGAACATCTCTGGGGAACACTCAAGAAAAAGCTTCAAGCCTATGAAAACCCCCCTAAAGGAGTATGGGAGCTTTGGGAGAGAGTAGCAGTGAAATGGGGGAAGATCACAGCTGAGGATTGCCAGAAATTAATTGAGAGTATGCCTAGAAGGATAGAGGCAGTAATTAAAGCCAAGGGAGGTCATAAAAAAATACTAGAATACCTGGTTATTATTGTAAAATACTTGAGTCAAAAAACTGTCCGCATGAGTCACCATTTTGTGAGCCTTGTATCTCCACCATATCTCCACCGATTCCCATGGTGTAGGGCTCAAATGAAAGCCCTGAAGCCATACTACAATGTGGTATAAGCATGTCCTTGAGGCATTTGTTCGTTCTCACACAATATCATAGATAGTGAAAAATGTCAAAACATGTGGACAGTTTTTTGAGCCACTGTACTGTAGCTTGGTATACCATTGCCATACATTTAGCATACATTCAGCATGGCTTATGCATGCAGTGTCACACCATGTCACATGCACATGATGTTAGTTGAATCCACAAGTCCTCTACCTTAGGTTGATTTAAACCAACAACTACCCCTATTATACTTATAATTGTACTATATATGGTCAGGAAGCAAAACCACTAGACTACCAGGCTTTTCTTATAGGGAAACCTGAACTCTATTGAAGGACCACTCTATAGCCTTATTAGGATGATGCATTGAAATCTCACAGAGCTCGTAGTAAACAGATTGTACATGTAGGTAAACACTAAGTACAAGTGTTGCAGGTGGTGTGAGTGGTACCAGGTACAGTATGCCAGGCTACCCTGGCCCTTCAGCAACCCCTGACATGTCTAGGTGCAACATTATTAGTAATAACTTCATCCTCAGGTTCTGTAAGAGGACTATTAGCTCTAGATCTGTCTCTGCTACACTCATCATTAGCAACTGTTTCATCCATTGCATCCTGTAGTGGTTCATGCATCACAGCATTCTCCTTGCCTTCAGTTATACATGCCAGGGCATGATCCATTGCTGCTCTGAAGTCCTCTTCATCTGACATCAAATCAACCATTCTTGAACCTTTGGTGAAAATAACATTATTGAGTGCCTTCATGATGTCATGTGTGTATTCCATATTCCAGTTCTTGATGATAATCTTCTTGTACAAAGTGAACATAGTATAGCTATATTGGACCTTCATGGTCTCACCCTTGCCAGAATAGCAAAACTCTTTGTTGGCACTAAGTAGAAATATAACCTGACAAAATGGCACCAATGGACAGACTCTTTTGATACATGCAAAACTTACCACAACTGCTGCCCATGCCAATAAACCAGGTATTAAGGAAGTTATCTCCCACTTATTACCATTGCATGGAGGTCCTGCTCACAGTGCAGTCAAGCCATTTTCACCTCATAGCACTACATGGATGATCTGAAAGTACATTACAGCCATTTGCATATGTAATGGTACTGGCGCCTCAATGTAAAACAAATGATAACATAGACTGAAAAAGGACTTAGCAATATTTTGACAAATTGTAGTACTGTGATATCTTAGCTTCCAAGTCTACTGTGGCAACATGGGTCATAACCTGAAGACATTCAAAAGTGCAGAGTTCATTGATGACTCTGATAGCTTGGATGATGATGGCAGCATCCTTGACATCTCATTGACATCTTCCAATTCCAATAGCTCAGGGTCATCGACAGCATTTGTATTTGACACAAGCATTTTCAATTTCAATACTCAAGACAGTATAGATCATGAACTAGATGCCATGGCTGCTCTGCCTCCAGCTGTAGAGCCTATTCCAGTTGCAGAGCCTCTTCAAGCACCTAAAGTCAAGTCAAAAAAGAAAAAATGTTGCACATATACTCTGTTTGTGGCTAAATGACTGATGTGATCACACAGCTAAGCAACCTCGACCTGTGACTCCCCCTCCCAATGAGCCAGAGGTTATACCTGCTCAAGTGGCTCCACTGTGTATCAAGGCAACATACAGCATCACAATTCTGCCGCACAGTGAGCTCAAGAAAGGTGATATCAAGAAATGTGTTGGCACAGCAACCATTCTCAGCCTTTATCTTGATGAGCCTTTTGACACATTCAAGGCACAAGTTCTTCAAAAGATCAAAAAAGAGACCAATCCAACCATCTTGTCCTTTGAAAACTACAAGACTTTCTTTACCATTGTTCACATTGCTCCGCAGCCAACCTCACTTGCAGATGAAGATGATTATCAAGAGCTCATCAAATGTCTGCAGCAAATGAGCACACCTGCTGCCACTATTTATATCCAAGAGCTTTTGGCTGTGAAAAAGGTACTAACTGCATGTGATTTCTTTATGAGCTAATTTGAGTCTGATAGCACAAGGACTGGCCATCAGACAAGGAGAACAATAGAGAAATAAATGAGGATAACAATCATAGCAGCTCAGAATCAAGTGATGACAGTAAGAAGAGGAACAAGAAGAAGAAGAAAACAAAGGTAACACATCATTCTATATCTCAATGTTGGTTGATGAAAAGTTTAGGCACCAAAGGCTGCTGACATAGACAAAGAGATGAAATCAATCAACAAGAACATCAAGGCATTATTGGATCGGTGGGTTTGCCACAAAAAGCCAGGCTGCTTGAGTGACTACTGCTACCCAAACCCTAGCAACAATGGATCTCATGTCCATCTGACATTTCCCCTTCTCGAATGCTGGGTAGCTGCAATGGTTGGTATTAGTTTTGTGAATGTTTTATTGACTGTTTCACTTTGAACACTGCACAGGAAAAAGGGCCAGAGTATGCCACTCTTGAGATGCCTCCTAACCATTCTTCCTTCGGCGTGATTTCTTCCAACTCTCTTGGGTGGCCCTCACTTCTTTCTGTCTGCCACCAACAGCTTGATGAACAATCCAAGAAAGCCACTCAGGCTGAGGCTGTACCTGTCACACCAGCACCAGCACAAGCTATGCCCATTATCAACATCAATTTTCCTCCTGAAATGTTCCAAGCTATATGTGCAGCATCTGACTCACAACCTGTCCATCATGCACCAGTCCCTGCCTTGCTTCTGCCTGCTGTATTACCACCTGCTGTTCCAGCCTCTCTCAGCTCTTTGCTCTTGTCGACACAGCTTGCTTCCCTTGGACCAAGAATGAACCTAACAGACTTTTGCTCTGCTTATGAACTTTCACAAATTCTTCAGTCAAAACTTTCCAATCATGGTTTCATGTCATCACATGCCCTTCGTTATGTCACTGTCGATGATTCGCAAAAGGTGGGCTTGCTTTGTGGAGAGCTTGCTGAGCTCAAGGATGCAGTTGCCCATTGGTGTGGTGAATAGTTGTTACATGTTACATTTTTTACCGTTACTTTTGCTCTGCATGTTCTGTTGTTTCTTGCTACTGTTACTTCATACACTGCTCTCAATTATTGATCATGTTTATATTCTAGAAGTACCCTGAATGATGGATGTATTCCTGTGCATCCTCCACTGTAATGATCTCCAGGGCCTCTTGTAGGTCGTACATAATCCCATCATTGTCTGCTGCTGCAGGAAACAGGTCATAGTTATGACGAATCCACACCTTGAACTTTGAAAAGGCTTCCTCAATTGGGTTGAGGTCAGGGGAGTAGGGAGGTAAAAATATGATTTGTACACCTGCTCTGAGTCAGCATCACTAAGTACATAGATACCATGTAGCATAGGCCTATCAAATCTATCTGCGAGCTCACAAATTTCTTCGCCATGGTGGATCCAAGCATTATCCATGATCCACACACTGTTCTTGCCAGGATAAACCTCACAGTTGGGCAGCTATCAATGAACATGAATTGATGAAAAAAGTCAAGTGTGATGAGTCCCAACTCATGACAGAATGTTCAAGGAAGTGAAGGTACCCATTGCAACACAAAGATCCTTCAAGAACATGTCCTGCAATGATTCCATCTATAGTCAAAGCAGCAATAACTGTGAAGCATTGTCTGCAAACAAATGCACCCTTCATGCTTGCATATTGGCTCCTCTTTGCTTGTCCATACCTCCGAATTTGTGTGCATTCATCTTTTGATGTCTCATCAATGAACAACAGTTGATCTGGTGTATACTGCACCACCCATCGCTTGAAGTCTGCACAAACATCTTCATTGCGCTCCTTAGCAATCTTGCAGAGTTTTTTGAGTGAGATGCCAGCCCATGCAAGCTCTCAGTGAATTGTGGAATAATGGACAGTGATGTAGCGATTGTGTTGCATAAGTGTTGTCAGCTCATCAAGAAACCAATCAGGACAGTGATGGATAAGTTCTAGAAGGTAATGGAGGTCTTTGAGATTGAAAATGTGTGGACAACCAGTGTATTGGCTCCTTGGCTTGACAATGTTACCAGTGTCATTGTAGAGCTTCCTGATTCTATAGAATGTCATGTGGGAGAAGCCAACACAATCGAGGATCTCGCTGAGTCTAAGAATCCCTTGTTCATGCAGGTGAATAGCTGCAAACTTCAAATCAGCTGAAATCTTTCTGTTGCCCATGATATTGATGATTGTGGTATGCAGCTCTTGTAAAATTTATGCTAAGTCCTTTTTCAGTCCATGTTATCATTTGTTTTACATTGAGGCACCAGTACCATTACATATGCAAATGGCTGTAAATAAGGTCAAGTTTTATATTAAGACTCAATGGACCTTTCTGAAGATTTGCCAGTTTCCAAAGATCATTTTGAGTGATATGTCTTTGACCAGACTGGGAAAAAGGGTGGGTGAGAAGGGCTTTGGAGTATGCTGTGATACCAAGATACCAAGAAGTTTCTGGATCTCAGGAACACTTGCTTGATTGTATGTAGTATCAGTAAAATATTGTTCAGGGGGATTGAAGATAACCCCAGCTTTGGAGTGCAGTTTCTTGATTTCAGATGCATGGTGTGAAAACACAACAATGGCTAGACACATGGTAAAGTACCTAACCAAATATAAATGTTGTATGGTCTATGCTCTGACTAGCTGCTATACTTGCAAGCAAGAGCATTCAATCCTAAAGGGCCTGCTCTCTAATAATCAGTACTACACAAGGGGTTGAAAGCCCAAAGGTCAGAAATCAAGTCCAAAGGTATGAGGTGAAGTCCAATTCATGGGAAATTGGGTCCACAGGTGTGGAGATGCAGAGATGGGAGAGTAAGGCAGAGGTAGGGAAAGTGTTAGGACTAGCTTGGAGATATTAAGGAATGTCAAATGAATGAGTGACAATAGTGTCAGGTCAAGGAGAGCAGGTCAACAGGTATACTGGCAAGGGTAACTCTAGGGACAGGTATGGGGTGACCAGTATTGGGGATTTCTCTCACCTACTAAGTGGTAATTGTAATCTTGGTTGCCCAATTGTCATATCCTGTATGCCAGACATAGATCCCATCACATTCCCACGCTTTCCGGACCTGTTTCCGGACCCCATATCCAACTCATTCCTGGATCCCCTATCCTGTCCACCCTATGCACATTCTGTCCAGCAAGACATCTGGACTTTACCTCCTCTTAGATTGTGGACTACATCCACCACCTCACATATCTCAGTCCTGTTTCCAGTCCTGCCTTCCAGATCCCCAGATCTCCGGACCTCCGATATTAACTGTACTATCTCTGGACCATCCCCACCCTCTGTCCAAGATCCTGCACCTATCCCCATTTAGGCATCTCCCCCTTTCCGGTTCTCGGTTATCTCTGTTTCCATCTTGCTGATTGATCCTTGTACTAGTTTCATCTCCGAGTTCATTTAGTTATGTTCTGTCTTACTTACCAATGTGTTTCTGCATGCTCGTACATAGCCTTACTCCTTTGCTTACTGATCCTCTCAGATAGCCTCTAGTATATAACCCCTGTACAACTACAGTAGAGTCCTCAGTCTGAATATCATCTTAGTCCCTGCTCTCTCACCTTAGATCTGCCCAATCATCTTCTGGACTTCAGTCCATCTGAGTCTTGTCCTTTTCCGTAAGGCCTAGGGAAGGATTCCCTAGGCCGGAATTCCAGACCTCCAGATTTGTCCCCATGTCTCTGTCCCAAGTCTAGGGATTGCTTCCCTAGGCTGGAGTCTTGCCTTTCCAGCACTTACCCTCTTTCTGGACTTAGGTCCACTTCCCGTCCCTCTGACTCTACCTTAGGGTAGTCTACCTCTGTTTGCTTCTACATCAGACAATTGTCCGATGTAGCCCCTATTCCTTCCAGACCTCCAGACCTCCTGTCCTCTGTACCTCTGGATGTCCTGGTATCCTGTCCTTCGGACGTTCCGCCTCCGTACCTTCAGACATTCCATCCTCCATACCTCGGACCTCCTGTCCTCTGTACTCCGGACCTCCTATCTGTCCATCCTGTTTTCATGTAGAAGTATTACCTTGCAGTGGGAACTCTCCTGAGCATTTCCTGCATCCCTCCAGAACTCTCCTGCGCTCCTCTGGACATTTCCCACGCTCCTCCAGAAGTCCTCCCGCACTCTCCACCAGAGTAGCCAGCCTCCAGAAGTCCTCCGGACTTCATCGGACCATCATCAGACTTCCTCTGAAATGAAGGGCACATACTTAGGTAAGGGGCACAGCGTATGAGCTGAGGCCAAGCCCCTCTGAGTCAGTCTCTCTCTCCTTTGAGCATGGTTCTTAACACCAATCCTATATAACTAGAAAGTCTGGAGTGCACAGCACACAGCACAGGTGAAAGTAGTAGCAAAAATGTGGTGTGAATAAAACAACTTGGCTAGATAGTTGTTAGAATACCTAGCCAATATATGTCTACTAATCCTGCCTAGCTGCTACACTTGCAAGCAAGAACATTCAACCTGAGGGAATTGCTACTGAGAACAGCTGAAGGTGCTAAGGACACAAAAGTGTGCAGAGCATGGGAACTAGTGTGCAGGTATGTAGAGCATGGGAATGCAAAAGCACAAAGATGTGGAGGTGTGAGATGCAAAGGAGTGAAGGTGTGGAATAGGGAAGTCTTAAGGAAGGCAGTGGATAGCGAGTGAGGTCAAGGATATTGATTGCAAGGGTAAGGGATAGTCAAGAACAGTGTCCAAGTATAAGGGAACCAATAGGGGCTGAAAAGTGCATTCTAAAGGTGACTACCTCTAAGTAAACCTAAGGATAAGGAAGTACTGTAGGAGGGAAGTAAAGTCAAAGTAGTCACTATAGGTACTTTTATACTAGTTAAACTGTACCCTGTTGGACTTGGAAGGGATAGGATATGCAGACATGTAATAAGGCTGCAACACATGTTACAAAACACAAGGCAAGGCAAGGCAAAATATGTACCAATGAGGTAGGATGGACAATGGATGGATTCTGCCAGTCCAAAAGCAGGTCCTAGAATGCAAGAACTAAGATGGCAGATATTTGCAATATGTATCATAATTGTATCTTTGGTGGTTTTCCCCATCAGAGTCCTCCTATCTATAGCTTTGTCAGGCTAACTGCAATTATGATAGAGATTATATGAATTTTATATTAGATAAAGCTTTATAATGCTATGTCATTGTCAGGTCAATTCCCTGATGCTATTTTCATTTTGGTTTAGGAACATTGTCTTACTGGTCATGTCATCATAAAGAGGTGTTTGGTTGTTGATCTTGGTGGTTTTTGGGTTGTGGTTGTTTTTGGGTTGTAGGGGTCATGTGTTGTTTCTGTTGTGGGGTATCATTTTGTTTGGTTATGTTCTAGTGGTATATTAAGGGTAATGAGCCAGCTTGTCACTGTGAGCTTTGGTAGCTCAGCCTTACCTGCAATTTTCATGCATGGGAAAACCTGTCCAATGGTAGTGAGTCAAGGGCTAGTGTTGTTGGCAAAACTGGTTGTGCCCAGTCCTTGGCAGAACTTACACAAAAGGGGGGTGGCAAAACTTGGTAGAACTCCAGGGTATCTGAGACTCACAGAGATGTCATTTAGATCTCTGATAACATAGTTTGAATTCAAGAGAACATGCAAAACAACATCCCTAAAGTAAGATGGTACATGCTGGAGGGCACCCCCTGGCATCACTGGTCAACAACAATTTTGAGTGCCTGGATAAGTTGACAATAGCATGGCTCACATCATTACTACTGGAAATGCAGATATTGCACTGATAACTCATCAGGTGCTCAGATCCAAGGTTAGGCCCATAATCAGTCACTAGCTACATTCACTGGTGGCCAAGCAGACAACCTTTGTTGGTGGAAAAACCTTCCAATCAATTCTGAAATCCACCCACTCAAGGCCTTCTCTGTGACAATCCTCTCAATCACAGGGCATGCAGGTGAAGTAGAGCACACATTCTGTGATCTCAGCACAATACAATCTGGATTCTGCACAATAGTGTAATCTTTCAGCTGACACATTTGAAACACTTGGTAAAATTCATGCAAACCTTTAACTGAGCCTCATGATGCAGATGACCTTCTTGCTGGTCTGGAGAGTATCTCACCTCATGACATCACCAGTGGCCACTGAATTTGCAGCTCACAAAGAACTGAAAATGACTGAAGAAGTTCAGAGCATAAACAAAGTTGAAGTGCTCAAGGGAAATGCCCTTGATTTTGACAAGTTGGATCAGGTCAAACAAGGAATAATACCACATACTGACATACTGTTCTAGATGAGGTTGAGGTGGTTAATTATGATGGTGAGGGCAACAGCTGGGACAAGGCAATATCATTAGGAATGTCATACACATAGTCTACACAACTTAGCTAAGTGTCTAGAGTTTTGCCAAGTCTTGCCACCCTGGCAAAACAACTGGTTTTGCCAGTCATAACTGGCAAAACTAAAGCCAAGTAGTTTTGCCCCCCACACTATCAAGGGCCCCCTAATTATCATATTTCACTCGACCTCATCATATTGGGTTTTCACTGGGACTGAGATGCGGCCTACATGGCACGTGCAAACCTGAATCTAATAGCCCTCTTATGTCATGAATAGTCGCCAATGGGTTCGATAAACAATCACTCTCTCAATCCAGGTACACTCCCAAGACAAGGTATCTGGCACAAAAGCCACCATATTATGATAATGCCAGCGCAGTGCGTACGAGAATGTATATAACGTAGCTTCCGAATCAAGAAAGAAAACCAAGGAAGACAAGGCGACTAAAAGAATGTTCGTCATGTAGGCAGCAGGGTACAATACAGAAAGGAGCGTAGAAACGAACGCAAGTAGGATCTTGGGGTATACGGAGCGAATATTTGTCCAAAAGTAAACTGAGATCCGACTTTCACCGCCTGGCACTGCCGCGACCGTAGCCAGCTTGAAGATTGTCGAGCTCGGCCTCCAGCGACTTGATAGCACTGTGTGCCATCTCCAAGTCCTTGTTAAGACGGTCCCGTTCGGCGATAAGCTACGGGAGGCGTGAGAGAACGTCATTGATAGGTTCATAGTTCACTTACATGTTGCTCCCATTGTCTGAAACGGGCTTCTTCGGCCTTGACTTGTTCTGTGAAGCGCTTCCTGAGTGACTCTTCCTCCTCCTTGAACTTGGGGTTGTCTACTTTCTTGACCTTGGGCTCCCCAAACTTCCTCGTCTCCATCTGTTGTTGCCTGTAGTTCTCGTAGTGCAATTCCTCCGTCGTCGAGATGAGGTCAAGCATGTGCGTGCGGATAAGTAGAGAGCGCAGCTTGCGGAAATCACAGTGGTTTTCATTCTCAACTTCAGCGACACCCCAGAGGTACTCGCGACCCTTGACAAGGCGACCATCAGGGGTCTGGACATCTTCAGTCGAGCCAATGATCGAGAAGGGGATAGCATCAGTGAGCATGCGCGCATGCTCAGCAGCGGTCTCGTCATCGGTTTCAACGGGGGGTTGGTAAATGCGAATTCCCTGGGCGGCGATGACTTCCCGGACGCGTTGTTTGAAGAGGAACAGATCATTTTGCGTGAGGGTGTCTGCTTTCGCGACAACGGGGATGAGGTTCACACGCGTACCGAGGCGCTTCATGATCTCGATATCAAGCGGCTTCAGGCTAAGAATCTAGTCAGCATCCGAAAATGATTCAGAAAGTATACATCAACTTACGTATGCCCAGTGGGCCGGATGAAGTAGAGGCAAGCGTGAACCCTAAGGTCAATCTTTTCGTTGCGCTGGGGCTGCTGCTCCTGGCGCATATACGCTTCGTGTTGGTCATCAATGAAGTCGACAATTGGCGACCAGGAATCGCGGTTGTTGACATAGTCACCAAATCCGGGGGTGTCGATGACGGTAAGTTTGACCTTGAACTGCTTTTCCTCAAGCTCAGCCTTGATGATTTCGACTTCGGTGAGCTTGTCGAGTTGTTTGTGGTGCCGCCTGCTGTAGTTCCTAGCAGGAGACAACTCGGTCGTGAAGAGCGTGTTCACTAAGGTCGTCTTCCCGAGACCCGACTCGCCTGGCGCGTAAACAGATAAGCTGAAAGGCCTATCTCATTGCAGACGCGCTGCACTTACCAACAACCATCATGGTGAAGTGTGCACCATGTTTGGCGACGATTTTGTGCCTCTAAATTGCATGGAAAGGAACACATAGTGGTCAGTAAAAATGAGCCAAATGTCAAGAGAAGGCTCTCACCTGGTTGGGAAGGTTGGCGATACCAATGCCATCAAAAGAGGGTGCTGGTGCGGACGACATGATTGAATTTTAATGCTCTTGTTCGACAACAACGACGGCACTGACAGGTAACGATAGCTAGAGCGAACTTGCCAACTTTTGATATTGCCGATTTGGCGTTGTTTGGTTTTATTAGTACTTGACACACTGACCCTTGATAGGTATGTAGTTCTCTTACTTTACAAGTGAACGACCCTCTGAGCAGAGCAGACTGACAGTAACATCAACAGGTCCACGTTAACTGCAGACAGGCGTACTGCGGTCTTGCAGATAACGATATTTTGTTATACAACTAAATAGGGCTGTAAGTAGCTTGCATTGCATTAATTGCTGACTCGCGACATTGACAATGATATGTCCATATCAGACATGATGACAACCACTGCCCTTGTATATACTTGCTCGTCAATGCATCTGTCGTTGCCACCATTTGTTTCTATTCATCTTGATTTTTTGACTCACAACCACCACGACAAATCGCGTTGCTATGCTCGACTTTCTGAAGCACGTCGTTATTGCTATTTTCGACAAGTAAATGAGCACAAGCTCGGTAGACTAATGGCAGGGTTTCACATGTTCCCAGACTGCAATCTCAGTCAGATCCTCGTTTGCGATTAGGCTCAATTCAAGTCTGGTGTTCCTGGCGATAGTCGCTGGTTGTCTGCCATAGAAAACACAGCTCAAGTTCCAGCATACAACTGTTTCTGGAGTGGAAGAAATAATCACCAGGTGAGCCGCTTTCGTCAAGTATGTCATTGATGGTGCTGGGAGTTGAAATGCTTGTGTAGGCTAGAGGGGCGGAAAGCGGACATCCGATTCAATTTTGCCATTCTTGCCTCTGCCTTCATAGCGCACACTGCGCCGCTCATCAGTCAAGCCAGTCTTCCGTTATATTCAAACGAATGAAGATAGTCGTAATGCGTCCTCCATATCTTACTTGGTGCCAAAAATTACATCGCTCTAGATGGTTAAATTAGTAAGACACCTCGTAGTTACTGTGAGATCATGTCCAAGTCTTGTAACAATTTGTGTAAGTGAATCTCCAAAGGATATCAACTGCTGGGTGCTCAGCAGTAGCCCGTACAGTTATCCTGGTACGATTCTTGCAATGACACCGTCGGGTACGAATTTGCCCGTCATAATGGAATTAAGGACATCGCACGGTGTGCATTCCGATTTAACGCTGCCCGTCAACAACAAGATTCAATTTACTAGATGTACAAGAGAACGACACTATAACTGTAGTGCATCACGCACACTGCTAGTGAGGACATGTCCTTTTACACGACAGGGGCTGCGCTCCAGACTTGCAGAAGACTGGATTAAGTTTAAGCCATGCCGAAAATAATTAAGTCGCAGAATTTAGTACCTTGAAGGTCAGATGTGGATGATGATGTAGGAGCCCCTCTTCTCCACTCCAAGAGATGTAAAGTCCCAGAACAGCATGACATCGTTTTTGTATCCACCTTGATGCCAGCGCTAGCGACCCCGGACGATGTGAAATGTGTGAGTGCTACTTTGCCCGATGACTGAGGTTGTCACAGCGTTGCAGGAAGTTACAACTTACAAGTATGTGTTTGATCATGATGACTCCTGCCGCTAATTATCAAATGTAAGGAAGGAACTTCACTTTCTACTCTGCGCCGACAACCCAGGCCCTGCAGTTAACATGCAGAGTCCAGAGTCCAGACTACCGCGACAGCACCCGCCATCATACTGACATCGCGTTTCTACGCTCTCCCAACAAAATGCCAACCAGGAGTATTAGCTGAGCAGCTGAACCTGTGCATAAGATTTGATGATCTTGATCGCATACGGGGAATAAGTGCTCACATCTTTTGACGTCGTTGCTTTGATGTTAGCTCCACGTTCCCGAACTCTGAGTCTTGCTTTATTCTTCTAAGGGCTGCGTCCGAACTGTGAGAGAGCCATGATCAGTTTTCGTGTTATTTCACCTGTAATCACTGCTTAAATTTGGTAGTTAGCTGCGCAACTATCCAGGAACCAATTAAACAACCACACAGGCACGCACTATCCCGAATTTCGTCAGTTATTGACCCGTAGCTTTGACCCACGAAGGACAATAGATAACCTAATGGAGCCCACAATAGGGTTGAATGGAACCTGCAAGTCGAATATGTCTCACCGCATCCCCAAAAGGTAAGTCCCACAACACAGTCCCACAAGCACCTCGACTTATTGGGGATCCTAGGGGTTTCCGTGCACGGTAGGCTGTGGACTTGGACTAGACAATAACCCGATGGTTTGGCCCACCACAGTGGTTTTAAGACGCTGTGGACAATTGTGTCATAGGTATTTTTACTACCCAGTGCTTCTTCACTTTGAATCCATACCTTCTCCTGTACTCGATTACAAGCCTACAAAGCTAAAGACTTCTGAGAATCGCTGTAATGTCAATCGACACTGAACATCAGAACCCCACACAAACCACCGCAACTGCCGCTACCTCAGACCCGAAGGGTAAAAGCAAGCAGAAAGAAGTCGATCCTTCTGTTCATGAGGACATGTCAGACTCTGGCGAATCTGGGGTTGATACACAGGACGAGTACCCTTTCGAACGATTCCCTTCGCCACCAGGCGATAAACCTCGCAATGCACACGTCCCAAATGCTACTGCTTCCCTCGATCCGCCTCTCATGGCGTTCACCTACCCTCCTCCATCACCTCTCGCCCATGACCCCTCGTGGTATGCGCAGATGGTTGCCGACGTTCATCGGAACCGCGCTCATGTCAACAATGAACTTGAGCTTGCACGAACCGAGGCTGCCGAAGCTCTAGCCGATGTCACTCTCGCAGAAATCGAACTCAAGGCTGAGAGGGATAGAATGCAAGATTTCCTGAACCGCCTGGGATCCGTCGCTGGGAAGAACTTTGTACGCAAGATGATCAAGAAAGTCGAGCGTTCGCTGAAGACTCGCGATAAAAACCTGGACGACCAATATGAGGAGGAACTGCAAGAGTCAGATGATGAGGATGAGGATGGCAGCGACGAGGGCGAACACCAAGATACAGAAGAGGAGGATCTTGGCGGCGGTGCCGGCGAGAGTGAGGATGCCCCACAAGACGCAGAAGATGATGAATATGGCCGCAGCGGCGACGATGGTTCTCGGTGCGTAGCTCACTTAAAACTGCCCAGATTGTTAGTTTCTAACCTGTAGTTTTTAGCGAAAGGTCTGAGTCTCCACCTGCGAGCTGCAGCCCCAGCAGCACAGACTGCCCCCAACAATACCTCTATAAGTCTGTCAGCGATGGCGAAGCCAATTCTCGGTATGTAAATTGATTCAACTCACGCGAATTGTTAAATTCTGATATGTTGTTTAGGGAAAGCTCTAAGCCTCAGCCCGCAGATGAGAGTCCTAGTTCCTCTTCCCAAGGGATATCGCATCAGATAAGTAGCCCCAACTGGCGTCGGGGTGACGTCACAGACGACGAGTATTCCAGCGGCGAGGACAACACATCTCGGTGCGTAGCTCACCTGAATACAATCGGTTTCTTCTTATGTATCATTTTTAGGAAATGGACTGACTTGTCACCCGGGCATATGTGCCGCAAACGAAATCTTGAAGTTGAGGAAGAGGAGGCCAACGGGCCTGAGGACTCACCTCGGAAAAAATTCAAGGAAAGCCATCCGTCAACGCTTGAAGACGTCAAACTTTTTCCACTTCCCACACGATGCTTCTATCCCCCAGAGAACAACAAGGATAACACAATCGATCAAGACCATGATTCAGATGATGAGTATGAGGTAGAGAATTCTCTTACTCTAGAACATGAACCCGTACAACAAAGGCCTTATTTGCCTCAACTGAACCGATTGGAGAGGGACCCGTTCAGGGTGCGCCAAAATTCGCAGGGGGAACCCGAGTTGTATGTTCCTGGCAGACGCGCTATCGAACTCCCTTAGATATGGACTATTAAGTATCATCGCTACTTCTTCGTTTTACCACTTTGATACTTCCTTTACATACATACCAAGGCCCATAACCAACGGACCTAATATTTTGGCATCTAGCTCACTTTGTAATTGGACCCAGTAGACAATAAATAGGTTGTACTGGGGAGAGACAGTGGGAGATGGAAGACTCATCAGACATACGGTAGACACGAGACACTCCTATTCTTGGAATGAATGCGGATTAGGTAAGCCGGTTGTGATTGGTTGAGTTGTTGTCCGACGGCTCACGCCATAAATTAATGAACTAAAAAGTGGTGTGGTTCTCTTTGGGATTTCCTTCAAAAACTGGCGCAGTGCTTGGGTGTTTCTTTTTTCTTTCGACCATCACCATGACTTTCAACGCGACGTCTGTCGCCGCTGCCGCTGCGCACGCGGCCCAGACTACTACTCAGCAGCTCTACGCAAACATTGACCTCACGAAACTCAGTTGGCTTGAGCAGATGTGGGCTGCTTGGTACATCTGGATTGACAACCCAATTATTGCAACGGGTCTCATGAGTTTCTTGCTTCACGAGGTATCTTTTTATTATTATTCAGGGTTCGTCAAATTTTGCTCAATGATACCAGTTTGTATACTTTGGACGTTCCATTCCTTGGATTATCATCGACGCTATTCCTTATTTTCGCCAGTGGAAACTCCAGCCTAACAAAGTTCCAACTCCCCAAGAGCAGTGGGAGTGTACGAAAATGGTGTTGTTCTCGCATTTCACCATTGAGCTTCCAGCCGTGAGCTTAGTTTCTGCATCTGACGTTCGAAACTAATTATTTTTTCGTAAGATATGGTTGTTCCACCCTATGGCAGAGAACTTTGGTATGAGTACCTGGCAGGTTCCGTTCCCTTCGTGGACGACCATGCTCCCGCAAATCGCTATTTTCTTCGTCTTTGAAGATATGTTCCACTACTTTGGTGTGTGAATCCTGGATCGTCCTTACTCTCATTACTGATAATATCGTTACAGCCCACCAGGCTCTTCACACCGGCGCATTGTACAAGCATATTCACAAGATCCATCACAAGTATTCGGCACCTTTCGGTCTCGCTGCTGAATATGCACACCCTGCTGAAGTCTTCATTCTTGGCACTGGTACCATTGCTGGACCCATCTTGTATTGCTGGTACACTCGTAACTTGCACATTTTCACAGTCTATATTTGGATCACGCTTCGTCTCTTCCAAGCCATCGACGCTCACAGTGGTTACGGTTGGTAGCTATTCGTAGTAACTGATCGTCAGTGCTAATATGTTCTTCCTTAGACTTCCCCTGGTCATTGCAGCACATCATCCCCTTCTGGTCGGGCGCTGAGCACCATGATTTCCACCACATGGCCTTCACGAACAACTTTTCCACCTCTTTCCGGTGGTGCGACCGTATTTTCGGCACTGATAATAAATACCGCGAGTATCGCACACGTATCGCTGCCCAAAAGGCTGCAATGAAGAACAAGAGCAAGTCTGAGCGCGAAGAGGCTGAACGCAATCTCATTGCAGAGATTGAGGCCGAGGGTCTACGCGCAGAGGCTATTGCTGAAGGGAGCATGCCTGCTCCAAAGACCGCTAAAGTCCAGTAATTGGTGTATGGATCTAGATATGGTGATAAGATGGACGCATTTGCACGGTTTCACTCATCCAATACCCCTAGACATGCAATAATAAATATATAGTTCTTTATTGATCTTTTTGTTCGTGGAGTCGAGGAAACCCGATGTGGCCATGATGCTATAATAATACCACTGTTCCTGACCTCATTGTCGATCAAACCACCAGGAAACGGACTTGAAAACAAGGAACGAAACACTGCGTCCTGATTATTATGATGGACAGTGTCCACTCGAGATCCTCCATATTACCTGTCGAGATCCTTGAGCTGATCTTCAGTTACCTGGAACGTTGTGAACTTGTCCCAGTCCTTGGCAGCAACTCCGTATTCCACAATACTGCATCTCGTGCGGTCTATCGTAACATATCAGAAACGTCGTCAGTTAAAGCCTGGAGGCTTATAAAGACCCTTGCTTCTAATGCCACCTATTCCCGGCACGTCCGTTCTATCGATCTCGACTTTGCCAACAACCTCATCACCGCCAATATCCTCCGCCTCTTGAATCGCGCGCTCCAGCAACTCAAATCGCTCACGACGCTTATCCTCGACTTCTCCCAGACAGACAACGCTGCTGATATCGCATGGATATTCCAGGGGTGTTCCTTTTCGCTCGCAACCTTCACCTCATCCATGCGGTGTGACCGCTCGCTGGCGAAATTCCTGGCTATGCAGCCGACAATAACGGAGCTCTGTCTGAGAGGGTTCAATAAGGAGTATGACTTTACGCTGGAACCTAGGGCGCTCCCAAAGCTGGAGCATTTCAGGACCGTTCTGTCTTACCCTAGCATCATCGGAGAGGTCTTGAGAGGCAGACCCGTGGAGAGCGTTTCCATGTCGCTTTACCCCGGGGACGTCTGTACGTCCCTCGACACGCTGTTACTCTCAGCTAGACCGATAAAGAAGCTCACTGTCATGAGCTTCGAAAGCGACCCCCCTGTCGCACTCCTTCCCCTCATCGCAGACCGGCTACCTCATCTTGAGGCTTTCCACCTCGTCGTTCTCATGACGCACTACACCCATGTTAGTTTTTCATCTTATGCATGGCTTCATCTTTCATTTGCTTATTGCTTACAGGAAATTCTACTCGAGATCGGCTCGAGTCTTGCGCAGTTCAAGGCTCTGAAATACATCACGTTCATGGCCCCAGGTATACCTGCGTCCTTCAACGATGAAAAGAGCGTCGCGGAAGCATGGAGCAAAGCGTGTCCAACCCTTCAGACCATCATCCTTCCCAAGGGACTGGTATGGTTCCAGAGGGACGAGAATTGGGCATGCCTGAAAGATCGCGAGGATTAAGGTATTCCTAAGTTTCACAGAACAACTAAACCATTACAGTCTTGCATTAGCTGGGTACCAGTGTCCGAATTTTTTGAAGGGTGAAGAAGTGCTCGACGGGGTCGTTCGTGGAAGGGGAGTGCCCACTTGGGAGTGATCGGAGAGCCCACTGGTGCGGATCATCTACCGCGAGACCTTTTCACTTCTTATGATTGCTTTTGGCAACGATTCTCTTAAGTTGCAACGTTCAGAGGTGAAGCAGGAAACCCTTTTTAGATATCCCAATATTTGGTAAATGTACTGACAGAAGTGCAATTTTGGAGACAGCTCTCCCTGCGAATACTGTACAGGCCCAATCGAAGAAGGAAATATCAACAATACGTCGACATCAGTCAAGAAATATATTTCGCAAATAAATAGGCATCAAGGCAGATCTACTTCTTCGATTGTATCTTCTCCAGCAAGTCCGAGGAGTACCGGTGTGATCTCGTGCTTTCTGTCGGGACTCCTTCCGTCGCGTTAACCGAAGCGGTCGCGGGACAGGTGATACTCGCATTCCAACTGCATGATCTTGAAATCGAAGGGGTCCAACCTATCCATAATGGGTTCCGATAGCAAGACCGGGGGCCAGCCCTTTATAAGCGAGGGAATCGTGATGACGTTGTTCCGCTGACGCAGATTACGGTGGTGCGTTGGATGTGTAAATTTGCATGCGCCATCTGCTGCGGTTTTCGTGTGGTCTTCGCTGTCATCTCCATTAACGACGACCTCGTTGTGTTCTTTCGTGACATTATCTTGGACGTGATCGTAGTCACATTCTTTGACGCCTTCATCGACGCTTTCGTCGTCGTCGACCGTGAAAATTTCCTCAACGATCGCGCTGTCGTATACCGTAACATTGTCCTCGACTCCTTCATTGTCGACCTTTGTGAGGTCCTCTTCGCCGCTCTCGTCGTCTTCCATAAAATCTTCCTCCAAGCGGACGTTGTCGTCTTCTGTGCCATTTTCTTTCACGTCTTCGTTCCCTCCCGCGAATTGTTCCTCGATGCCTCCATTGTTGTCCCCTGTGAGTTCGTTGTCGCCTACAGTGGCACCTTCCTTGACGCCTTCGTCATATTTTTTTATGAAATCTTTCTGGACGCCTTCTTTGTCGTATACGAAGACGCCATCCGTGAGACCTTCTACGAAGCCTTCGTCGTCGTTTTCTGTGTCGTCTTCCTTGACACCCTCGTTGTATTTCTCTTTGACAGATTTCTGGTCACTTTTCTTGTCTTCCTCGCTGATTTCCTGTTCGTGTTTCCGGTCATTTTCCATGACATTTTCTTTGTCTTTCTTCGCTGTCTTGACCTTTGATGCCTTACTTCTGGCATCCTTAGGTGGCGGCCCGTGCTCTTTTTTGTATTTAACGCGCTTTACGGCCCGACGTATCCTGCGAATCTGTGTGGAATTCATGGTGGCCCATTCACTATCGGGAAAGATGGTGCCATGCTTTCTGGTGGAGACCGGTGTTGTCGGGTAGCCATCTGCGGTTCCCTTCAATGGGTCAGTCTGCTGTTAAGCTCGATTTAGCTCCGTTAACTACTCGTATGTCTATGAGACTTACTTCGACAAGTGTCGCTATAGAGGTGTTGCTGGGAGAATGCCTCGCAATCTCAGAAGAAATAGTCGATCTTCTCAAACGTGGACAGGAAATGTTAGCGACAGGGGGGGTGTTTCCCTCGTTGTGCGGAGAGACGAGTTTGTCAAGAACGCCACTCGAGAGCTTGATTGGCGAGAAACGATAATCGCGAGTTGACACTCCCGGCTCCTCAGGCTCACGAGACCCTATTGCGTCATCACTCGATGGTTTAGTACTGTGGTAGATCACGAAGGCCAGGTGGAAAGTTAAGACAAACGAATACAAGGAAATCTTTCCCAGAAGTTTGAAGAGCGCCTGCGGGACCTCAAATACGACCATTCTAGCCGTGGCCAGCATGGCTAAGACGTTCATCTCCGCAATTTGTCTTGGCCGCTCTATCAAAGACGCCGGCATGAGGATGATGTCGTCAGTCGTAATACTCCTGGATTTGTCGAAATCCTAAAGGTCGGTGGCGGGTGACATGGACAGGTGACAAAGAGCTATTGTGCTTTGTTTGCCACGTCGCAACGCGTCTAGGGTCACGTGCTCGAAAATAACTCGGTTATCAAATATTTCCTGTTCAATCATTCTTCTATCGTACATGGATGTGCGCATGAAAACAAAATGTGATGTTTACAGGGGTACTCAAATGTTAAGGTAAGCGTCGGTGTCCCCGCTAGTTCCACTATACTCATCGTCGCTCGCAAGCCACTGTTTACAATCATCACACAATGACTTGCGGCACGACGGGCAAAGCCGCTGTGAGCACCCTGCACACGAGAAGGCCGGATACGACAACACGCAACGATCGCATACCTTCGCTTGACAACTTCCGCATGACGCGACAAATTTAGGAAATTCCACCATCAGCCCGTTGTCCATATCTGACTCTTCTTCGGCGCAGTCATAGCAGAGGTTCGTGCGGTGGCACTCTTGACATTCATCGATATAAGAGCAAGAGCAGCAGAATGGCCGGTTGCAGCGCGGACAGCGAATGAAGACCCCTGGAACATGCTCTGCGCAGAGGTCGCATGCCCATACTTCCTGACACAGACACGTCACACCACCGCTTGCGCACTCTGGGCAGATCGTTTGAGACCAGCATAGCGTGCTGTTGCAGCTCCGCCACCCGGGCAGCTCGCATTCCATACAGGAACCGCGCTTCGGAGGGTGAACACGTGCAGATTGGGCGTATGCGACAATCAGGTCAGGAAGTAAGGGCTTGCTGCCGTGTGAGCTAGGATTAAGCTGAATGCCGATGGGATAACCACTACACGATGACATGTCCCTCGTGCAACACCACGATTTACACCCAGGACACTTTTCTATCTCCGCCTTGTACCCCTGCTCTTCAAGGCATGGGAAACACAACACCTCCTTTTGATGTCTGCCGCACTGCGCGAGCGGGGGTTCAGAAGACCCCGGGCAGTCATCCGACTCGCACGATGCAACCTGACAGCAGTTGCAGTGGATAAGATTGGAGTCGCATATAGAACATCGCGGAGAGCCTGGTCGTAAACAGCGATGTCTATGTCACTAACGACTTCTTGCTGTAAAAGGCGTTTATGGTACTTCTACAGCAGTTAATTCGCACTATGACGATGGATGGATACGACTTGATCTTACCTCCGCTTGCAGTTGTTTCCATATCCTGCGTGCAAGGTCACACTCCTCCACTGAGTTCAATCCACGACAGGAGGTCGACCTCGCGACTACAAATTCATAGATGTCTGCCATGACCGACGCAAGTTCGCATGGGACGGGAATGCACATGTTTTGTACCGTGTCTACGATCTGCATGTCACGGAACGTGACAACAAAGTGCGTAACAATCTCTGTCGAGAGACGGAAATGGATGACAAGACTTGATAGGTCAGGAGGTCCTGGCTTTTCCTGTGACACTGCATATCCGAGGGTTGCGATGTGTTTTCCTTCGTCAACTCCCGACGGCTCATTCGGTGGGTCCAACATGCGGTAGACCGTTTCCATGACCCGAAATATGTTCATGCGCATTGGATGATCACTAGTCTTTCTCGCACGGTGAGATGATTGTCCAGGTAGGCATGCAGTCTTGCAGAGCAGGTGGATTCGCAGTGGGTGTAGAAGCAGAAGCGGAACCCCACGCTGTCACGTATATCAATAGGCGTCTGATCAATGTGATTTCCTTTCCTAGCAGCGTCTGGTGCAAAGCCAATGCAAGTGAGAGGCTATGTCTGAGTCGTGAGGCGCCGATTCTTACGGACAGGAGGATTTAACAGTCTTCTATGCATATGATACAGACATACCAAGCAATGTTCCACAATACTTATGGTCTGGACATGCTTTTGTAGATGAGGGGCTAGCCCAACTGAAACGGTGATCTAGGTCGGAGCTTGTGAGTAAAGGTGAGCCATGATGTGACGATATCAACGTGCGCTAGGATGCCACGCATCTTGTGGAAGGAGAGCATAATTTCTCCACGGCGCAATTGCTATAGGTCTCAGCTACACGAGTGAACGGCAAGCGCCGAAGTTTGTCCGATCACACTCAAGTTTCCCCAAGAAACTTAAGCTCAGACAGTATGTCAGTGTTCAATCATGCCAGTAATAAATACAGCAAAGTGATACCATATATCAAAGTAGTAACAAGAGGTTATCAACCGAGATGTTTTCGACTGTGGTACATTGCCGGTACCATCACATCCCCACGAGTGCCATAGCGACCACTCCCGCGCCCAAGCTCACCAACGCAAGCGCCTGCTTCCAAACCTCACTACGCCACAAATTCGGGTCCATTACGAAGTCTCCTGCAAGCATCTCGACACACGCGGCATACATCAACATTCCTGCGGAAATTGCAGACATGATTCCTTGAATGAGGAGCATTTCCACTGTCAGGAGGTGAGGCTGCGTCAGAACAGGTAATTAAGAATATAAAATATTGCAGTGATACGTACCGATGTCGTGACCCCGCTTGAATGATAGGAGACCAATTACGATGCCTGCAGGGTTGGTAACTGCAAAAAGCATGATAAGAGTAGACCGTAAAATGGCCATATATTTAATGCCTCCATTGTCCGACGAAGGAAGAGATGCTATCCGAATGCCGAGCGATAGCCCCTCAAAAAGCTGGTGAAAAATAATTGCCACGAGGAGTGACGCTGTAATAGAATTTGTACTCGATATCGATCAAGCCAAGCAAATAAAACTACGCACTGAACTCGGAGCCCTGAGTGATTGCTAATGTTAGACCTATGATAACGGAATGTATCATAATGCCTAATTGCAACACCTAGAAAGTGAATTAATCCACGAGGGCTTTGAGCAAACATAATGCTCACGAGAATGCCAACAATCTGCCTCTTCTTTCCAACTTGAACTTCTTCTATATCGGAATCGAGCGTATGTGAATGCCCACGCTCAGCACGCAGCCCCCGGTCATGCACGTTCACAATGCCAGTCACGATACCCTGTTCAAATTCTTCTGGGCCATATGATGACGATAACTTGAATCCGCGTCCATGGTGCGTATCATGGGAGCACCTAGCCTCGTGTCTATGATGTCCTTCGAAGAAGTAGGAATCGTGCCTATGCGGTTGACTTGTAGACCCATACGAGAACGATCGCGTACGTCGAGGGCTTGGTGAGGAATGAGAAGGTATGAGATGCGTGTGCTCAGATTGGGAAGCACAGCTTTCTATTGGCTTGGGCGTATCAACGCGACGCGTAAGTGCCGCGGAGATAGGCGTTGACGCAGTTATCGGGGTAGTCGATTCTGGAGATGGAATCGGTGAACTGTATGACTGGAGCCGGTCTACGTATGAGGTGGATACATCTGACGGCCGATCAGTAGGACTCATTTTTGTGGCGACACAGGAGACGCACATTCAATCAAGAATATGGACAAAAGCGAGGTCAATCTATAGAACAGATTATATTTGGTACAGAGAGGACGTGAGGAGTAGGGTGACGTACACAATGAGACCAGTAAAATCCCCTATCTTCGAGCGAGAGCGTAGGACTGGGTTCCTCAAAGCCTCAAAGGAGTCTTGGAGGAGATGAACGAATGCCGTGGACAGAATGACACCTGGTGATGTTCGAAATGTCAGAAGCTGATATTCCAAACTAAGTGATCGCTCACCTGTTCCAAAATGTTTTCCGATAAAAAAGACGATACGAGGTATTTGAAGAAACGTGAGTCGCTTTGATAGCAAAGGAAATGATGATGCTAATAAATAGTCACTAGTATCACGAGACTCGGAGAGAGAGCGCTATTCATAAGGATACCAGTGACGCACCGAAGAGAGACACAACAAAAATGATGCACATCGCGCTGGTGCGCGAACGTACGAGTTCTACATTTGAATGCATACCTGGCACGGCGTCTGTATTCACGCAGTGACAGAAATGGTGAGCTTATGGTGAAGTGCTTGGACTTGTGATGGTGGCGCACCGTAGTATCCGATTGGCCGGTCACCAAATTCAACCATGAAAATGGACCCCGTGTTCTGAAGTCGTTGTGGAGTGTCGTGCTCAGCGCAAGCCTAGAGATGCTAAGAGGGTAGTGTTCTGCACTTTCAAGCTTAGAGATGTTAAGTGGGTTTGAGAGTGGCAGCGATACTGGTTGTGGCAAAGGCCGTCATTTTCTATGCCAGTGGAAACAAGCTCACTGGTATTACAGCGAGGACCTCACCAGTCACCAACATAATTTACGTCACACATGTGACACAGCATTTACCTGAACAACCAGCACTCAAGCTGTCCTCAGGTGCCGGAAAATTCAACTCGCCTGAGCTTAGCTTGGAGAGTCGCATAAAGGAAAAGTTCATAAAGATGCCAAGAATAGCACTTTTTGAGCGCCGTCATCTCGTTCTATCAATTTGGCAGACGGCGTGAGAGGACAGTCCTTGAGTTGGGCAATTCTTAAAAATGTGCTTTTCAAAGCAATCAGTGCATGTAACTTTTTAGCGATCGTGTCCGATTACATAGGTCCAATTGTTACTATGCAGAGAATGATACCAGTACATATACATTTCCTCCTTGAAAATCAAGGTGCATGCCTCAAAGCCTGCTCAAAGTCCGCGACAATATCATTGATGTGTTCAATGCCCACGGACACCTGCCCAAACAATTAGCCGGAAAACATCTCCATCAGAAACGTCACGCACCCGGATCAGATCATGCGTGACCCCCGAAGACAGCTGCTCCTCATCACTGAGCTGTTGGTGCGTCGTCGTCGCAGGGTGGATAACAAGGGTCTTGGCATCACCAACGTTTGCAAGATTACTAGCCAGTTTCAGGCTGTCGACAACCGTGCTTGCCACGCTAACATCGCCCTTGACGCCGAAGCTGAGGACACCACCGAAGGCGTTTGGGCGGAGAAACTTCTTCGCACTTTGGTGATAGGGGTGATTCTCTAGACCAAGATAGGAGACCCATGCGACCTTCTCGTGTTTTGACAACCACCTAAGAACAATAAAAATTTCCCCGTGGATCAGTGCATAACAACTTACTGAGCAAGCGCCAAAGCATTTTCGGAGTGCCTCTGAGCCCTCAAGCTAAGCGTTTCAATACCTTGAATGAGCAAGAACGCAGCAAATGGGTTCATGGCTGGACCCAAATCACGGAGAAGCTCAACGCGAAGCTTGATAGCGAAAGCGACAGCACCGAATGTTTCGCTAAAGACCATTCCATGGTATCCCTCGGAGGGGGAAGTGAATGACGGGAACTTGCCGGAGCGTGTCCAGTCGAATTTTCCTGACAGAAAAAATGAGATATGCAGATGGAAAGTGATCGTGAAGTAAACCGCACCCGAGTCGATGACAACACCTGCGATCGTCGTTCCATGACCTCCAATCCACTTGGTTGCACTGTGCACTGATGACCATACAGATGAGCTGTGGATCACCTAGACGAGGGATGTACTCACAAACAATGTCTGCGCCCAAATCGATGGGTTTGATGAGATATCCTCCCATTCCAAACGTGTTGTCCACGATCAAGGGGATGCCATGATCATGTGCAACCTGTCGAGTTTACATGAGCAGCGGTCCATTGGCAGTGATTAGTATGCGCACTTTCGCCAGCTCAGGAATTGGCGCAACGTTGTACTTCGGGTTGCCGATGCTCTCGACGTAGATTGCCTTCGTGTTCTCGTCGATTGCTGCCGCGAAAAGGGCCGGGTCATCGCCATTCACGAACTTCACACCGATACCAAACTTTTTGAATGTTACTGCACACAGCATGGGTCATGATACTGGTAAGACGCTGAAAAACGAACCTTTGAACTGGTTGTATGTCTTCAAGCGACCTCATCAGTTAAAACAACCCATGAATTCCCCAAAATGATACACTTACCCCTCCATAGAGATATGATCTATTGCCAAGACATCAATTGGGGTTCTGGACCTGAAAGACTAGACCTTACGTTGAAACGATGTTGTCACCTGCGCTGGCTATCGTGGAAATTGCAAGGAATTGTGCAGATTGACCGGAGGACGTTGCGATGGCCGCAGCGCCACCTTCAAGGGCAGCCATTCGACTCTCGAACACATCCTACATGGATAGGAAGTACTTGGCTGCAGAGGAGCATCGATGAAAGAATCACGTACGACAGTGGGGTTCCCAATACGAGAATAAATGTGTCCAAAAGCCCTACATGATGTCCATTGAGTTCAATTCACTTGTCATTCTCAATGAAACTGACTTCAGGCCGAAAAGGTCTGCACCATGCTGAAGTTATGATAAGCCCCTAAATCAAATCTTTGTACGAAGTGACGAACGTTGGAGTCGTTGAAGACGAAGCTTGTGGAGGCATAAATAGGAACTGCGCGAGCATTGGTGGTAGGATCAGGAACCTGACCAGCGTGCAACTGCAGCGTCTCGAATTCCTGGGGCCTTCGGCCAAAGGTTAACCACTAAAGACCTTCCAACGAGACATGGCACTCACTTGTTTGCTTGAGCCATCGCGATTTGATGTTGGAATATTGGGAGATAAGTGGGCTTGGATGCAGACTCCGATTGTCTTGTTATAAATATGATATTCAAGGTTCTGAGTAGTGTGACACAGTGTGTGGCAGAAACACAGATAGGAATGACGATCAATCACGCGAGTATTACTACTACTTGCAATCACGAGTCCAATCTTTACATGACTTCGGAACATTCAAGGAAGGCGTCCTGGACAGCTGTGAGAGGGAATTTGGTGTTTATTGGAATTACAGGAGCTAAACAGAGGAAGAACCACGGACCGATTGACTATCAATAGTTCTGGTCTCGATGCTGCCCACAGTTTACCGTACTTTGTACATACATTCCATCATAATCGATGATCTCCCATCAGGCTGCAGCTGACCATCGAGGGAAGACCATGGCGAGAAATTGCTCGCGACATTAATACCTTGCGGAGTATATCTAGGGGATAAACTATCACTACGCCTTTCCAAAAAAGTTAAAACAAGCTTCTGATTTGTAATTGAATATCGAACCCTTGCCATTATCAGGCGGTACCATTCGACCGTTGTCTATGCCTACTCCTTGCCACTGCTGGTACTCTCTGGGACTTGCGAGAGAGCGTCACCGTTAATTTTCTAGCTGGTACTTACGTACAGTTGAGAGCGAGGTACCGGGAGTGCGGAAGCCCATCCATTACTTGGGTTCCGAGATTGATGGAGAGAAAGCAGTTCAACCAAGATCAACCAGAAATCTTCGGGAGTCCCTGAAGCTCCCAGTGCACGCATAGCTATATAGCACCAACACCCAGTCAACGTTGTCAACTCCTACCCGTTCTCACATAACACATCTCTTTCGAAATTGAATACAAAATCAGATGAACGTTGTGATTCGGAAAAATCATCAGGTTGTGGTGACGTCATCAGATAGTTAGCTAGTAAACTTGTAGTAAATCATGCATAATAGTACGTACATAGTACACACGATGTCCATGCGCGCTCCCCACTTGAAAGAGAATATCGAAAACGTGCTCGCCAAGGCTTATTGTTGTACAACAGCGTGTATTGGGGAAGTCAACGGGGCGCCCGCTTAATCGATTGTGCAGTGGTATCGCGCGGCAGACGGCCCTCTAGTCCGAGCCGCAGAAGACAGAGGCAATGCCCGCGTGACTCGGAACCAATCGTGGCGTCAAGAGGGCCGTAGAACGGATCATCCATGCATCAGGGAGGGTGTTTAACCTTTAGCTTTGACCTTTTGCGGTATCCGATACACAAGGAAGCGTAGGGGTACGGGTGAGCGGCATGGAGCCCGCATGCCCGCGTGCATCTTCAGGATATCGATGACTTTCGAGCCTCAGCACACGACATGTCGTCAGGAGCATGATCATCGGACATATCGTTGAGGGCGGAGGAATCTGCTTACCAGCTCGAGGTGTCGTCATTAGGTGACAAGTGAGCTGAGCCAGCGAACTGAGCCCAAGAATTGTGCAGCCCTACTGGGCGCTGTTCGGCTCACTTATAATGGGTCAGACGTCCTTGGAAGTCCGTACTACCTATGTACCTAATGCATAGTGCGGCGGCGCAGGGCCCTTGTTGTTATGGATAAGTTTTCGTGAACTTTGAAGCACATGCTGACGCTAGCCTCTTATATATCAACTAACATCTTAATCGTCCCTGCAGGTGCCGTACTATTTACAGTTAACCCAACCAATAAGTAACTCAATTGAATTATCCGCTATGGAAGATTTTTCACCGCACCGTTCATAGACTGAAACATAACCCCCAAACATGCAAAAGGTGTCTTCACCTCCCGGTTCTGTACCCGACCTCCTTCCCGATGAGTAAGTAGCCAGCTAGCTGAGTTGAGAGTAATGCTTACGGAGTTGCAGGGATGTGATCAGGCTGAATGTCACGAGCGAAAAAAATGACGTATCCACTGAGGAAGCCCTTGGTAAGAAGATGTGAGTACCAACTGATCGGCATGTTACACTTAACGTCTGACTAAATTGTCTCAAAGATCCAATACCACCCTCAATGTCTCTCCAGGGTCTACTATTGCGGAAGAACACGGCCAAGATACCGCTAATTCGAAGTTCTGGGCGACATACAAGAAAGTTTCGGACGAGTATGACGACGACTTCTTAGAGCGGGCGAATGATGATATGGGCGTTATCCTGACTTTTGTGCGTTTGTTTTCCATGTATCTTAATGCTAATCTAACAAGGCGAATCAGGCTGGTCTACTCTCAGCTGTCAACTCTTCATTCATCGGCGGTATGCAGCCTGACCCTGGAAATACTACCAATGTCCTTCTGCTAAAGTTGATACAAATTACTGCCAACCCAAACTCCGTACATGACATCAGCAATCTTTCCTCGTCTGAGAATTATTCCTCTTTGACCGTCTGTATGCAGACTTTTGCCTATACCAGTCTTGTGTTTAGCGTCTTGGCCGCGTCGGGGGCTGTCTTGGGAAAGCAATGGCTTAACTCGTACAAGGCAGCTCGGGGAAGGGGGTCTTTGGAGGAGCGCTGCATGCAGAGGCAGATGAAGCTGGATGGACTAGAGAAATTTCATCTGCGGACTCTCATGCAGGCATTCCTTGTGTTCCTACAGATTGCGCTACTGCTATTTAGCGTCTCGCTATGCATCAAGACGTGGACCGAGCGAGTCATGATATCCGGTTTCATGATCTTCGGCACAGCTTCCGGTGTTGTCTTCTACTTGTGGACTACGGCTGTCTCAGTGTGGTCTCCTCACAGTCCTTTCTGGACACCGGGCTCAAAACCAGCTGGAGCTATTAGGAAAGTCTTCACAGGAGCGACTTCGCCTCCTAACACATCCGATAAATCATCTGCCATACGCTGGATAATCGAGACATCAACGAACCCAGAATATCTCGAGGCTGCGGCTGCCATGGTGCCTCTCGCGCAGTGGTCACGGGAGCTTGATGCTTCAGCAGTATACAAACGCCTACGTGATAACTTCAGGGCGCGTTGTAAAGAGGAAGCGGTGTATGTGAAGTATGGGAAGGCCATGGCCCATCTTTGCAGCCAGTCGGTGAAAATCGATCCAAACTTTCTTACCAAATTTGGCTGGGATTTTTGGGGAGGCAGGAGTCGGTTCATTCGCGATGCATTCATGGCTGGCAGTGACGCCTACCGTCGGACTGACACAAGAATACGACGCTGTACATCAGGCTAATGTACGTACTGCTCTGAGAACATTAGTCGTTCACGGACTGGACCATAGTCTTTCACTTCCGGATAGCGACGAACTGATTTGGAACGGTGATCTACGGTGGCGTCACGGTAACGGGGATAGGCCCCGCCGTGAAGAATTCGACTGGCTCGTTGATTACCTGGTGGATAAAGCAAAGGACGACCATGAAACGGAAGGTGATATTTTGCTTGCACTGAGCGCCATGCAGGGACTAGGGAGCTCTGCTAAGCAACCTTCCTTTATTGATGCGCTCATCCGTTGTATGGGCAACGACAAACCTTCCCGAGTCCGGCATGCCGCGCTGAGACTTGTGTCTGATGCTCGAGGGGAACTCGCTGCTATCACAGATGACTTGATGCCACAGGGTGTCGACGCAAATCTCCTGGATTCGCTTTCTCGCGCTCTTTTGACTGCCGTATGTCCACAGCCGTACCAGGCAATTCATTCCGACGCCTCTTTCCATGAGGACCGAGACCGTCGCTACATCAACCTTATCTTTTCCCTGACAAAGACTGACGAATGGTGTCGACGTCAGACCCGTCAGACCCTTCATGGCCATCTAAAGCGATGTATTGACCTAGTTGATGAAATCAATAGAAGGGAGAGTTGGTTTCTCGGATTCTACCTGCCTGCAATCATTGGGCGCGTCAATCCTATATGCGAGGATCTCGCTCTCAATCCTGCCCAGGCGACGTCACTCAGGCGATTAATCAAGGAAACGTGGCGCGCCCACATTTATGAGAACGATGACGACTACGTTGACGCAATACCAGCCCTCGTGGCAGCGACGAAGTTGAATTTACCACTAGGGGAGTGGCTTGCAGAGGAGGTGCGTGGGGCGTTGGAGTACTTTCAGGAGCAAGCAACCCTTGTGAAGAATGGTGTAGCTCGAGCTGCGGTCAACGCTGCACTATGCTCTCTGGAGGTCTTTCACAAAGAACTGCAGTCTGCGTTATAGGCTCGACCACAGGAACTCGTTGTAAAGGGACAGCGGATCCTGGCCAAGTATGCACTGGGTTTATGCATTTTATCCGCTATCAGCTTACTCCATTCTCTTTCCTTTGTCCGCCGTAAGCAGGGTGCCGAACCGAGCGAGACATACTCTGCATACTCTTCGAAGTCGAACAATGCGAATTCCTACCCTTCATTTACTTATCATACTAGTCATCGTAGTAGCTCGTCATATACGTTCTTTTATTCCCTCCCACCTACCGCCACATTCGTTAATTTGCACCACTGGCTAATTCCTGAATTTCTAGTGCCAAATCGCTGTTTGTTTGCCCTGCCACCCGGCAGCTCAATCCATGGACGTTCGGTCCGAGCTCAGTGCTCGGACACAGCCTAACCTGTAACACGATGCCTTCACATTCGATCTTTTCGCCCTTGGCAAAACAATAGTCGAAGATTCAGCAGATAGATGAAGAAGGGTCCAACCCAAAGATCTCTCATATTTGTGGCAGACGTGGCAGATAATGATGGTCTCCAGACCTAGAACCATGTTCTCGCAGATGCGGACAATGGTAATCGGGATGTCACATTGCGCTCTGTGGTTAGATTCTACCTCTACCCATCACCGACTAGAACCAACTGTAACTCACTGCGGTGAAGAACACGAAGGACACAGGAGGCAAATGGAGGGGCGAATGATGGGCACCAGAGGCAACTGGGTGTAAGAAGCTAGTAGAAGGTACCGAGAATCAGCGCATGTAAACGAAGCCCTAAGATACACCGCTTCGAGGCTGTTGTGAGCAAGCTCGCACTGGTGCGCGAAGCCTGATAAGTAGAAAAATGAACCAGAAGCAAGGGGTGTCTCCCGAACGGGGTAAAAATCAACATCTTGCCTCGCCCAGGACACGCAGCAAATTCGAGGGGTCGGGCGCTCTCCCACGTGTTTTGCATAGGACATGCGGAAAAGGAGTCAAGTCAAGGTTCTGTTATTAGGTAATGAATAAAGTACTACTGCATTAGTATGTGGCTGTGATGTGATAAGGACCACTGCCGCATGCCACCTGCCAGTAGTCCGCTGGAATCTTACTATTCGGTAGGTGAATCGTATTGCCTGGTCTCTTCGAATGAGCTAACTTCAGAACGTATTTCAGGCATGCTGTTTCATGCAGTACGCCTAAGAGGATGACTCACAACAAAGGTTGGCTATTTAGTGCGACATCAAATTATGTATGTATCCTAGAGTTGTCGCTGTACTCACCCCCAATCTTTGCATCTATTACAGTGACTATACTCTATGACACGCATACCCAACCACACCAACGATACCGCTCCAACAATATTTGCTCATCCACAGAACTTCATCGTCTTCGGTGAGATGGGTGTAGGGAAGAGTTCGTTGATAAACCTCATTGCTGGCGAACAAGTCGCCAAGTCCTCTTCCGGTATACAACCCTGCAATCTCGAATCTACCGAGTATCCAATCAGATTATCTGACCCCCAGCTTAATGTCAATCTATTTGATACAGTAAGCAAACGCATTTTCACATGAGGCTGGCATTCTAAGTCAAAATCCATCCAGGTGGGCTTGGACAGCCCCACGATGGATAGCGCAAGCTATCTAAATGCCCTAGTGAAGGCACACGAGCTCATCGTTTCACTCAAGAACCAAGGCGGGGTACATGGCTTACTCTTTTGCATCAAGGGTGGCAGAGTGTCACGCACTATGCAACAGAACTACAGGTTATTCTACGAGTTCCTGTGTCAAAAAAAGGTGCCCCTTGCTCTGGTCGTTACCAACCTTGAGACCGAAGTGAAAATGGATGACTGGTGGACGCGCAACAAGGTCCATGTCGAAAAGTCGGGCGTTGTCCCTGCTACGCATGTCTGCATCACCGCCATCAAGGCCATCAAAACGCGCACGAAGACAAATACTTCGAATCCAGGAGGAAAGTGCACAATATGCTAAGAGTACTCGGAAGAGCTGAGCCATACTCGATGGACACGAGTAGCTGGTTTGCGCGGATGTGTAGGCTGCTACCGCAGCTTTTGCTCACAGCCAAGACCTTGGGGAGGAGTCGTCAGAAGATGATACAGATGCTCACAAAGCGTTGCAAGCTGCGCAAGGAAGATGCAGTGCAGCTTCTTCAAAGAATTGGCTCTAGGGAAGACAAATATTAGTAACTTATTGTACGTTGCATGCTGTCGAATACCTATCATTTATCTCGGATTAACTACCCATTACATACCCCTGGTTATCTTGTACATGTTGTAACGTCTAGTAATATCAATCCTTCCTAATGCTGATCACTACGCTTGCAAACGTGCGAAAGAATTCTGAAATATTATTCCGACCATTAGAAAATTGCGCGCGTTCGCGCTAATAATATTATTGATATCTCTCTCCTGCATTTAAGTTTCTGTAAGCTGACTGTCAGTGTAACCATAGCCTAGCTTCTGTTCGTCCAGCTGTATATAAGCCCAGCGGCGACGATCTCAGAAGTCGTGAGCAAACAGCTGATGTACAAAAGTTCGGCCTATGAACAGGAGTTCAGACGAGTTCACCACGCTTCTTGTGCGCACTGGAAACATACCACAATTAACAGTATGTGAAAAGCGGCCCGCGGTAGGAACCGGGAACCCTTCGAAGCCCTATGAGATAGTGATGTAAAAACGAGAGCACGAGACAACAGGATCAGCACGAGGACGAAACCTGGTAAGTAGCTTGAAAGGTAGCCAATCATGAACCATGAATCACGACACAACGAACCAGAACGTCCAAGTCAAACAGCACGGTCCCTTGCTCAAGCGGGGACATGCTCACATGTGGCGAGAGAGAGCGAATGCTTGAGAAAACGTATGCGCTGAGAGTTGCTTGAACCATCAGTCTGATGAACGACACCCACTGCCTCAAGGTAGCAGGAAAATTATCATTGTGAGAACCAGACAATCATACATACGTGCAGATTGATTATTAACAGAACATCATGCTGTTGTCCGTTGTCGACAGCTTCAGCGCGAGGTGTAGAAATGGAATCCCGAACGGGCTTGGACAACGACGAATTGCTCTGCATCGAGGACGACAAAAAATCTCAAGAGTAGATCAACTCGACATAGACAACGTAGAATTTGACAAGGGAATTAGTGAATACATCCTTCTTATGTGCAAGGACATCGTGATAAAGCCAAGGACAAGGATACCGAGTTCGAGTTTTAAGAGCCTTGATAACAGCATGACCGTCATCGACGAAATCGGCAGTGGTGGGTGACAGCATTACACAGCAGACGTAATACAGATTATTCGGGATCGGGTGGGGGACATGTGGGCACTAAGGGAGAGATCAGTTGTGCGTGGGGTGGCGTGAGCAACGTTACCGCACGCACTGTGGTTTGCGAGAGGCGCCACGGGATAATTAGTCTCCCTGGACATACCTCTATAGATGAAGGAAGGTAGTCGTTTCTTTCTAAGAACACAATGTGGGAGGTAAGCGATGCAGGCGCTTGCCGAGCGCCATGAGTACAGAAAGTCTTGCATGCAGGTGCTGAAGGAATAATTAATTTGTCAGTGCTGAGTGGGAGAATATACTCAAAAGACGTACATGATACGTAGCTAATTAGTAGTACTAGTGGCTGCACAGCTGCAATGGGCCCAGCAGTGCAGGTTAAACCCGGCTAGCTATGGGCTAACTGCCAATAGCGCTTTGTTGGTTGCATCTCAGGTGTACCACACGAGCGTTTTGTGAGCGCTTTCGAACCTCATGCGTGTCACATGCACTGCGAACAGCCGCAAAAACTCGTGCCTTGTGCCAGTACTTGCTTGACCTACGTCACTGTTTCGAACATGCTTCAGTCGCTCACTGTGTCGAAAGTCGTTCTTGGCTAGAGACTGTATCAGAAAGTAAGCATTGTTAGGCTGATCTGGATCCTATCAGATTACACGATGTTGACTGAAATTGAATTTCCAGCTTGTTGCAAAGCCTCATGGACTACACCTGGACAGCGAGGAATCTTTTTCATCGGGTAAATATGTTGCATGGGCTCTTTTGGATGAACTAACACGAAGACATGTCGCAGGCATGCTGTTTTCGTGCATTCCCTGAGGCTGCAATGACGATTTGCCGTCAATCTAAGGCAGTGCGCATGGCGGGTTGACTCACGAAAAAGGTTCATTGTCCCGACGGTGAACGTGCGTCATGGAGCCATACTTTTCTTCCAGACAAGGCGGACTCATGCGACATGTACAAGCATGTTCAGGATCCAAGGCCCATAGCGGTTCGAAGCCAGGGTTCATAATAACAGGCCTGCCTGCAAACCCCAGTCAATTACTTTTCCAACATCGCTATCATATCGGTCTGTATCTCGCTATAATATCTGTCCTTACCTCGTTATCATATCTGTCCCCACCTCGCTATCATATCTGCCCATACCTTCACGCCTACACTCGTCTCTCCATAAACCTAACTTACACTGACCTTACATCAGACATCATGGTAAACAATGGTCTATGCGGATACGCTTCATCGCTGGAAGGTAATTCGGGCTCTTCGAGCGAGCGGCACCATGACCAGCGCAATGGGGCTCATTATCAAGCTGTGCACAACCCGGCGGTTCGATCAACCGGCATCACACCTACCGCCACCGCCTCCTAATGCGTCATCGAGCTATCACGGGGTACGTGCCCCACGTCTTAAGACGTGTCACCTCGAAGAAATCTTACTGATAAAGTGACAGAACTGGCCACAGGGAAGAAGTGTTGTCGTCTCCGATGAAAGCGGCTCACCACCACCACCACCACCACCACCACCACCACCACTGGCTCCAAAGGCGTCGCCAAGCAACCACGAAGTACGTGCCCTACTTAAGTCGCATCCCCACTTACTGATCAGAAGCAGCAGACGCGCCCACGAAAAAGAAATGTTGTCATCTTCGGCGAGAGCGGCTCAGGGAAAAGTTCGGTTATCAATGCAATAACGCAAACCCAGCTTGCGGAGACATCTAGTGATGCGACAGGTTGTACTTTCAGTTACCAATGCTACCCAGTCGAGATCTCTGGCCAGAGATATGTCCTGTTCGATACCGCAGGCCTTAATGAAGGAAGTACTGGTGCAGTGCCGGCGCCGAAGGCGGAAAAGGAGCTGAAGAGACTGTTACGTGGTCTCATGAGCTCTGGGTCAGATGGCATCGGCCTTCTGGTAGTACTGCGTGCGCAGCACGAGAGCCCGTCAGGCCCTCATTCGCAACTACAATCTTTTCTACTCTGTGATCTGCCGGAAGAAGGTCCCGATCGTTGTTGTCGTCACAGGGTTGGAGAACGAGACCGATATGCGGAGTTGGTGGAATGCTAATGCCAAGGAGTTCAAGAGTCGTGGCATGTATTTCCAAGACCATGCTTGCGTCACTACGCTTCACAAACACGCAGGCATCTCAGACGTCTTCACTCGTCGTATCGCAGAGTCTCGTGAAATCGTGCGCAATCTTGTCGTCAATAACTGCTCGGAATGGGCGGTCGACAACACCTGGTTCAAGCAGTCTTTTGCAGATGCGCAATACGTGATGAGGCATAATTGGAATAGTGAAAGGTCTTCCCCATCCACCCTCATCATCTATGGCTCGTCACCAAAGGAAGAGGAAGAGCTTGTGCGCTTCGGTGGGGAGGCATACCGAGTTTGCCCCGTTTCTCCACCAGAGTCGACCTCGAGCGCAGGAGGGGGGCACGAAGGGGATCTTCTCATATATTATGCTCACGCTGACACGCTCTCTGTGGCTCGCCAGACGTTCCGCGAGTTCTACACAACATACCGCGGTAACATGGTGCCGGTCGTTGTCGTGGTCAAAGGACTGAATGATAGAAAATCCGCCCGTCAATGGGTTGAACAACATGTCATGCACCACGGCGCTGGTCTTTTATTCTCGACATTTTCTCCAGCTGGAGACCTCGGAGATAACTCGTTAAGGAGACAGGCGGACCAGGACTTGCAGGATCTCATTAGACAATCCTGTCTCATCCGAGGCGTGGTAAAAGGCGGGGGCATGCTCAAAAGATTCGCGAAATTCAAGTTTTTGGATCGGCTGTGAGTGGACGAGTTCTTATTTCCCGGGAGGAGACATCATATACTTTATCATTTATTTCATATTAACGAGCCATGGACAACATCTGTATTTAGTCGGCATGTTGACTTTTATCTGCATTAGTACGACTCAGAATTATTGTATGCCAAGATGCATGTATCGTTATGAACTTATTACCTGGCCATCTCAAGCACTCTTTAAAAATACATTTTCTCTTCAGAGCATGCTGATATCAACGATTCTCTCGCGTCCGGCAAGCAGCAGCCTGAAAGAACCTTGCGCGTGATTTGCAGCGAAACTGGAAAGGCAGAGAGGTTTCAGACCGTTGCCATAGCCGCTAGAGTCACTAGCCTGACACCTTCCGGTTCAACCTTCAAGTTGCTAATGCTGTGGCATGCTCTGCCCCTTCAAGTTCGAAAGCTCCTGCTTCAAACCTCATCTCTGCTGCGTCAGTCACGTTGCGCAAATACTTAAGACTCTTAAAGACGTACCGTAATAGCTCTGAACTTGGAGAGTACTATGAGTCGTTGGTTGCACTTGAAGTCAAGTTCGGCTCGCTCATGTTGGGTCGGACGTCCTTGGAGGTCCATTGGCAGAGATGTTACGTGGGAGACGCGTCACGCGGCAGACCCTGCGGTCGCTGTCGTAGTCAACAAGCTGTAGACTAAGTGCTACTTAGTGCCACTTAGTGCTGATAGGCTGTGTCCGTTATCGCCGGTGTCAATGCCTGGGTCACCACTAACCTTTCTAGAGCCCATCGATCATGCGTTGTCATCGCGGAGTCCCCGATTGCGGTCTCACATAAATACCAGGCCAGAGTCTTTGCTCCATTCTCAATTTCATCATGGTCAACACAATTCCTCCTGCCAATCCAATCCCTGTTGCACCATCCCCTGCTGAGGTTCTGGCGCGCCTCTTTCCTACTCCAGCGCCCCCTCCAACAGTCCTTGCACCAGCCCGTCTACCAAATGCCGGTCCAGGGCCAACTGCTGCACTGCTCAAGACGCTCAAAGATAACCACGAGCGCAGTCATGTCTTCTTCAACCACTACAGTTTTCACAAGTATGTGCTTACAAAATGACATTGCAGAATAACCCTGACACTCCATTCAGCCATGCAGCCCACCACTTGCTAGCCATTTGGGCCCTTGGCGCATCTGGTCCTTTGATCACAGCTGCATATGAGGACACTCACCTCGACCATATGCGTGATGCTTTCCAGGCGCCTGACCGTGTAGTAATCTCAGATGATAATTTCCATGACTACCTCGGGGATGAAAAGTAAGCCTGAATGACTCCTACATCCCAGTCGAAATAACTTACAAACACGACCCAGTTATTATAATGCATACCTGGACTATTTCCACAAAGTAGTTCTCGCCCCGGGCGCTACCATCTCAAGCATCCTTGAAAAGTACATTTTCTCTTCAGAGTACAACATCAACAATTCTCTTGCATCGGGAAAGCAGCAGCCTGAAATGCTCAACCGCTTTGTGGAAATTCTCATCCACCCCCTTATTCACACCGGCTATGGCGCAGAATTCGGACTTCCTGGCATGCTGGCTGAGGGTCTCTCCCAGGCGAGCGTTCATCCTGCACGAGCAACCGTCCTCGTCTCTCGTTTGCTTTTCCCCGGAAACCCGGACTCTCAGTACAAGCCCAAATCGCACGTGCACGCACTCACGATCCTCTCGCAGATGCTTGCCGATAGCCGTTTCTGGACACGTATCCTGGAAAAGCATGAATTCGAGGCCATGCTCGTGTCGCACGGCGAACTCATCAACTCTTACGCAGAGATGTGGACATGCGAGATCAACAGCCAGGAAGATTTCAATCGCCACCTCGAGGAGCTCGTATGGGCAAGCACTTTGATGTACGGCGTCGGTAGTTGGGACGGTGAGAGCGAGGAGTATCGTGCAGATTTCTTCACCATGCACATCGTCACTTCATGCCTCTTCCTCCCGTCTCTTTGTGCACACCTTTCATACCGAAGCCAGTCTCTCCTTCTACGTGCACACTTCCTCGTGAGTATCACCTGGTGGCTCGTACGTGGACGCCCTGCTCTCCCTCTGCGCAAGTTCTTTGCCGCACCACTTGCGCCCCTCCCTTCCCCAGCGCACTTCAAGTACGCGACGACGCTCCCTGGCGTTCTTCCCCAGCCAGCACCATGTGCACTACTCGGCGGGGACAGTCCGCATACGGTGACACCCAATGTATGGTACCCCCTTCTACAGAACACGATCGTACACCCGAATGAGCATCTCTGCAAGTGCCAGCGTGCGCTGGCGCACTTTGCTATATTGTACGGACACCGTGAGGCCGGGTTCATGTCGGAGGCATTGTCTTCAAGCCCAGCGATCAGTTGTCCTGAGACACCATTGTTACCCGGTGGCCTTGAACTCGCAGAGAGCGAGTGCAAAGCGCTCGATGCGCCGGAGTGGGAGTTCCTTGATGGGAGCATATTCTTGCGCGCAGCTTGGTTGACGGGTGCTGCTCTGGGATGGGTGAGGGATGGCGAACCGAACACAGGTGCCTGGGATTACCAGGAGTTTGAGAGAGTGGCTTTGGAGAGAGATGAGCTTGAAGCCAAGATAAATGCATAGGCGATGGGGGCATGTATCCAAAATACGTGAAGTGACCAGTTTCTTCTTGTTTGACTCCCATCTCAGCTAATAATATACACATGCAATTATTCCTTGTATAACGTACAGAAACCCTGATATTTGTCTTGAAATGACAAGCAAACGCCTTTTGGGCACCCAGAAAGTCAGAGATCTGGGCGATACGGACTTGACGATGTCCCAATTGTTTTCTGGGAGTCTTCTGGGGCACGCCACTTCGGGGTCAGTGGTCACGTAAGTCAAAAGGAGTCTCCGATGACCTCAACTAGAGCCCCTATTTCCCTTCCAGCACTAACTACCATGTCCTCTGAACTCGACACTACCGCTTACAGGCCTTTCAATCGACCTGGTGATGAATCTTTCCAGCACCCAGTTGGACATATGCATGCTCACGGCCTAGCGCAATATTCTCCTGAGGCAGCAGAAGCGTTTTCGTTCCCTTCCAACCCTGAGTCAAAGCATGATGTGTCACCTCCTTTGTTCCAGACCCCACAACCGCCTTTAGCTCCCATATGCCCCCAGCGCTGGCCAGGCATCGACGCAGAAACCACCAAGATGCTTTTGAAAGTCTTGGAGGACAATCACTCGAGGTGGCATATATTCTTCAATTACAGGGGATTCCATAAGTGCGCTCCGTTTCAAGCGTATATATGTGTTGAGCTCTAACTTTCTTTTGAAGCCACGCGGCTCATCACCTTCTCGCAATATGGGCGATGGGCGCAAGCTCCAAGATCATCTTTTCTGCTTATGAAACTCATTGCGTGTATCAGCGGCCTGCGTTTGACTCACCAAACCGCATCACACGCCATAATTTTAATGAGCACCTTGGTGATGAACGGTGGGTGATGTTCAACAGCAATCTTTGTCAATTACTAAACTTCTCCAAGCTTTTATTCAGCCTACTCGGATTTTTTTGCCTTTGAACTCGGGAAGAAAGGGTTTGCTCGCACCTTTGGGGAATATATATTTGCTCTCTCTGCGAATTACCTAGCAGAACTACGTTCGGAGGGAGATGGTCATCCGCAGATGCTGACTCGCTTCATTGGTGGATTGCTCCACCCTTTGATCCACACCGGCTATGGCGCAGAGTTTGGATTACTAGGCATGTCAGCGGAAGGTAAAGTTACCTTTACGCCATGAATTGTCCTGGTTCTTACCTGAAGAAAGGTCTGGCTATGACTGCTGTACACCCTGCGAAGGTCCATGCACTTCTTCCACCTTCGTATTTCAGTTCTCCTATGAAATCTGGAACCATGCATGCCCTCTCAATTCTCGCACTTGTCGCTAACGATGAACGATTTGAGCACATCAAAACGATGGAAGAATTAGATATGTTCACCACGACTGTCTCATCTCACGATGAGGCACTTCGAGCGTACGCAGAAATGTGGGACTTCGATGTAGCAAATAAGGAGGACGTCGCCAAAGCAGTGGAGGAACTTGCTTGGCTTAACTCGATAATTTATGGTGTAGGGGGCGCGACTGTGAAGGACAATTTCCACGCCGATTTCTTCTTGATGCATCTCGTCACCTCCACCCTTTTCCTCCCGTCCCTCGTAACTTCGCTCTATCAAAACCCTCGTGCCCAAGCATTGCTGTTGCGTTCCTACTTCGTAGTGAGCTTGGCGCGCTACCTGTCGCGGGGACGTCCCACCCTCGACATCGCTAAGTTTTACAGTGACACATCAGAGCTTCTACCTTCTAGTGGTCTGGACGTCATTCCTGGTCCACAGCCTTCACCTTTCGAGCACACACTTCCTGACCAGAAATCTCCTGAAGCGCGGACGCCAAATCCATGGCTGTCTATAATACAGACTACGATCGTGCATCCTAACGAACATTTGTGCAAGATACAGCGGGCACTCGCACATTTTTCATCATTGTATGGCTTGCGGGAACAGGGGTGGTTCGCCACCCGCAAACAAGCGAGCGTAGCCACAGATAACAGGAAACTCGAAGATGTTGAGCGCAACCTGGGACTTGCAGAGTTGGATGGAACGCTGTTTCTTCGCGTGGCTATGCTTACTGCACGCACGCTTGGTTGGATGAGAGAGGGTGAGTCCGAGGAGGGGTGGAATTTTGAGGGATTTTATGAAAAGTGAGGCGAGGACGTGGAACACATCGGGATTGTATAGTGTACAATAGTGGTACAAGGGTGAGTGCTATGTTGTGTTGTTATGCTGAACTTCCAGGTGCGAATAATACGTGTGTGATGTTGTACATGTGCCGATATATAATGTATGCAAATAATTAAGGCATAGTGTATCATGCATTCCGTGATGATTCGGAAGAAGCGTAATGGTCTACATGCAGCAACCCGAAATAGCCGCTAGCTCTTGTTTAATTTGGGTCATGGTGGGTCGCAAGAACGATGCTGGGCTCCAACACCTATCAAGGAGTTTCCGGAAGTGTTCCAGCTCCTTCTCCGGAAGCTGGAGTTTCATGGGAGTGCATCCGCGGGAGGGCTTCACGCCCCTCATGATATCGAAGATGACTGCAGTATCGTTGCTCCTATGTGAGAAAGGAAGAGAACCGGTTGCAACCTGCAGAACACTGTCAACGAACAGAGACAAACAGATAGATGGGCAAGCCAACCTCGAGACAAACGCATGCAAAAGCGTATACATCGCTGCTAGTAGAGATTGGAGGCGGTTGAGCATCATCATCATTGGTGAGCGCTTCTATGAGCTCAGGTGCCATCCAACGAGTTGAACCAGCGAAGAGCGATGTTGAAAAACGACTGTTCCGCATGCTGGGCTCGGATTCAAGGACCTCTTCGATGACATTTGACAAACCAAAGTCTGTCAAGAGAGCTTGACCATCGTCCCCAATAAGTATATTGGACTAGAATCCAGAGCGTGAATTTCGAGTCCGAAGAGCATGAATGGAGACAAACTTACGCCTTTGAGGTCGCGGTGGATAACGACTGGCTGGCAGTTGTGCAAATAGCTGACTGCCGAAGCTATTTGCTGGATCTGTTACATCTCGTGTAAGGGGATAGTATGTCAACCATCTAAACCCTGACTTACCAGTGCAAATCGATCTGCTTCGGGATTCATTTCCAGATAACGCGTCAATGTACCGTTGTCGCACCAAGGGGAAACCATGGCTATGGAGTTAGGAGATTGAGCAACGCCATAGAGCTGCGCAATATTTGAGTGACGCAGGCGGTGCCAGGCAACGACCTCTGATTTAAGCCGCTGTGGTCCTTCATTAATACATGAATAAACTGATTTGGAGACATACACGCACTAGCATCAGCTTTTCCTTGATTTCGTCTGTCATGTGCATGTACTGGCGAAGGTATTTGAGCGCGACCTGTCAACCCACTATTAAGATACTGAATTGGGAAGAAGACCAAATGTTTCTTACTGGATGTGTCCCATTGTGGGAATTCGTCCAGATTCCTTTCCAAACATCGGCAAAGGAACCGCCAGATACAGGCGCGTTGCCTACTTTTTCAACCTCGTCTGTAAGGTCGACAAGCAACACGCTGCCTTTCACGACCAGAGTCTTCGTCAATTGCTCTAGCGTTGCCTTTTGCCTGGCACGTTGCTTCAGCCGCGAGTAGTCCAAGTGCTCGGACACCCAACGGAAGCTGTCGTAATGCGCGATAGCTTGGGTGATAGAAGTGAGGGAAGAGAAGTATAATCGGGCTGGGTGTTGCTGGAGGAGGGATGCGTTACGAAGGTGCACGTCGGCTGGCGACTCGATGTCAACGTCAATCCAAGCGGCGGCGGCTCCCATCACTTGATCTCGTACGCTTGAACCATGCGACCGAGGCTCCTCGTGTTGGGTACCGAGCACGTAGAGAGCGATAGTAGGCATGATTGGAACAGCAGATGAGCTGATGAGCTAGTGAAGCTATGTGTTCAACACGGCCCGATATATGATGGTTTCTTAGACTCACGGATCACCAGAAAACTCCTCGTCGAGGCTGGCAAAGCATGAATCAGGGAGCACAAATTGCTGACCCTCGGACGCTAGACCTATACAGATCTCGGCATCGCAGAACCTCCAACAGTCAAGACCCTCAAAGTGACGGAACACCTTCTTGTCGGTGTTCTCATGCTGCAGAAAAGCATGGAAACCCCCCAATGTAGCACGTCTCCGGACCCGATGCCATGCATGTCCAGCGTTAACGACCGCGCCACTGCCAGTAATAACACGTGTCGTCAAGCTGGCGACCGTCTTTGTGTACTTGTCACTGTTTCGATACCGTAAGAATACAAAGTACCGAAGTAATGCATCTCGGGAATGTCTCGAGATTGGTAGCTCGAGCCTCGTGTCCGGTCGTGATTCCCCAGAGTGTGAAGAGCGGATCTTTGATATCATTTCACTGAGGATCCGCTCCACTTCATTTTCTAGACGGGTAAAGGCCTTCTCCGCGGTACGCAAGACAGACCGGCAACCTTCATCCAAAGATGGGATGTCGAAGTTATGGAAGATTGTCTGAACTTGCTCGGGAACACGACGTGTTTCAGTAAGCTCGTTGTCGTAGACGTCATACGCATGAACGCGGTGATCGTCGAGGGTGTGTTTTGATGGATCGCTGTGTATACATCTCCTGTCAACGACAAACTTAGGATCACCGACGAATTGCTCACGCATCAGACAGCCAGAACCGCCAGAAGAACTGGGGAACGTAAGGTGTCACTCCGACAGCTTCATTGGAGATCTGTATCAAAAATATCGTCATATCTCCCGCCAGTCAGAAAGACGCACGCCGTACCATTGAACTACGCCAGTTAGGGAATTTTACAGGAATTACTCAACTGCCTAGTGGCAAGGTGCCCCAAAGGTTGGAAGTCACGGTCGTCCACGCAAACAGCCAGGTTTGTGTAGGGGCGGGACAGACTCTTTAAGGTTAACGGCCGTCGAGTCAACCGTGGACCGTCTCAGACCGTCTCTTGTGGGCGAACGAGTGCAAAAGAAATATCGCTGTGCTCTCCAAGGCACGGTGGAGTGTCATATTTAAGTAAACGTCTTGACGTGCGACATGCGGCATAGGCGCTGACCTGGGGGAGTTAAGACGAGGCTGCGCACCGGTTATCATGGTCATGATCTTGGCGCTATGCGGTGCCATTCGACGGTTGTCTGCCACTATTGGTACTCTCTGGGACGAAGTTCGAGTCTCCGTTAACTTACTAAGATTAATATTACGTACAGTAGAGAGCAAGGTACCAACTGGGGCTGCGGAAGCCTATCCATTACTTGAGTTCCGAAATGTTGATGGAGAGAAACTAGTTCAACCAAGTTCGTCAGAAGTCCTCTGAAGCTCCCAATGCACACAAAGCTACAGCGCCAACACCCAGTTCCCGCGAGTGAAGCCGACCCTTCTCTCGCATAACACATCTTCTTTCGAAATTGAATACAAAATCAGAAGAACTTTGTGATTTGGAAACACTACCAGGATGCGGCGACGTCATCAGCAAGTTATGAACGAAAATTGAGCTAGTACACTTGTAGTAAACCATGCATAATAGTACACACACACGGTGGCCACACATTCCACACTTGGAATAGAATATCACAAACGTGCTCGCTAATGTTTATTGCTGTACAACAGCGTGTGTTGGGGAAGTCGTCAACGGAGCGCCCGCTTAAGTAATTGTGCAGTAGTGTAGTATTGCGCGGCAGACGGCCCTCCAGTCCGAGCCGCAGAAGACCGAGACGATACCCACGTGGGACTTGATGTCATGGTCTCAGAACCAATCGTGGCGTCGAGAGGGCCGTGGAACGGAGGATCATCAGGGAGGGTGCTTAACCTATATCTTTGACCTTCTGCGGTATCCTGCATGCATGAAAGCGTAGGGGTACGGGTAAGCGGCACGGAGCCCGCATGGCCGCGTGCATCTTCAGGATGACTTTCATTATTGAGGGTCTCACACGACATGTCGTCATGAGCATCATCGGATATATCATCGAGGGCGGAGAAATCCTCTTGTGAGGCGTCGTCTTCATGGTAGCTGCAAGATGAAGTCGTGAGTGGTCAAGCGCCTCTTTGTATGATGAGGCACTGACCGGGACTTTTGACGTTCCTGTATGACTTGTGGTTTCACTTTGCCCACTTCCTTGTTAATATACCACATTGCAACGACAGTCACCAGAAGTGTGATAGCACCAATTACATCACCAATAATCCTGCTGGTGGAAGCACCAGATGCTGTAAAGTATGTGAGCAGGCGCAACATAACGGACCAAAACAATTAATGACTCACAGTTTGGGTCACTTTCAAGCATCACACCAATATAGACAGTAACAAATTGTTTCGGAAGAGAGAGCACAGCTGCTAGCATGAACGTAAAGATTCCCATTCCGCACACTGAGAATATGGCTGTTGTCACTGGAAATAGCGAATATTAACGAATGACGTATGTGCATGATAGAAACTTACAATGCCCTGGAACTGCGCTGTAGCGCGCGATCAACGCGACTTTGAGACCGCGTTCACGGACTACCTTGCACAGAGCGGCATACGTGATACTGTCTCTTTGCAACTTATCTCCGCGAGCTTGGCAAAAATATTTGAAAGTACTTAGGAAATACGTTCAAAGCTTATCATAGAAAGTACTGAATAAAACTCACTAGAAGTTGGCAACTTCACCTATGAAAGTGCCAGCTGCAGTGATGGCGAAGCCAACCTCAGCACCCCAGACAACCCCGCAGAGGATGGCCAATATCTCGTGACCAAACAACTGAGCAAATTACGATCAACGAGGCAATTCAGCAAGAAGAACCTCACGTGACTCACTGGAGGGAATGACATCACAAAGAACATCGCAATTGGGATGAGCCATCCGAACTTTAAGCTATTGACGTAGTTCCGTAAATTAGCATCAGGCAATCAACATGCTTCAACCCAAAGTAGACCCACTCATGAATCCGCTCCACTGCAGGCTGCAAAGCGCGCACTATCTGCTGATGGAAGAACACAAAAAGGGAAATCAAGACGATGACGGCGCCCAGGCAGACGCAAGTTACTGGGGCAATACGATTCATTCCATCAGATTGTGACCTGTAGGACAGCTATTGAATGCAAACCTATTCTGCGCCTTGTCCATGGTCGATTCCAGCTAAAAAGCCCCTTCCAGTCGAAGAATGTCTGTTCAGACCCTCCTTCGCTAAGACTTGAGCTGGGTTGTCCTCTGGGGATAAGTGGGTCTGTGTCGCGGTGTACATGAGTTGCCTCATTATCGCGCTGGATTCTCGCAGGGATAGATTTGGAAGATGTACGGAGAGCAGCTCTCCTAATGAGGTCGATGAGGTCTTCCCGAGACACAGCCGGCTCATCACCATCCAACAGCGTACAAACGCATGCATGGTCTACGCTATCCACACCGAACGATTGCAGAACCTTCCGGTGCTCGCCCCACCACTTGCTCCAAGGGCTTGACCAACACCTGTCCATACCCGTGACTACGATGGAAAAGGGAGCAGCGCCAATGGTAGATTTGAGGCTATCATAATGGCGCAGCTGGGCTTTTACATCCTGCGATCCTTCAATACAAAGGATGAAAAGAGGAGCACGACTTTTGTCGCGCATGAGTTCTTTGACGAAAGACTTGAGGTTTTTGAGGGCCAGTTTTGCAGGGACGAGTCCCTCGGAGCCCTCGTTAAGCCCAGGAGTATCCCATATTCTATATTTCCTCTCATCGATTGAGACATCGTAATTGTCGACTGTTGCTGTGCAGCCCATTGCATCGTTTGACGAGGGCGCTTCTTCTCTTTCTAAGAGAATGTTGACAATGGAGCTCTTTCCTGACCCCGTCGTTCCAAATATGACAATATTCTGAACGCCATCATCCTGGAACATATATTCAGTAAATGAGTGCTGAAGTTTGGTTGGGTCATGACGAACCACCGGAAAGGCCACATTGCCTGACACAGGTTCGCCTTGAGACTCTTCTGCACGCCTCTTGAGATTCATGATGGTAAATATATTCGATCAACTCGAACTGCAGCAAATGACTCAAGAGGAAAATGCGATGTTGGTAGTGTTAGCTTGAGTGCAAGGAGAGCTATACTCTCGTGCAGGGTAATGCGTATTAAGACATGCCCATACAGCTCAGGCGCCTCGAGGCGCCGCATACTGGAACAATATTGCAAGGGTCCAGAGTCTAGATGCCAACGTTGTATCCAGCATCCTATGTTCAGCCGAAATTTGCCTATTTAAGGCTCAAATTTGTGTTTCATTTTTTGCCTACTTATTACGTGAAAGACGCGACATCTTGTTGTCGTACCCCTGTATCCCGTGAACCAAATGCAGGAAACGCACGGGGTCTTGAATTCGGAGCTGGCGGAGAAGGATTTCGAGGTGGTTTGGCCACAGTCAAACGCGCAGGGAAGCGACAGTGACGCAGTAGTCTCCCGAGGCCTACCAATTAGAAGGAAGAGTCGTTTATTCGAAACTATGGTCGAAACCAGCATGTAGAAGCCAAGGTCAAAGAGCTTGTCAAAAGCCAGTCCTGCAATAAGTTAAACCTAAAGACTGGCGCTCTTCCTACTGACACATCAAATACTCAAGCATTGAACGAAGCTACAAAAGACGGATTTAAGAGTAGACGATAGCACAAGAGGGGGTGCGGAGTAAGTATCAAGGAACGGGCCAGGTACACCAACGAGATGAAAGATCAACAGCTTGTACTAGAGACCAGGATGAAAGCCATGCAAGATAAAGCTACACACCAATACGGGCAAAAAATCCTCTGCTCAAGCGGCACCTTCTTCTTCACGGCGTCTGCAGCATTATCGAGTGTCCAGGCTGCCTTCATACAGTCCATGACACCATCCTCCAAATCCCCAAACATATTCTCATAGAAAGCTTCGACGACGTGTTTTGCGAGAACGTCATTGACCGCCCACAGCGTGCCAATGACACTCTTGAAACCGGAAAACTGGAGTCCAGCTGCGAGGTGGATGGCTTCGTCGGGTGTCTCCTCATCGCCAACGGGAGTGTGACATGCTGATAAGAACGCGAATTCAGCCTGCGGAGAATTGTTCTCCATGATGTCAAGCAGTGTGAGAGGTTTGGCTCTCATGGCAAAATATGAATTGTAAGGCTGTTCGTGGTCCTGTTTGCCATGACAGGCAAGGTGCACCCAGGTGTTCTGCTGCAAAGCGTCGAGTGCGCCTGCCTGTGTAGCTTTGTGTCCTGAAACATTAGTGAATTTGACGTTGGAGGGAACGAGTTCATGGACAAGCCCTAGCTCGCTGTCGACAGCGTGAAGCACCGTGCCTTGCCCTGCGCCTGGTCGACTTTGTCCGATCGGCGCGAAGGACGGAGTGACACGCGTCTTCATCGTCTGTCGAGACCCGAAAGTGTGGGGGTGTAAGAGCAGATGTATAAATCCTCCAGGCATTCCTCTGGCCCAGAGCGATCTGTGTTCATTCGGGAGGGGTTAGCTGTATGGAGAGGGATGGACGTGAAGGCTGCCATCGGACACAGCCATATTCGAGATCGACGGCGCAATTTCAGGTCATGCTGGAGGACGTTCACTATGGGTAGCATGATCTCGTCCCATACTATCCGCAAGAGTACTCGCAACTTCTTCCTCGGCTACTCTGGGCGCATGCGAGCCGTGTGCCGTATTGCCGTAGTAAAATCGTTCTTGACCTTCTCCAGATCTGGGAGTGATGCGCGGGAAGTGAACTTGGTGGGGCTCTCCTGACGTCGGGACAATGATGGTGCTGCACAAGTATTTACTGGCAATGAGGATGACAACTGGGCTGCGACACGCTGCCGCTTGCAAGTCTGCATACAATGGCGGAAGTAGAAATCGCGAAAATGCTTGAAGATTACGGATTTCAACCACCACAGCTTCCCACTGCTCCATAAGTTTTATGTACTTGGTTACTGCCCGATCAGCAATAGCTCTGCCGGTGATGGTTGCAGAACTCTGGGTGGCATCGGAAACATGCTTGTTCAGCTCCAAATAGTTGTGCGCCAGTTTCAGATTTGCAGACTCGAGAGGCCAGCGACTATTGCTGGCCACGGCCCTGCTCTACAAGTTCCACTGTGTCGTAGATTGTCACAGCGGATGGCTGCATCTACGGGAGTCATGTTGTCAAATGAGCAACCAGAAGCTCGAAAAATGTTGAGTAAGCCTCGAGTGTGGATCCATGACCATGCTGCCCTGCTGCAATGGCCCAATTATATACCTGAATGATGCGTTCTAAAAATCCTTGAGTGAAGTGACTCGACGCCAGTCTGAAGTTCTCTACAGCGAGCGACAAATCAGCAGGGTCGTGCAGAATCTGGTAACGAGACAAATAGGCCTCCTGCAGCCGCGCGTAGCTGAAAAACCAGACCGGATGCAGTGAAGACAGAGCCGCCAATGGTTCTTGGCAGCGATGAATGGCCTCCTCAACATCTTCATTCTTCCGAGTGTGTGTAAAACAAGAGCAGAGCGTCAAGCTCGAATTGAAAAGAGTTGCATGGTGCTCAGGATCATCAAGCCGCCTTAGCCGAAGGGATTCACGACACAGATCAATGGTCTCGTTAAGATCCATCACCAAAAGGATCATCCCACGACGTTTGAAGTTTCCAATGACCTTTCCATTGCCTAGCATTCGATCGGCCTCATAGGACGCCCTGATTCCACTGATAATGCAGGTGACGCCTGTGATGATCTATAAACCAATGATCAATTCTGGAATTACGCCCTGAAGTTACCATGGACTTTACATAGTCACAGTATCGCCCCACACTGTGATGACTGTAATAGAGCGTGAGGATATGAAATGTAATATGGAGTGACCTACTTTCGAGTCTGATATATTGGATCGCAAACCTACTACGCGCGATAATGGGAAGAAACAGGCGACGAACAACACGCAGCATCGGAAATTGAGAGAGGTTCAGAAGGGGGGGCGGAATGAGTGGGACTGTGGATAGAGAGGGAGAGGAGAAGAGGTTGAGGGTTCAGACCATGCTGCACTGTGTATATTTCCATGTTATCAATCGCAGATCGGCACGATATATAGACGCTGGTATCGGATTGCACTGAGGGCTGAGAATTAATATAACTTATGTCTGCTGTTGAACAAGCCAGCGTCTTCTGGTTTGCCCAGGGAAAGCCTCTGCTAAAGAAGTAGAGAATGTCATGATCAATCTTCGGCCTGAGCGAATTGAAGTGGCTTACCAAGGTTGAAGGGGACACGCGTGTCCGGTAATGGTTGCTGCTCCTGAATTATCACGGACTGGTACCACTCATTCAGTATATGAAGGCAAAATTTAGAATCGAGTGTATTCCCGGAGCTTGGTAATGGCAAATGCGAATGATGCAAACCACTGAAAACAGCATGCACAAAAAATTTGAAAGCTGAATGATGGCATTCTATATGACTCGTCCAACTGAGCTGACAGTGTCATGGGCAGGATCGAGCGTTGTGGAAACACCGGGGATGAATTGTGAGAACATGACAAGTCGGATTCATTGATGCAATATATGTGAGATGGTACTCGAATGCGATACAACGAATAGTAAGTCATCAGGCATTTGATCTGAGTTTGACCAAGATTTAGTTACCTTTACTTGCGAAACTAACACTACAAGAGAAAGACTCGATAAATTACAACAAACTTACAACTTGGGTTGAAGCCAAGATACAATCTGGTAAAAAAGGGTATAGGATATCCAACCTTCACGTATCAAAATAAAACTATACATACTCCAATTGTACTCTAACCTATACTAAGTTATCAATATGTACGTATGGATCGCGCATAATGCACATGAGCTTATAAGAACACAAATCGAGTAATAAAATAGTGATGGGGATGAAAGAAAAGGAGTGACAGAGGCTATGATAGCTCTAGATGGGTGAAGGGCCGACAATAGCCAGGGGTAAAGGCATAGGATAAAAATGTCCCAAGCACTCAACAACCTACTGCCTAGTCGTACTGGGCAGAGGCGGCGAACTCACCCCCGAAAAACTATGCCCCGGTGCACTGAACGCATACCCAGCACCCGACGGTGGAGGCGGAGGCCCAGGAGGCGGCGCATACGCGGCAATACCAGATAAAGGTGACCGCCCAACACCAGATGACAACGGCCGTCCAGCAAGAGACGGAAGGGCAGGCGGATACCCCCCACCAACAACCTCCTCAGCATCCATCTCGCCCTCATCCTCGCCCTCATACGGGTTCCGCATAGGCTCAGCTGCTATCGCGCTCAACCTATAACTCTGGCCCTGCGCGGCGTTAGCCTGCAACTCCCATCCAACAGTGTCCGTGCTCTCTTGGCGGAGAGGCCTGGTTCCTAATGTGGGGGTTGTGTCACCTGAGAATGGGTTCGGGTTTTCCGGTTTCTTAGGTTGGGGCGCATGTATGCGTGGGTCTGGTGCGTAGCCTATGGCGCGGCCTTCGCTGTCCCATTGCTGGTAGGGAGGATCGTAGGGGGCGTCTGAGAAGGAGTTAAGGGGAAGAGTGGTGTCTGAGGTGTTGAATACTGCGGAGGTATTCGAGCCCCCGTTTTGATACAGTGATTCACCCTCGGCGTCCAATTTCGCTTGACTGAGGAAATAATAAAATTTTGATGAGTAGAGACAGAGATGATACTGACCGTGCTTTGCGGCGCTCGTAAACGATTTGTGGTTTGACACGGTTTATTTCTCTGGTGATATACCACATGGCAGCAATGGTGATCAGGACGGTGACGACACCGACGACATCGCTGATGATCTTGTTCTTGGTAGAGGCGGACGCTGAAGGAAGGAATGAGGGTACGGTCGTACATACGGTTAAGAACTTACAGGTGGCATCAGTTTCCAATAAAGTTCCGATGTACACAGTTATGAACTGCTTTGGCATAGACAGGGCTGCTGCCAGCATGAAAACAAAGATGTTCATGCCGCATACTGCAAATAGTGCAGTGGTGACTAGACGCATGTAAGGCAGAGATTGTATGAGAAAATGGAAGAAACACACAGTGAGGCGGGATGGCGCTGTAACGGGCAACCAACGCAATCTTGAAACCGCCCTCACGGACGACCCTTCCCAGAGACGAGTAAATGATACTGCCTTTCTCTATCTTCTCACCGCGAGATGTACAGAGGTACTTGAAGGCGCTGAGGGAAACGGTAAGGCATGAGCAAAACGCAATAGGAAGTAAGACGTACTAAAAGTTTCCTATTTCACCGATGAAAGTGCCAGCTGCCACTATGCCGAAACCAATCCATATGCCCCATACGAGACCACACACGATAGCCAGTATCTCATGGCCAAAGAGCTGATTGGAAGCACGTCAGCGTGATATGAGATGAAGGGTTGATTTGCATACCGGAGGGAATGATATCACAAAGAAAATGGCTATAGGGATTATCCATCCAAACTTCAAGCTGAAAGAAAAGTGAGTGCCGGGATATGACGGGACTGGAAGTAACGTACCTGTGCATCCAGTCGGCTTTTGGTTGGATTGCATGTACGATTTTATCATGATAGAATATGAAGAGGGCACCCACAACGATGGCGAGGGTTAGAGCAATATAAATAACTGCTCGCCGTTAAACCAATGGTTGAAATTGTAGGGAAATGAAGACGCACTGATCCGTTTTTTTGTCCACATCATCTTTTTGTCGAATATGGACTTCCAATTGAAGAATCCCTTCTGATTGAGGGCCTGTATCTCACTGGGAGTTGGACTGGGAGTACGAGATATTCGGCGAGCGTCTTGATGAACATCGTTGGAATACGGTGAAGAATAGGGAGAAGAACTTGGGACGTATTTTGAATAATTATCCATCTTTGTCGTGAAACAGAAAGGAGCGAACGAGCGTGAAAATTCTGTGGCGAGTTGGTCTTTTTGTTGTAGGAGCTGTATCACCGTGACAGTCAAAAGTCAAGCTAACACAGCCGCAACTCCATATTACTCCAGTGCTTGGCTATTACATACACAGCTTCGAGATCTGATAGCCTCCGTCAAAGATGAAACAGGTACTAGTGCTGTAATTCTTGTTGCTCGTTCCTAAGTTTCATCAATCGGTCAACTTCAAGTGTGTTCAGGCTCAGGCTAATGATAGAGTTGGAGCTGCTTCATATAGCGCTCATTCTATCACTCATTAATGTGACGTTTAACGCATGCTGTATTTCATACATGCCCGCAGCAGCATCACAGCCAACTTGGGTTCCCCCATTCGACAACGGTAGCCACACCCCTGAGTGCCAGTAATAACCCGGCTGACGTAGTGATGTTTACATCAAACATTGGGTCCATCAGGCTACTCAAGGGAGCAGGATGCACTGGTTCTTATGCGACCGACCTTATCTATTCGCGAAAATCAGAAACAAGATCAGCTGTTGCTACTTTTGCAATCGAAATGGGCGCATTGATTTCATCACGCCAGTGAGTCCGAAGAGCTCAAGCCGAAACGTGGATCGGCGGCTCTCGTCTCCATCAACAGATTAACAAATCAGGAGCGCACCCACCCGAGAGTCTCCGGGAACCAATGGTAATAATGCGGTGAAGCAAATCGAGACTACTGTCTGCTGCGTGGGATTATCATTCGAGAGGAAATGCACAGTTTTCACTTATTGCTGAATAGCGACACAACAACAACACATATTCATATCGGATCTACTGTGGTGTATACCTTAGGTCTCTGCGCATTGGACCCAATAAGAATTTATTTTATTTTGTTACAAGTTTGTTGCAGCGGCAGCAGCGCAAGTTGAGATGTCGAAAACACAATAGAAATGCACAATTTCGTCACGCTATGTCACGCGCGGCACCGCAGTCAATACACAAGAGTATCTAAAGTCCGACAGCGCTCAAAGCCACACAGTTCAACAACGCCACCCAAATGCAAAGCGGAGACTCAACCAAGCCGACAGCGTGATTTCCTGATTTAACCCGACTGTCACGCTGCACTCATGAATCGTGAATAGCACGCTACGGAGTCGGTCTATTGACATAGAAACACCTAGAGTAGATTCAGAATGGTGTATTTTATATATATTGAAGTTTCTATGTTGATAGATTAATGGGATCTGGGTGGATCTTCATTTTAGTGTCCAAAAATCACTCATTTTGAGTACACTTGCGCAATGTTTCATCTCTGGAAGGCCCGACGGCGTCGATTTTAAATTTATAATATGCTAATACTTGTTTTACAGCTGTTCCGACTGAAATATGTGTCGAGTTGTGGGCTCTGAAGTGCATTGTGCATTACCCATCGATTGTGCATTACGGATCAGGTGATAGTAACACCGTAACATATGACTACATGCATATCCCCTTTTAACTTGCACCACAGCCTGAACTAAAAGTTTATCACACGTGATCGAAGTCTACGCAATCTACGATACCTACAATGAGGCAAGGGCCGCGTGCGTGGAAGCTGCATTTTGTGAGGGCGTGCTCTTAATCGAACACGGAAACGGCCAACTACGCCCTGCATCCTGCCAATTATACCTACTGCCGAGTTCCTTTCGCATCAATGGGGTCTTAACCTCTCCAAGCATTCTACGAGTCCCTTCCCGCCACTCCACGACTCCTTCGAAAGCAAAGACGCCAACGAATTCGGTGCACACGAGTATATGAAAACCGTCGTGCAAAACGCAAGAGGTAACAAGTTGACTATTACATCCATTTTCACTTCGGACCGAACTCCGGGACGTACATATCCTCTCTGTCATCATATTCATGATCATGATCATGGTCTACGACTGTTTCCTCAGCCTAGACAGACCCACGGAATACCTTGCATATCTCGTCGATCCCAGATTCCCAAAATGATCCGACATGCGCGCGAGAGTGGAGGTGAGAGTCGCGTTTTTGATGAACACGTGGATGAATGATCAGATCGATCATATATACCCAGTTCTGTTGTCTGAGCATATTAAAGTCAGGAGTCAGTATCGTTCTAGTAATGAGAAAGGGAAAGACAGTCGGTTCTCCATTTTGACTAGCGTGCTCATTGCTTGCTCATCTCCAGCTTTCGGAACAATGTCCCACCGCCGATCCCACCCCCGACCAAACACGCACCTGGACAGTCCCGAACGACTACCACAACAAAGCAGCTGTTATGTGCACTGGCAATTCAGTGTGGTGACTACCTGCTCGTTTTTGTCGGTGCAGCTTGTGGATCGTGATTGGTGGTTATCAGCGTGTACTCCTCCCCTGTATTTCGCTCGAGTTGATGCTTCTAACATATTTCCCTGGATGAGAATCTAATCAAATAACCGTAATCCATTGATTAGCATCAGGCCATTTTTACAGAGGACTCGACAAGAATATGATACAAGAGTAGGGTTGATCCACAGTCTAAAGACCGTGCTTTCGTGCAAGGGGAAAATATCAAGGACCGCTAAACAAAGTTGTGAATGAGAGGATAATACTTTGAGAATAAGAGTACTCGCAGACTGAGATTGTACTCATTGCCGCATTCAATGAGGAAACCAACAATACCGATCCAGTGGTCGAGCTTCTCTTGTGTGAGCTGAAGCTCGATAACACATTCGGGAGGTGAAAGCCTTCACACGACCTCCAGTTGTTCCTTGCACGACAGCGGTCTCGAAGCGGCGTGAGATCATCGGCGGTTTGCTTCGTCACAAGGCCGAAGGGTTAAGCATACTAACCAGTCCAGTCTCTCGTACAAACGGTCGGCGGTATGAGGGGAAATATTGAACCAACGAATTTGACTTCGTTGCCTACGGCATGAGAGCGTTCAGAAAGCCGCAACACCGTGCAACTGTAATCAGAGATAGCAGTGGTTTGGATTTTCTTGATGGCAACAGTGGAGGTGGAGACCATTTCGTCCAAAGGGTGTTCTGGCTCAAAGCCGCGAGCACGAAGAACGTATAAGGAACACTCGTTCTTGGGTGCTTGAGAATTTGGATAGTGAGCATCTCAAACAAACTGAAGTACTATTCGCCTTCGCACTTGGCTCTGATGAGAAGCGTACATGAAAATTCTGCAATGATGACATCAATAGATGTACTGCTTCGCTCAGAAGCTCCTCATAGAGACATGGATCATCTCCATCTGACTGATGGGAACGGTGAAGTTGAGGAAGCGTGATCATTTTCACACATATATCACGGAGAGCACAATGCGTAGCAAACAGCCCTATGGAAGCATCTCCCCTTTGTGGACGTCGAAGGTGTGAGTATAAAAAACAACGAGCCTCTCAATCTCCTGCTCGGGTGAACGATCAGGAGCGGCAGTGGAGAAGCAGTGCGTGATATTCTCGACAGTCTGCAAAGTGCGTCTTCAGCTCTGGAATGGATCATGAACATGTGAACAATCACAGTGAGACTTACAACACTGAACTGTTCTGAATAATGCCAACATCACTGATGCGGTACCAACGATAAAGCTACAGGACATGGCCTCCACATCATTGTGGCAGTGAACGAATATTATGGTACCGTGCACTTGTAGTTCGTGCTCTCTCCGTCCCTGCGGATCGTCTTGCCGTCGGGGTCGACGATGCGCGTCTTGCAGCCATGCACAGGGTAGCCCAAGTCGGGGTGTTGTGGTCCATCGGATAATAGATACGTACAGTACTAAGATAAATCGATTGAACGGGTTCAAAATAAGTCAAATATACTGCTCACCAGGTCCCAATCATTAGCAAAGTAAAACGGCATAGGAAACTTTGAGGATATTCGCGGGCTTCCTAAGAACAACGACGAGAGTGAGCAGTCTTCGAATCATCCCAAAGAAACCATCGCAAAGCGGAAATGGTTTAGGTTCTGCAGGCTGAACCTGAAGAATAACACGAGAAAGCAATGCTCTACGAGGACCCGAAGTCAGAAGACTAGGAAAGAGCGCAAGCAACTATTTTGACACAGCTGAAAATGCCACGGCACGACCGCTCCGTATGAGCCGTCGGAGATGACATTGATTCCGAGTTTTCAACTGAGCAATGCGAACACCTCTGTAGTCTTTCTCTGCATCCATACGATCAAAGATGGGTGAACATGAAGTTTTGACACCAGCCTGAGTTCCCATCAACCCATCCCTCGTTCGGCCATACTGTCACCATCAACCTACGACGAACACAAGTATATCATCGCCACAAATCTCATTCTTCTAGGGACGTTCGAAGCTCTCAAAGATGCTTGTGACTACGCTATAGCCAAGATCAGAACCGAATCATGGCCCCACCGGCGTACCATCGGAGGACAGTTCCCTCCTTTCGACGATAGCAACCCAGATTCATGGGACGTTCAACACATCATCCATCCCGACCTTGGGGAGCCCGTGGTACACTTCCAATGTGCTCATTGATGTTTCGAAGGAGTTGTTGCAATGTGACGAAGACGGGTATGTGTATTGCTTGCCTGATACTTTGCTTGACGTTGATGTCGAATCCGATGTCCAAGTTATCCAGAGGGTCTAATCACATCACAGGAGAGCATACAGTACAAACAAGAGGAACTACAAGACAGTATATAGAGAGACGATTTCCCTCCCCACTATCTGTGGGAGTGGGGGATTCTAAGTACAGTTCAATAATCATCGACGCAAGACAAGATCTAATTGGAATGTGCCCCTCTTTTAAGCCCCTACAGCCCACGAGCTTCGAGACGACCGCGGAAGGTCTTCTGGAACTGCGGGACGTGCTCAAGGTCCATGAGTGTATGGTGTTCCCCAGGCACATCGGTGTATTCTACCTCGCCACGGCTGAAGCCAGACCATGGCTTGAGTTGGTTGTTGAGCCAGTCAATCTTGGTACCGGCAAAGGGAATGGCATAAAAAACGTCAAGTGCGGCTGAGGAGTAGGTATGTGAGCAAGCGGTTTTGA